ACTAGTATATTTCTCCCATACATTCCAATTTTCATACCAATTTGGTAAGTAATATATTTTTTATATCGTTATATTCATCATAGTATTCATCCGATTCTGGAAGAGAATGTCAATTCTCAATTTCAGACGATATTCATTTTATGCTCAAATTCCTATCGTGTATGTTCAATTGATATAATTCAATGTTCGTCGTGGCATATAGCCAGGAAAGTAGTTGTTTTCTGTTGAATATGCCGAGAAAGAATTAATAATTTCATCACATAGAGAATGCGAATTCTCAATGTATTTATTCAAATGTATCCATTTTTTCATGTTTATAATATATCTGAGAATATTCCTTTTCAATACTTTCATACCCAATCAAGGGGTTCAAACTTGAACGATGGAAACTTGTTATTTTTATAGACCTTCAATCGCAGATTCGTGATTGGGTTTTTCTCAATTCAGAATTTCTTTCCACGCCCTGTATGATAAATGTCAGTTTGTCATACATCTAAAACAATGAAAAGTATGAATTTTCTTGCTCGTCAAAACAAGTTTTTTTTTATTACTTGATGTCATAATTGTTGTTTGAGGACCACCCTGTATATAGGAATATGTTGATCAAGCATCATTTCAAGATTTTTGACCACCGTTCGAACCAGATTGACAGGAACACAAAGCCAATAGAAACGAGAGCATCAAATTATGCATTATCTTGATAAAACATTCATATTTCAGTAACGCGTGTGACAATTCCAAACATTTTTTTACAGTATCGAGAAAACATATGAAGCAATATGTTTTTGACCCCCAAAAAAAATTTCTTCCAAACGGGAGGCGTTTGAAATTTTTGGAAAAATGCACAGCTTTGATTATCATCCTGTAGAATCTCATCCGAGAAAGATGAAATAGTCATATCGATAGGTTCGATAGTCAATGAAACGAGCTTTCAGAAACTGAAAAATAATTGAAAATCGGTGGAGGAAATCGAAAGTTATGATGATTCAAATTTGATCGAAAAAATGCGATTTTACGTTTCATGTGTTGAGCAGTTTATTATTCACTGAATTATCGAAGCACACTACACAAGAAAGAAAGAAAAAACGTATTCGAAATCATGGCAATATTTTTGTTCATTTCTTTGTTTAATAGTGTCCATTATTGATGGGGTGCTGCATGGTGCTGTTAGGGTATAGATTTTCTCTTATACTTAAATATAATTATTTTCGATAGTCACCTTTGATTGAGCTTTGCTTTCCACAGCTTTATCAATATTTTCACCTAAATTGACCAAAGGAGATATAATTTCATTGCCCTGAGAATACTCTGGAGTCTCAGTACTTCCATAAGGATAAGCAGGTATGGCAAAACTCGTAGATACTAGGAATACTGATGAAAATACTAATTGGAACATTTTTGACCTAAAATAAATGAATAATTAAATAATGCAATTGATTGAAGATCCAGTCAAATATAGATAGTAATACCATTTATGCAGCAGTTTTTATTGCTTTTCTACTTATTTTGGTGTTTTCAAAGATAAATTCGTGCTGTAAAACTCGATACTATTTGAAGAAATGCAGAATACAAAAATCTCGTTTTCTTTGCTCAAGAACTTCGCATATGTTTATTTAGTAATATTGCGACAATCCACCCTAAAGAAAAATCTCACACTCCGTATATGAAGCAATCTAAATAAAGAATTTATGGAAATATTATCATCATTAATTTTTGTTGGAAATCAACCATTATCCTCAAGTTTTTATAGAGCAACTCACCTCCAAATATTCAACTATTCTCCACAATTCACTTCACACAAAATGTTAATATTATTGCACATATTATATTATCTCCCTAATGGTCAATTTCATAGGTTAATGGGGCTGAGCGAGTCTTCATATATTACTCAACACGAGCAATTCACAACCATTGACAAAAATATGGCATAACATGTCCCAATAATTGATATTCCGATATTGTTTACTTCTTTCAACTTTCACTTATTTGACCATGTGTGAGAAGGATGGGGAATATCTTGTAATACTTTCACATTCAATTAATTGTTGTCGGTATTTTTATACTGAGTGGCACACTTGAAAGTGGGACACCCCACCCAATATTTTTATTATGCATCCGATTTCGTCAAACTCTTTTTTAATTATTGAAAATTATGAAAAACTCCAACTCAGGATAAAGTGGCAGGTTTGCTACCTACTCTGCGTTAGTTTCTGGAGTTGGAAATATATATGTAAAAATTTATAATAGCGATTTACTTCATAACGTATTTCGAAAAATACATCAGAACTTAAAGATCGATATCTAAAAAGGTTGTTGTACCATATTAAATAAGGGAAATGCAATATCTGTAATGTCGCCTATAGATACATGTTACTATATTTTCCGACTTGTACTGTAGACTTGGGTCACACAGAAAACCGGATGATAAACCAAAATATAAAAGGAAGTCAAATGAGTCACACACTGTGTATACAATGGGGCGATAACAGACATATGAAAAATATCAAGTTTACTAAACAGTCAAGTTCCGTTTATGGAAAGCAAGGAAAAAAAATCGTTTATCAATAAACAATGATTGACCCTAAGTCAGGCTAGAGTCTCTGGATGGTAAGTATTAGTTAGGGTCCCTTGATGTAAATTGACGTATTTGTCATCTTAACAGGGTACGGACACATCCTCGTCTCCTCTCACTCTAAAGTGTTTGTGAAACAGTTATATAGTTCCATCCTTATTCAATTCTGGGGAGCAACAGTAGATTTCTGCTATTTGTTGTTTTCTAGGTTATATTGAGGACATTGGCGTATCATACGTAATTTCCACATGTAATTTCTCAATTAAAATGTTTCTGAAAGTTTAATACGTTTTACCAAATGGGACTGCTCTTAGGCAGTACCTATCATTATCATTAATGAATTTTGAATTCAGACTTAGCCTTATGGTTGAGAAAAGGTGAAAAATATTATGTAGGTATTTAAACTAATGTGCTCATAATATGTCATGTGTGCTGTATATATTCATGTTGGGAATCATTTTTGGAGTTTTTCACTTAATATTTCCTGAATGTAGGTATAATTTTTCAAATGGTAGGGCATATGCCTCTTCTTTTAATCCTCCGTTTTAATCAAAAGAACAGTCCCATTTGGTAAAACGTATTAATAAACTTTCAGAAAACTTCCAACTTCACAAAGATTATGCTGGAGTTGAAAAATCAAAAACTCGAAAATTATCATCATTTGGATATAATATGTAGAGTTAAATGAGAAATTACATGTGGAAATTACGTATGATACGCCAATGTCCTCAATATAACCTAAAATCACCAAATGTCAGAAATCTAGTGTTTATCCCCAAAAATGAATAAAGATTAAACTATACAGGGTGTTTCAAAAAAACCTGACCCCTTTACTAGGGTAGGTGAAACACTGCAAAATTTCGTAACGGCATCCATTATCAAGATACACATTCTTCAAGATTATGACGAAACTACTGGCAACATTGTGATGAAATTTTGTACGGATGTTTCATGGAATCTGACACATCGCATGCATTTGTTTTTATATCTGACTCTCATAGAGGGCGCTAGTTACAGGGTTCGTATCGAGTAGTTTTGAACATAACCTTTTTGAGGTTAGATTTTTCAATCCAAATTTGATGTGAACTTGAACATCATTCAATTTCACACCAAAAACGTACTCTTGGTGAAACTCGATACTGTGTTCCGTTTTCGGAATATTCCGATATGAAAATGATGAAGTGATAACTATTGCAGGTATAAAGCTATGTATTAGAGTAAGTACTATGAAAAATTATCACCTATTTATGATAATCGAAAACAACAATACATTTCTGATGCTAAACTCAATGATTTAACAATGAATCACGAGAATAACATCGAAACAGATTTGACTAAGAACATGGATTACACAGTTTTGTTATATCTTGAGCAGAAAGTCTATGCTACATAGGTAAATTCACGTCAAGAGTTGAAAGACATAATTGAATATCACTAAAATGACCTAACAGCTGCTCCTCAACTGTTAAGAAGAATAATACATTCTCAAAAAAAGAATATACAATCGTTTTTTCGTCGAAACGTAGGACATTTTGAACATTTACTCTAACTGATTCAATATCTCATGTATCAAGTCAAATATCTCTTAATTTTCTACTTATGATTCTTTGTTTCATCAATAACTTCAGCACAAGAATAATTTTATTGTTTTTGAATCTGAATGAATAGGTAATTGAACTCAATAAAATTCATTTTATACCAGCATCATTACTACTCCATTATTTTCAAATCGAATATTCCGAAAACGGAACATAGTATCGAGTTCCACCAAGATAACCTTTTTGGTGTGAAATTTAATGATGTTCAAGTTCATATCATATTTGGATTGAAAAATCTAACCTCAAAAAAGTTACGTTCTGAACTACTCGGTACGAACCCTTTAACTAGCGCCCTCTATGAGAGTCAGATATAAAAACGAATTCATGTGATGTGTCAGATTTCAAGAAACATCCATACAAAATTTCATTACAATGTTGCCAGTACTTTCAACATAATCGTGAAAAATGTGTAAAAAAATAATTTTTTCAAACCTTGTATCATGAAAACGGATGCCGTTACATTATTTTACTCAGCAAACCCAAGTTATTTTGCAGTTTTCTACCTACCTTAGCAAGGGGGTCAGGTTTTTTTGAAACACCCTGTATAACTGTTTCACAAACCCTTTAGAGTGAGAGGAGAGAGGATGTGTCCGTACCCTGTTAAGATGACAAATACGTCAATTTACATCAAGGGACCCTAACTAATACCATCCAGTGACTCTAATTCTGGACAGTTTTTTGTGCAGTTTCTTGTTATGTCTGTAATTCCTCTCAAATATAGCTGTGCTTCATATTATGCTCTCTTATTCTTATAACAATCAAATGTTATTTCAGCAGTAACAATGTGTTAATAAAACAAAATTTTCAAATCACAGAAATGTAATCATATTCTGTGATGACACTCACATCTTTGATAAAAGACAACAATATCTTGCAAATATTACAAAATAATCGACACAGTAAACATACTGAATGGTACATCAGAGAAATTCGTTTCACACTTACTTATAATAAATTCACTTTCTTTTATATCCTACAAACCCTTCAGGAGGTATCTTATCACCCTTGTACAAGTCCACGAAGAGTCCAAGGGCACTTTTCAAGTCGTAATGGCATTCTTCTAGGCACCTATCACAGAAAAATATGTTATTCTATCCACAAAAAAAAAACCATGCAGTGCTTTAAGCCAATTTGCCATACTCTCCAAGGGAGAAAACATCAGCTCACCATCAAAAAATATCCAAACATTTGATCTTACTTTGTGCTTTGGGCTCAGTAGGATTCTAGTTGTAATGATTGTGATAAAACATATATAGGCCAAACCAGGCGTTCCATAAAAATAAGGTTCAAAGAACACTTAGCACATTTGAAATATGGTAGAGGGTAGAAAAATGGTGTGTAACCGAACACATGTTCAATCACAATCATAACACACATATTAATAACCTCAAATTAGTTAGGCAAGTTAATAATGTTAGGAAATCAGATGCATATGAAAGCTTAGAGATATTTAAGAATAGTAATAGAATAATGAATGAGGATAATGCCCTCTGTATAGTTTAGTGATATAAGACTAAGGTTAACATGTCTTTCACGACTGATTGGTGGACATACCTAGTATATGAATAGCAACACTAGGATAGAGTATTCAGTTTTAATCTTCTCCTGAAGATGCCAACACAGTTAGCGAAACACGTATTGAAGCGTAAACTAATCGGTTTGGTTAGTGATAAAACAGGGTTTAGTGGTATTTATGTTTGTTATTGAATACGATATTTTTGTTTAAGTTTTTTCCTCTTCATATCATAATTTTCAATTCTAAGTATAAACAATAAATTGAATAGCGAGATATGAAATAAAGAAAATACATTTTAGGAAAAAGATGTCAAGATGTTGTGCATCCACTTCCCTTCTTTATCTTTCCAGAATCATTAATTTTGTTCAATATGGAACATGCTAATGCATGGAAATGCCAGATCTGATAAGTTGTAACTTTTGGATTCAGACATTGAGCCCCAAAAATTATGATATGCTATAAATTCTTTTTTTTTTCTGCAAGACCAAAAAATTCAAAATTCAATATGATTTCTAACTTGCTGTTATGATTCCTAAACTTCACAGGGCCAGACAAAATTTATGGAAAAAGACGGTATAACTGTTACACTCAGTATTCACTGAAAAAAAGTGTTTCCTATGTATGCACTAACTTTCTAGGAGAAATATCATATACAAAAACAAAGATCGGGAAAATAATGTAAACACAAAGTAAAATCACACTTTTTTTTGTTGCTGTTGGTGGTTAATTTCTTGCAATAGTGTAATCGTAATTCACGTAACAAGTCCGGAAAATACTGTTTTTTTGGACGAGTAGACAAAATGTTAGGTCGAGCCGTAGGCGAGTCCTGGAAGTCTGCGAGTCCAATAAAACTGTTTTTGGAAGTGTTCCGTACACAGTTTTCTCGGCAACCATGTAGAATTACAAACCAATGAGAATCATTGCCATATTCTTTGTAGAATACAATTTCTGCTTTATTAATTCTCATTTGTATCAAATACTGAAATTTGAACAGAATACCTATACCTACTAACTGTTACATTGGAAATTTCGTAATGACATTTTCAAACTCACTAGGGTCCCTTGATGAAAATTGACGTTAAAGTCATCTTAACAGGGTACGGACAGATCATAGCTGCATTCTTTTTTAATGATATAGATACTTTAGTTTTGTCTACTGGCATCCCTGACATTGCTGTCACTTCACGTCCATGGGCGCTACAGAAAATCATTCAACATTTCAATAATAGTATGTACAGGGTATTCACTTGTTGAGGAAGATCATATGGCGAACAAGTATTGTAATGAAGATCTGATTCTATTCAAAATTGATATCTAAGGGTATTCGGGGTAGGAGATATTGATTGTTTCGTCAAAATTGGAAAATCCAAGATAACGGATCCAATATGGCGAAAGACATTAGTTTATATAATTATTACTCTACCACAAATAGAAAATATGTAGGATGCAAGGGTGGAAATAACGTGCCTATGAGTTATACTGCGTATATATACCTACTTGTTTGTTACTTTCATCGATAAATTATTTGGAAATTACTTTTCATTCAAGGGAGAAGGGAGAATGTCATATGTATAACATGGGGGTGAAGTTTATTCTATTCTTTATTTTCCTGCACATTTTACTTATTACTTTTCATCAGCCTACTTTTCGTCCTAGACGAAGTTTTATACATAGTCTGTTATTAGTCACTCCATAAATTCTTCTTCGAGTTGGATATCCGAAAATATATTTAGCACACATTACATGAGTACAGTAGTTTAGATACTCACATCAAGGTTTTCATCATTTCTCAATCAAAAGGCTCAGCTCATTCAGCTCATAGATGAACTACTTACTGCTCAGTTGAAATCAGAATTCATTCAGTCAATTCAGTCAACCCTCGTATACAGCCTAAGAACAGTCCCTTTTGGTGAAATATATTGAGCTTTCAGTACAATTCATATGTTCCCTACCTCGCAAAAATTATGCTGGAGTAGTAAACTCTAAAACTAGAGGATTGTTCATCTATATTTTGGTATACTTGAATCAGGAATTCCATATGGAAATTACGTATGATACGCCAGTGACCTAAAAAACAACGAATGTCAAAAATCTAGTGTTTATCCCCAGAATTGAATAAGGATGGAACTATATAACTGTTTCACAAACACTTTAGAGTGAGAGGAGACGAGGATCTGTCCGTACCCTGTTAAGATGATTTTAACGTCAATTTTCATCAAGGGACCCTAAAACTCACTATCGCTGCTGCTTCCGATAGTTTATTGCGATAATTGCAACCAAACTTTCAAATATCAAAATGTCAAATAGCTGTCAGCCGATATTTCGCTGATATGGTGATAATTATCATCTGCATTTAAGATTTTCATAGTTACTGTGACAACAACGATGGACTGGGCCGGAAAAATGCTACTTTCTCAAAGAAAAAGCGTCCGGGAAGTGACTGAAGTGAGTACTACCCGGACGGTTGCCGAAAAAGACAATTTAGAAATAACCATCTTACTTTCTGGACCAATCCGTGTTCATGTTCGTGACGATTCTCAAGGTCTCGACCATCTGTTGGTGCTCTTTCTCGGACTGCGGCGGCCGCAGCAGATCGGGGAGGATCGTCTTGGCCACCTAGAAGTATACATGGTGTATCGTTAATATTGTAAAACAATGTCGGGAATTCAGGTGGATTCCTTACAAACCAATGAAAAAATAATTCGTATCCAAAGGAAAGAAATTTTCGAGATAAACAGTTACAGTTAAGATCGCCGTTTCACTGCCTACTTCTGAAACTTTTGTCTAGATGGCGGTGAGATGGCCGTTTGCACTAAAATATGAGAATTTTCAAGACGGTAGTGCGCCACGATATACCCCTAGTACGTATTCGTAGTTTCCTTCTTTCTAGTCAGTTCGGGCAAGTCCTCCATAGGTGTCGGAATACTAGCATCGAATCGGAATAGAATTGATCGATCAATCATAGAATATAAAAATAACACAGTTTATATTCTTGGGTTCAAATATGAATATAGTTTATATTCTTGGGTTCAAATATGGAGTGAAATTCTGGATGTGTGCTTGCTCTTACCGTCCGCGCAAAATATGTAGTATTTATAGGTCTCGATCTCGATCCAGATAATGGCTGACCTGACTTTGTTTACTATGTTTATGTTTACATCGCGAAGCGTAGAACCAAAGAGTAGGGGATGGTAGAACCAGAACCGAGCCGTCACGATTATCATTGTCAGAGATAAATCATGAGGGCTTTGGCAGAACGCGGGAATTTCGCACTGAATTGTTATCTACGAGAATAGTTGGAAACTCAATAGGTATCAAGTGATATCAATATCAAGCATTTCATTCAAAGCAAAAATGTTACATGTGGTCTTTTTTTACAAGCATCATCAAATCTTGCAAGTTAAATTTGACGCACTTTCTGATCGTCCGATTGATTAAAAACTTGGCAGGTGGACATGATTTTGGTGACAATGCATTATGAAATAATTAGGTTTTCGGGGTCGGAGATTATGATTCTCTTGTCAAAATTGAAAAATTCAAGATGGCGGCTCCATGGCGGACTGGTTTTGTGCTTATGATCTGATTCGATTAAGAATTAGTAGGTATCTGGGGGTTTTCGGGGTCGGAGATCATGATTCTTTTGTCAAAAATGGAAAAAATCAAAATGGTGGCAAAATAGTGTAGGTACGAGTTTTGTGATTATGGACCGATTGTATTCAAAATTGGTATCTGGTGGTTTACGGAGTCAGAGATTATGATTCTCTTGTCAAAATTAGAAAATTCAACATGACGGCTCCAAAATGGCGGACGAGTTTATTGTGATTATGGTCCGATTCTATCAAAAATTTGTAGGTATCTACGTATCTATATAGGCTTTTCGGATTCGGAGATTATGATTTTCTGTCAATATAAAAAAATTCAACATGGCGGAATAGTTTTGTGATTATGGTACGATTCTATTCAAAATTTGTATTTGTGGGTTTTCGGGGTCGGAGATTATGATGTTTTGTCAAAATTCAAAAATTCAACATGGCGGCTGAAAAATGGCGGAAGAGTTTTTTTGGTAATGGGCCCATTCTATTCGGTATCTTGGTGTTTTCGGAGTCAGAAATTATGATTTCTTGTCAAAATTCAAAAATTCAACATGTCGGCTCAAAAATGGCGGAAGAGTTTTTTGGTAATGGGCCCATTCTATTCGGTATCTTGGTGTTTTCGGAGTCAGAGATTATGATTTTTTGTCAAAATTCAAAAATTCAACATGGCGGCTCAAAAATGGCGGAAGAGTTTTTTTTGATAATGGGACCATTCTATTCGGTATCTGATTGTTTTCGCAGTCGGAGATTATATTTTATTGTCAAAATTCAAAAATTCAACATGACTGCTCCAAAATGGCGGAGCAGAGTGGTTTTCGGAGTCGGAGATTACCTATGATTTTTTGTCAAAATTTAAAAATTCAACATGGCGGCTCAAAAATGGCGGAACAGTTTTGTGATTATGACTATTCAAAATTTGTTTTTGGGGGTTTTCGGAATCGGAGATTATAATTTTTTGTCAAAGTTCGAAAATTCAACATGGCGGCTCCAAATAAGTGGCGGACAAGTTTTGTGATTATGGTCCAATTCTATTCAAAATTGTTATGTATATATGTGGAGGGTTTTGGGGTCGGAGATTTTTTTTTTTTAGTTTCACTTGTCCTAGTGTCTTGTATGTTGCATGAATAAACAAGTTGAATGAATAAACAAAAAAAAATCAAAACAAGCTTTTATTTGTTGTTACTAAAGGAAGAACTGGAAACTGGCGCGATGTCCTGTCGCTGCTTATACAGGGTGTTCATTATTGTTGCACGAAATTTCGAGGTCAGATTTGTTGAGTCGAAATATAAATAGAGTTATACTAGCTTAATTCTCGAGGAAAAAAATGGAAACCAAACCTATGCATGGCTGTTGAGAGAGAAAAATACTCTAGAAATCAATCGGATAATTATGGCAAAACAAGAACCCACTTATCGTAAATGAAATCGGTTGAAGTTCAGAAAAAAATTGTACACCCTGTAGGTACCTATCTCGGAACGAATCATTTCCAGAAATTATATTCATACGAACTTTGTTCATATTTTGGCCCATAAAATCTGATCTTGAAGTTTCATCCAACAATAATGACACACCCTGTATAGACATTGCAGAAGGCAGAACCGACCGTACGATCAGCGGCTCCGATCGAATGCGAAGAAACAAAAGGATTGCACCTATACCTATTCGCATATTTATTTTGTATTGGCTATAAACTCATTCTGAATTATTTTTCAGTTATACGATGAACTAATGTTCATCATATATAAAACCCAATCACGAATCTGTGATTAGAGGTTTTTCGAAAGAGAATGGAAATTCTCAATTTCAGAAGATTTTAATTTTCAAATTATTTTTTCGTGTGTGTTCAATAGATGTAATTCAATGTTCATCGTTGGCATTAGCCGGGAAAGTAGTTGTTTTCTGTTGAATATACCTACCGATAAAGAATTCATATTTTCACTAGATAGAGAATGCAAATTCTCAATATTTTTCTTGATAAGTTTTATATTTTCTTCATGTTCATAATATATCTGAGAATATTCCTTTCCAAAAAAAAACATTCTGAATTACTTTATTCGATATCGGCTTCCAGGATGTTAGTATATTGTATAAACCATGGTTGTACATTTTCTGACTATTACATGTATACTAAAAACAACACCAAATTTGTGTAAGGCATTTGAAGAGATTGAAATGTAGTATTATTTTGAATAGTATCACAATAGGTATTATACCTACCTATACCTAATAGGTATTTATTTTCATCTCTACTCGTCGGGTGTATGAGATATTCTTTGTTCGAAACCAAGCCGCCAACACGTGTTCTTGTGACAAAATCGCTGTAGGTAGAGAGGTACTAATAATAATAATAATAATAATAATAATAATAATAATAATAATAATAATAATAATAATAATAATAATAATAATAATAATAATAATAATAATGCGTTGGAGGCCGCAGAGTCGTGACTGGAATTTGAATAATTTCAAATTTCATAATAATAATAATACTAATAATTTATTCACCTAAGTAAAGAAAATACACAATGGGTAACAAGGGTATATACATAAATAACAAGTGAATAAATAGGTATCCACAAAGGGATGAAGTCCTGTACGTGGATGGTATGAACATAATATAATATATGCGCGGTAAGTAAAATAAACATTCTATCGATAAACAAAAAAAGTAGAATGAACAATACACATATACATATAAAGGTGACTTTCAGTTCAAATCATCGACCGATAATATACTTTTTCTTACGACCATCTATGAAAACAGCGGATAGGTACCTATTACCACACTGTTATGTTATTTGGAAAGTAGCACATTTCAATATTGTAACAGAGAATTGTAAAGTAAAACGCATTAGTGTGGAAATGTTTTACAAACGCACGCTCGCAGTGAGTTGATGAATATAATGTAATTTCAAGTTTTTTATATGATTATTAGCGCTCCCCTCGCGTTGACTCTGGGCACTGACCTGTAGCCGAAAGCACCCGCACCTCCCAATAACGAATAACGATCCCCATGCCCCATAGAAATAGAAATAAACATTTTGTTTGTCTCTGTCTTGCGAATATATCTGTCCTTGCCTCCAGTTCCTGGTCTTAGGAGAGCGAGGTAGTCTAGCAACAACGATGTTCAAACTCTGTTTTGAACCAGTGTTGCAAAGGGTATAAAATTTTAGTTGAATCCACTGCAAAACAGTAGTTACAAATAATGATTGATTTATATCTTATTGACAATTCTTGCTCTATTGCTAAACCACAGGATCAATTATTTTACCCCAATTGTATGTACCTATACAAGAATATAGTCACTCGCTATTTTGACCTTTCCCATTCGCTACTTCATAATGGGTGCTACCTATGAAAAAAGTTGAAGGAAAAAGCCGTAAGCTTATAGTTTGATACAAAAAACCAAAAATTGTTCTCACAGGTGGGATATGTGACTTTGTTGAGAAAGTGAAGTGTCAGAATTCAAACGAGTAAATAAAAGTATAGGTAGGTAGGTACCTTACCTACATTGTCATAAGGGCTGCCCGATATTGGATTTCAGTTATCGATTATCAACAAGTGTGTTATCGATAAGTATATACAGGCTGTTTCAAATTATATTATATATATGCATGAATATCTTAGATACTGTTACTGGCAAAGTTACGCAATCAGAATACCGACAAGACAAAAAAATCCGCCTATTTCAGGAGATATACATCAGGATAATGCGAAAAAATGAAATTTGGTTTTTATTTTTCCCTGACTTCATTCAGCGACAAAAAGAAAAAAATATTCAACATTGTCATGGTAATTTTTTAATTTCATAATTTTTTGTTGCCTGTTTTGATTTGACCCTAAATCACGTTTATTTTTCTTGGTGACAACACTGTTAATTATTCGCGCCTTCTGTCGCCCTTCCCGCGCAGCAACACAGTCATAGCAACACAGTCATTGAGTCATTGCAGATGTCATTTATCACTTGTTCTTCTGTCTCATCGGATCGGCAATAAACTGAACTGAATGATTATTTTGGAACAGACTGCGGTTTGGGCATACCTTTCACTGTTCGCCTCTTTTCCTCGCCCCGGCTCTTTTCAGCACTATATACCTAATGGCATTATAACTATATGCCTCACGAGTATTCCTATAAGATGAGAAATTAATGAAATATTTTTTTCCAAAGATACCTATGATTTCAATTCCACCAAACAAAAACATAACCTCTAAATGAGATATCTGAAAACGCCTTTTCATACTAAAAAAAAACATACTCGGGGTACTTTCAATATCGAAATCCAAGTGTTTACTTACTTTATTGCTTTCACATTCTGGAATTCACCTGCGTTGAAGCGATTATCATTTTTGATGAATTCCAACAATAATAGTCCAACTTGAAACTTGAGGTCACGATTCTACGGACCAAACAAAGCGTTTCGGTTTCCATTTGAATTTATTTCAAATACGAAAAATTTTAAAATTTCCTTTTAGGCTCAAACGTAGGTAATATCATATAAAAAACGCGGAACGACGCGATCGCCATCTGTTGGTTTTATGTGAATACAACATCTCATGAAATTTCAGTTAGCAGTGCCGAAGTTGCAAGATTACAGAATTACAGCAAGATGAGTGTGTACCGCCATCTATTAGGTAGGGTCCGAACCGGTCCGAACTACCAAATTCATGTTTCCTACTTTATCTTCGAAGGATATTGCAACGAAACCAAACCTAATAATCGAAAAATGGCGTCCTTGTGTCAAATTTCAGGTTTTTGTTCGAATGGAGACATTCCAGGAGCTGATATTTTGGTAACGCATTCCTAAATTTTGGTTCCATACAATGAGGTAATTTTATTAAAATCTGAGACACAAAAATTTACAATGTTTACATTTTTCAAAGACCCCTAACTTTTTTCAATGGACGAGTTTTGACTCCGAAAAATACTGATTCCCTAATTTGAACCTTCCTCTTTACGATAATTCAATTAGTTTTGAGATTGAATTCATGACAAGGCCAGAAAGGTCAAATGAAAAAGGGTCTGCTAAACCATTTTAGTGAAACCCTCCTCTTAAACGAAAAAAAAAAACTGAAAACAGATGTACCAGATAGAAAAAGCAACCGAAACTAGAACGAATCATACAAATGGTGTTCAACATAACGATGACCAGTTTGACATTTTAATTTTTTTCACAGCACACTTCAAAATCACATGAATTTATACAAACCTAGAGATTTATTAGATCTGATATCAATTTGAAAAAATCAAGTAGTACTCTGTAGATTGTTTGTTTCGAGCACCCTGTATTTTCTGATGCAACGGAAAAAAAAATTCTGAAAAATCATTTCAGATTATTTTTCAAATTTTTAAATCGGTTCAAAAATGAGTGAGCTAGAGGGGGGGACATTTATTTTGAATCACCCTGTACCTCTCATTTTGGTCCCATTTTTGTTGAGATATCGTATAGGCGATGCGTCATATATAGAAATAGTAGATCTATATGTTATTCCTGTTTATAAGACTTGAAGTAATATGAGGAAGGAAAATATCTCTTCTGCATGAAAATGTAGAGTACTATTTCGACCTAACTTGTCCTAAATGAACCTTTTTCCTAAAAAGTATATTGTTGAAAAATTGATTGAGTGAAAAAAAAATTGCCTCTTCGCAGGGATTGAACTCCAGTCGCCAACGTGGAAGTCAGATACACAGAACAGACCATTAAGCTATCGCTTCACTCGTAGTAGTTCTAGTTTCCCAATTTAAAGAAGGAAGAAATATTATGTGTTGTGGGTGACGTCACTTGACATCTATGTATGAAGCATAGCTGTCCTCAAAGCGGGACAAACTTTTGTCCAGCTTAACCCCCAGGTATTTCACAGGGACCGTGTTCGTTGACTTTCTGGTGGAAGTTGATCACTTCCGTTGCCGCGCTATTTATACAGATCTTTGACTCGTCAAAGTAGGGCACGATTTCCCTGTCTACATGAATCTGGATTTTGCTGTCTGGCAATATCACAGTCGAACGAGTGAGCATATATCGCAGTATCGTCTGCGTATTATGCTGTACTCGTTCGCTCGAATACAGGGAAATCGTGCGTATACACGGTGTATAGCAGAGGTGAGGCAAGATCCCTGCGGAACACCTGCCTCGAGTGGAAAATCCCCCGACATACTTTCGTTGACCTTGTTGATATATGCATCTATAACCTTGATGATAAAAATCGCCTTGTACAGCTTGGACTTTAGACCTTCGTGCCAGACGGTGTCAAATGCCTTTTCTATGTCCATAATGACCAAAACAGTGTTTTTGTTGTTATTGCTGGCCTCCTTTACCTCGTGAACAATTCGGGCCACTTGGGACACTGTGTTGTGTCCCTTGCGGAACCCGAATCGCTCCTTTGGTATGAGGTCCAGATTTTTGATGTGGCGTGTTATGAGTCGTAAGAGAACTTTATCCACGATCATGGCTACTGCGCTGAGCAGAGATATGGCGGGGCGGTAGCCATCAATTTTCCTTCAAGGATCATTATTTTCTGGTAACAAATGCTTAGGGAATGTGAATATACTGGGTACAGCATCTAGTTTCAATAACCTAGCTGTACCTGGTATGTCTAAATAAATAATCAGTTGGCAGGAAATGCTCTCCACAAAGCTTGCTGGTTTTAGATGGAGTCCAAAACTCTCTCTACGAACTGCCTTAATCCATAATTCAAGAAAGTTTGATAGAAAACTGCAACAAATAATATTACTTAATATGTTTATGGGAAAGTGATGGAAGTATTAAACTTCAAATAATATAGGTATAGAGTTTTTGAACATATTCTGAGACTGGGAACATTGTACACCTAACTGATGATCATTTCAAGAACTATATTTTCCAAAAATCTGAACAATATTCAACATACCCATGGAATGACAATTTCCTTTTGTCTTGCTCGTTCTTGCATCCAAAGGCGACACAATAAATCACCATTTGTTTATCAAACAAATTCAGTCCTTTTTATGAAACAAAACACGCCAAATAAATAGATATTCCACATAAACAAAGACAACTTATGTCTTCACTTTCTTGTCTGTTTAGATGAGAGAAAAAAATCTGCAGTACTTTAATTATTAGATAAAAGAAAACGTAAACACCAATCCACCATTAAACAACACGAGTAGGAAAGAGACAGGTTACCGTAAATCATGCTATCTTTGTTGCAGCTGCCCCTGACACATTTTATGCTATTCGAGAGAACGGCCGTCTCCCTTCCAGTTGTTTTTATTGAATTCATTAACATATGGAGCCCTAATATGGGGCAATGCATCAAATTGCTATTTACAAAGAATTTTAATCATTCAAAAAGCTGCATTACGCAGTATAAAAAAAGTTAATTGGGAAGTCAGCTGCAGACCTATATTTGAGGAACTAAAGATCATGACCATATTTTCGACCATTCTGTACCATAACCTATTGCATGTAAAAAAAAACATGAGCAACTATCAATCACAATCCGATTTCCACAGACATGACATAAGAAACAAATCTATACTATTGCAACCATACACTAGATTACGTAGGCATACAATGCATTACCAACCGAATTTCGTGATCTATCATTTTCCAAATTTTCGATAAGACTGAAAATAATATTCTGGCAGAGAACTGCATATACTCATTTGACGAATATTGCAAGTTATTCAAAAACAGAGACATCTTAACAAAAACTAGGTAAACCAATGTACAATATGATATTTTATAATTCCATTTTATTTTTAGATACTTACTTATACTTGGACTATTGTCCTAGTTTAATTTGACTAATGTCATATTTTAACTTTGGCTAATGTCCTTTTTTAATTTGACCATTGTCCTATTTTTACTTTGACGTGTTTCATAATATTATAATATTTCTGAACTAAATAAATTCAATTCAATTCAATTGTTTTCTATCGCGAAAAGACGGTTTATTACCTTGAAGGAGTCGACGACCTGCCAGGAGAGGGCGTTGTGCACGTGCATCTCGTCGTTGACGATGTAGCAGCGGCCGTCGCCGTCCGCTATCTCGACGGCGAAAGTACGCCGGAAGCCGTACAGCTTCTCCGAGTCCAACAGGCTGTCGGGCAGCTCGCGGAACGTGCCCGACACGCCGATCACGGCGCACCTGCACTGGAAACGGACAGACGAGTGAGGTTAGGGTGCTCGCCAGTGTTGCCAACTCAGATTTGGCAAGCGGAAGTGGGAAAAATGCGCCGCAAGCGAAAATTTTTGCGAATCTAGTGATTTTCTGGTGGTTTCAACTTCAGATCACTAGATGACACCGGATAAAGAAATCAGATCAGGTGAAAACAGTTTTTTTAACAGAAAACAAAACGAGCAAAATAAATTATTCATAACATCAATATTATGTTACATGTATAACAAGAAATAAAAGTCAGCATTTGAGATCGTACAAAACCAGCCAAAATTGGAGATAACCGTTAGAAACTGATTTCAGTTAACACTGGTTTTTCCATGAAAACTTTTCTCTAATAGGTATTACATTGTTAGAATTAAAATATTATATAAAACAAGAGGCATTTCGGATGCCTCCCCAACCACCAGATTTCACCAATTATTTGAAACAATTCACCAAAATTAACACCATCCACTAGATGCCATATTTTGTCACAAAACGAGAACTGAAACCACCAGTTCTAGTGTGAAATCCACTAAGTTGGCAACACTGCTGCTGCTCACATAACTAATGGTGGGTACCAGTGTTGCCAACCGTACTATAATTATAGTACACGTACTATGATTTCGATGTTATGTACTACTCAATTTTAGAGTAATAGTAAAAACTTCACAAACGATAAGATTTTCACAAAATTCTCAAACACACGACATGTTTCGCTAACACAGTAGCTTCTTCAGGTGATATACTGGTACAATAAACTAAACTAACGTTGGCTTGTTCAACTTTTATATATCCTACTTTCCCAACCTGAAGGATTAGTTGTGTGGACAGGTACGATAAACCTCCATTTTCGGAAATATCTATATTAAAATGCGGTGTACCGGATTAACTTGAAAGAATTGATAGCAAATACATATTACTTACTAATAAGGAAACAAATTCAAAGTTTGATGGGGTCTTCGTTTGATTTTTTAAATGTGTGATTGTCACCTTTGGCAATTTCAGGGCACGTGGGCCCTTATAAAATCAATAACCCGACCCTTTTCATAAATAAATAAAAATTTCAATGTTTTTATTGAGAACACAAAAAATTGATTCTACCTAATCATGGTGCATACGTCTTTGTCTTGTGCCATTTTATTGTCTAAATTATCAAAAGTTTGACTTTTTCATTTCCATAACTAATTCTTGTATTCGGCTGATGATGGGCTTATACAGGGTGACCCAGGGTTAAACCGCCAAACGTTAAGGGTCGGTTATTTGGGCAAAAATAAGACTTTTTTTCTAATGAACATATGTCAACTTGCTTTGTTTTCGATATACAAGGTGTCAAAGTTTTCAGAAAAAATCGGTTCTTCATTAATTACGGCTTGAACTTACGGCAGATTTCGATGAAACTTGATATGCTTATTTGCGGTGAAACGGAGCTCCATTTGATGTAATCCGAATTAAATTATTTCCATTGGCGTCCCAGAAAGTAATCCAAATTTCAGAATCCTCACCCAACGATTACGTAAGATACAGGGGTGTTTCCATTAGAAGTGGGTCACACTTTATATTTTTTTTATCGCTTGGAGCGCACGAAAGGGAATCCCTATAATGTTCAAAGAACATCGTGCGTTCCTAGGGAGGATAGGGACAGGAGGTAGGTATTGGAATTTTTTTTGAACTTTTGGAGATTATATGTTGTTGGAAATACTTCCACAGGCAATGGATTCCAGAGCCTAGCCGTTCTATGGATGAAGGAGTCTTGATACAGTGCTGTTCGACATCTTTCGAGGTTGACAACGAAAGGATGTGCTGACTGGGCTTGTCTAGTTCGTCTGATTGGTATTGCTAGTGAATGGATGATAGTAGAGATTTCCGAAGAACATTTCCCGTGGAAGTATCGATAGAAAAGTGAAAGATCGCCATGAGTATTTACGATACTTGTTTCATAAATATCTATTTGCGATAGAAAATAACACGTCGCCCCACCTGACGGAAGCAACTTGAACACTTCTGCTGGTTTGACTTGATGATATGACCAATAAACACAAACAAAAACAAATGTGAACCAATGAAAACAAAGTGAACAAGCCGCTTTGACAGCTTTCAAAAACTCCGATAGGTGGCGTACTGTAGAATAACATTTGTTTTGATATCATTTTCTTGAATATGATACTGCGTAAACCCAGTTTGAACTGTGAATATTTTACTGTGAAATACAAAGAAATGATGTGATTTTTCCTTTAAAAAAAATCTGAACTTATGAGTAATGTAATGTTGTTGGTTTCCAGTATGAAATGACTTTTTCGAGACATTATGAATAAATATTCAGACAATAACTTTATGAATAAATAATTCAACTTGATTGGACTAGTGCACTTACAGTATAGTACATTAGATCCACATAAAAGGAGAATGGATCGTGTTCAACGGCGGGTAAGTTACCCAAAACGTTTGCTATATCCACATTCCCTCGTACTAAAAACTTGCTTTGTCTTGAGAAATCTGCCAGTTTATGCAAATTCCTAGATATACTGTTGTACTTGAATAACCTGAAAAAAAACAACAAAAAATTAAAATTATAGAAGAATTAGGCATTATACAAAAAAATAAATAGGTCTCCAGAATATTCCACCTTGTTGTTGCTGATGAAAGTTGTCCGTTGATGTACAGCGTGTTGAGCGAAAAGAGGGCATCTTTATGGTAAAGATCCTTGATCATTTTTCGATTGTGTGAATCATATATCGAGAAGTAGTGTTCCAGAAATTTGTTTACCAAATTTACACCTTCTTCGTTGCAAAGGAAATTTTTCTTGTGTCTAGGGAACGGTCCACAATTCAAGGGAAGTCCGTCCTCAAAAAAGTGTAAATATTAGTTTTGATAATAATGAACAATCTCTCGAGAACGTTCAATGGGCGAGTAGACTGATTATTATAAATTATTGGCATTCAATTACTCCACTGTGCCTTAGGGACCTAAATTCATTTTTACAACACTTCTCACGCTTTTTTTCATGAATATAATGAGTCTATACAGGGTGTTTCAGTTTTTTGTATCAGGACTTTAACAGCTTGAAGAAGACATTTTTTCAAGATGAAAATCTCAAACAAACATATATGCGTGGGAGCATCGTTTCCGATTTACAGGGTGTCAAAGTTTCAGTTCTTTTTTATGTTTTTTGAATTTTCTCCTACAATTTTCGGAATAATTGATTGAAATTCAGTACACCTAATACACTCCAAAAACTCAATATTTGAGGGTATTGAGCGTTTTTGAATACCTACAGGGTGATAGACTTTCAGGTGTCGTACCCAATTTGACCCTGTATAACTTTTTTGCGTGCCGCCTCTGCTTTCAATGGGACAATTTGGAAACTTTTTGCCCTCATGTATGTTTTCCGAAAACTGTATGGATTTCGAGATAAATAAAAGCGGAGTCCGAACCACTTCTAAGGGTACTGATAAAATTAGAATTGCCGTTCACGAGATTAAATTATTAAAACTCACAACACCTCAACCGTCAGAAGCGACAGTTTAGCGATGTATAGCGCCTAGACCGTGTGTCATACAGTCCCTGATATCGAAAGTTTAACCAGTTTCAGTTATACAGGGAGTCCTAGAATTTTCTACAATACAATTCCAGATTTTGCAATCCAGTTAGAGAAGTTTTTTTAAAATGAAAACATTTTTTCTTTGTTTTTCCTAGTTTTGATTATAATGGTGTTCAAAAAATTCAATCTAATTTTGCAACTGAATTTCATTTGGTATGGAAGCTTCCGGTCATTCTATTTTCTAATAAAATGTTTGAGAAATGTCAAATAAGTGTGTTTCAGAAATAACGGTTCTATTACAAGTAATTTATTTTTGGCATTTATCTCGAGATCCATACAGTTTTCGAAAAATTTACATAGGGGCAAAAAGATTCCAAATTGAAAGGACAATCTGAATTTATGTCCGATTTAAAGCAGAGACGGCACGCAAAAAAGTTCTACAGGGTTAAATTGGGTACGACCCCTGAAAGTCTATCACCCTGTAGGTATTCGAAAACGCTCAATAGCCTCAAATATTGAGTTTTTGAAGTGTATTAGGTGTACTGAATTTCAATCAATTATTCCGAAAATTGTAGGAGAAAATTCAAAAAACAAAAAAAAATCTGAAACTTTGAGACCCTGTGAATCGGAAACGAAGCTTCCAGTATGTTTGTATGAGATTTTCATCTTGAAAAAATGTCTTCTTCAAGCTGTTAAAGTCCTGCTACAGTATAATCAAGTTACCAAAATGATGTTAGAGTGCTGTCGTTGAATAACATATACAGGGTGTCCGCTAAAAGGAGGTCAATCCATTAACCACATATTCCTTGGACAAAAACAATATGAGTTTCTAAATATCATTTTTCATTTTAGCCCTTCATATTCGGTATACAGGGTGTCAAAGTTGGAAATTAAAAACTGTTTTTTTCTAATTACTCGCGTATTTGATAAAATATTAATCTCAAAATTGGTACATTACTTCAGCACAAAGAGTTACATCGTGTGAGGAAAACAAAACAGAAAATATCTGTCAAATATTCAAAATACTGGGGGTCAAGTTCACACTTACCCCCATATTTTGTTTGTACGTGCGCTAATGACTCCCTATCTATTTTCCTTAAAGTGTTCAATCATTTTTGAGTATTTTTTGTTTCCTGTAAAATTTCGATTGAATCATTTGTTTTTAAGATAATTCGAAAAGTACTGGTTATTGTTTGATGCCTATGCGGCTTAGGTAATCTGATAATGTTCACATACTCCTATTTATTTCGTCGAAATTGAAAGAGGGCGTATCTTTTTACGCACGAAAAGGTAAATATGGAAATACCGGGTGCTCGGAGCAAATGTACTAAAATAATTTTTACAAAAAAAAAAAAAATTAAAAAGTGTAAAAATTATTTTAAGTATTTCCATATTCACCTTTTCGTACGTAATAAGATACGCCCTCTTCCAATTTCGACGAAATAAATAGGAGTATGTGAACATTATGAGATTACCGTAAGCCGCAAGGCATCAAACAATAACCAGTACTTTTCGAATTATCTTAAAAACAAATAATTTTATCGGAATTTTACAAAAATCAAAAAATACTCAAAAATGATTGAACACATGAAGAAAAATAGATAGGAAGTCATTAGCGCACGTACAAAAAAAATATGGGGGTAAGTGTGTACTTGACCCCTAGTATTTTGAATATTTGACAGTTATTTTCTGTTTTGTTTTCCTCACATGATGTAACTCTTTGTGCTGAAGTAATGTACCTATTTTGAGATTAATATCTTATTAGTTACGCGAGCAGTTTTTAATTTTCAACTTTGACACCCTGTATATCGAATAAGAAGGGCTAAAATGAAAAATGGTATTTAGAAACTCATATTATTTTTGTTCAAGGAATATATGGTTAATGGATTGACCTCCTTTTAGCGGACACCCTGTATAATAGGAGGTATCCATGATATTTTAGTTCATCCTTGACTTTTTTGAGCAACCAGCATGTCCAAATATTTCTCATACCCCATAACAAAATATCATGTAATTGTTGGAGACTCGGCAACATTGTGCTGAATGCTGAGAACCGCGATAAGACCACGCCCACAATTCGTGCGCCGTGTTGTCACGTTTACCGCTTCAAATGTCCTCTACTATAGATTAATATAATTCTTTTTACACAAATTTGTTTTTCTACAAACGTCAAAAAATGACAAGGTTCGCGCATTGATAACAAATTGCGAAGTGACACTTTTTTTCAGTTTCCTACGTTACAATGATTCCTTGCACAAAACAATGCGCGAAGTAAAACAGTGCGCGAAGTAGGTACCTACTTCGCGCATTGTTATGTTAAATAAATGAGATATTTATATTTCAACTTTATGGTCCTCAATCGAGCAGACATCCACAACATCATTTATTTCTGAATGTTCAACAATAACTTTGCATTTTCTCTTGGAGCGCACGAAAGGAAATTCCTATTATGTTTGTGGAACATCTTGCGTACCTAGGGAGGATAGGGGGAAACCTATCAAGCCAGTTCAATATTATTGTTTATATCAAGTTAAGCATATTTTTACTTTAGAACTATATTTTTTGACGTTTGTAGAAAAAATTTTGTTTGCAACTCGAGCGCGAAATACTTTGGTCATCTCGACTATTTTTTCAACTCGGCTACGCCTCGTTACAAAAATCAGATCTCGATCACCAAAGTAGCATTTCGCGCTCTAGATACAAAAATAACTATATAAGCATAAGACACAAATCATGAGGGAACATTTTGAGACCATTGATTTTATATTGCTAAATAGGAATATTACCAATACATAATCGAGAATTTATGGATTATTGCATTAAGCATTTGTGAAGATTTTATTTAAGAAATAAAAACATAGTCCACTCGCCTATTTATATTTTCTGCATTCATTCTGTGCTGACAGAACTCACAATAAATATTGAAAGGGTACAGAAATCATAAACTGCAAAGACTTACCAGTTTTTCCAAATGTTTACAATATGTTTTGACTTGATCAACATATTCTTCATTGCTCAAATTTTCACACAGAGGATTACCATCCAAATACAACTCTGACAATTTGAATGTTTTCAAAGTTTGTAAGGCCTTAGTAGTAGTCAACTAGAGATAAAACACAATGTACTAATTTCAAAACCAAAAAGTGATGTTGAAAAAATTAAGCTCACCCAGTTATTTCTCAAATCCAACATTTTCACACTCATAGTATGACCGCCAATAGCTTCAAGAGGATTCAAAATTTTTATCCTATTATCCTGCATCAAAAACTTTTCCGGAATTGGTACTAAATTTTTAGACAGATGTAGAACGAAAAACATAATTTTTGGCTGTGAAAGGGGACAAAACTCTGTCAATTCTGAAATCAGTAGAAATAGTTGAAAATTCTGAAATACTTTCATAAAAATTGAGAATTCCATAAAATATATTGATAAAAATAGTATATTGTGCAACAAGTGGGAACAAGCCTGAAGGGCGAGTGATGCAAACACATGAGTGAGAAATATCTCTAGAATATAAAAAAATAATTGATATACCTGCGTCTTCATAAAACCTTATCAAATTCAACGTTTTTGTAGCTGTATCATATCGCCTACTCAAAACACTCATGATATTTTTCTGTACATCTATTTTAAACTCATTGGTGGTAGCAAATTTTAAAATAATTTCCAGTCTCAACTACAAAGAAATTTATTTTATTAACATTCAGATTCATTCCAAAGCAGATTCTTACTGGTCTTTGGCCATTAGGAACAACTAGATTGTCATTACATAATTTCTGAATAGCCGGACCACAATTTCTTGCTACGAAATGACAACCTTTTTTGTCAGTAAAGTAAGCGACTGGTATCAAATCAAGGGGATGAACGTGGTCCAAAATAGCCCCTAAGACTGTATCACGTGACTGGTTTTCTACATTGCTAATAACCTGAAAGAAATAATTCCAATGGTAGGGCCAAAAGAGCACAATCTTTGTACAGGATGTCCCTCCGGGAACTGCATCGATCAATACATAGAAAACCATAGGTGGGCCGGATTTGAAAATTTGGGACTTCACTATTGTTGATAAGTGCTATCCGGCTAAAATATTTTGAAGATTGTGGCACTTCCGGTTGTACCGGAAGTGGACCCCAACTTCGTTATTTCAAATAGGACACCCTGTATATTATCAAGGTTTTAGATTTTACGCGTGATTCTGAACATGTTTCATGTATACTGTCCTATACCCAAGTATAACCGTCTTCGAAATATTTGAAATTTTAAGTTGAAAATTGCGTTTGCTGACCTAAAAATATTTTTTTTTACATTGTAGAACTTTGGATGAAAAAAATGGTCTAACCTCAAATTTTATCTTTATTCCTAATTTTTTTTTATTACTGCCATTCAATAGTACACGTGGAGCTTCCTCAGTGTTTGGAATATTTGCACTTATTTCAATGCCACCCTGTATACACTTTATTGTCAGTTTTTGAAATATAGATTTTTTGGTATAGATCTGCAATTTCTGGCATTCTACAGCTGCCTTAGAATCCAGATTGTTTGAAAACTGGCAAAGAAAACCCCAATGGAGTATATACAGTGTGTGCGATTTCAACCTGCAACACCCTTCTAATTTGGAACCCGTAGACCGATTTACAAAAACAATAGCTAAAATACCCCCATATGAAATTTGAACGCAAAATCTCATAAAGGATATTGAAAAGGAATATTCACAGATAAATTATGAACATGAAAAAATGGATATATAAGGTTGAATGTAATAATGATCTTGAAGTTACCATAACCAGCAATTTAATAATAGTTCAATTGACATTTTTTGATATATCTACTTGCTTCACCATACTTCTGGTTTGACCGTGAAATGACTCCAACTTTTGATTTTTGAATGGGACACCCTGTATTTTATTCCATAATCAATTTTAAGGACTACTACAATATAGTGCTGTTTCCATTGGGCATGAACTGGTGGAGTATTTATGCACTCAGTGTATATCTATCCTTTGTTTAGAGGTGTAGCAGAAAGAGAAATGTATACACTAAGTGTGCACTAGTTTTACAAATGGAACTTGCTATTTTAACCACAAAGAATTCAACTATACCAGGTTTGATAATTGTGTTATTTCAGTAGATATTTGCATTCGAACTTTCTATATGCTCAATGAGTGTGACAGAGAAAGAAAAAGTTTGGATAATATGCCTTATAATATACATAAGAAAATGAAAAAAAAACAATTTTCTGCTAATCCGGATATATGAATATGAGATGTTCACAAGTTTGAATAACTATTTCCGAGATAAATTTGAATCTTCAAAAACCGCTCGAAAATTTTACAAGCACGGCTACCGTGTCTTTACCCACTGCAAAAATACCATAAATATTTAAATATGACAAAATGAATGATTTTCACAATTTCCACTACTTACGATGAATTTATGCCAACAATTTATATTCGTAAGCAGATGCTTATTCTTGAAGATGATTCCTGTAGGAAGAGTTGTTTCGGTAATGTGGATCGAACTGCTAATCGGCTTCATGTTCGCTATGTTGACGTTCATCATTGAAGAGTTTCAGCAAAAAATAAATCACAATGTAAAAGCAGACGAATATTATTGGGTAGGCAAATTCTTGGCTACCAAACATTCAGTTTCGGGTATGCTACCGATACCAAATTGCACCCCTGAAAGAAATAATTCTTATTTTGTGTTAGGAGGTTTGTTTACCAAAAAATAAATATCCACATTCCATATGTCAAATTGTCAAAACAATAAAACACGTGACTACACATCATGACTTATGACATATTGACTGTCACTAGTGTCACTGTCGTGCATCATCGTTGTGGCTTGTTCGTTTGTGTGGTGTGTGGTGTGGGTGTGATTCTAGACCTGCTGAACTTGATTTTTTTGTGTAACTTTCTCTGTTTACATCATGCCATGAATAGTAACAACTATAATGGGAAAAAATCTACTTTAGCACGTTCAGCAACGCAAAAGAACAGACCTATTATACTTCATGGTTCCTTCGAGTAGGTCACGAGTGTAGTGTGCTCCATTGTTGTCGAAGAATCATACAGTACATTCAAAGAAACGCGCCTCTGCATCTCGGTGTCCCGTCGCTACTGTCATCTGTCACCTCATTGCGAAATTGTATGTCGACGGAAGAGTACATGCGTTCGATAATTATAACTTTAAAACGGAAAAAATATGCCGAAGAGGAAGTCAAAGGAATATATCAAACTTAAAGAAAAGTTCAGAAAATTGGAATCCAAACTAGAACGACTAGGATCGTCAAGTAAGTTGATCATGAAAACGAATTGTTGTAGGTTATGAAGACCACGCCACAATGACGCCATAGATTACCACATGTAGCCGCTAAAATAATTCATATCATCTAGTCCTCGTTTGCGATGGAACTAATGATATAAGTCAGGTGAAACAATCATCATCCCTGTTTTGCAGTGGAATCGATGTTGTACATGGGTATGTGATAGACCCAATGAATATCCAATGAACACCTGAAACAATCAACATCATCCCTGTTTTGCAGTGGAATTGATGTTGTGTATGGGTATGGAGTATAGGTACCCAATGAACACTTGAACAATCAACGTCCCTGCTTTGCAGTGGACATGATTGGATTATGATTCTTTTTATATATAATCATGATCATGAGAGCTCAGCCTGCTTTGCAGTACAATCCAGCTCTATACAGACCACTGTCCATATATGAGAACAACAGAAAACAGTAGAGAATCATTATTGAATTCTAATATTTCAATTTTTGTTTTTGACAGGCTCAGAATCTGAGAGCTCCTGTAGTGACTCAGAGAGGTCAGTGGAGGAATGGCACCCAAGGTCACCCCTGGGAGAAATACAAAATACAACACCCATGGATGAAAACATAGCCCCCATGGATGACATGGATGATGTGTTAGGGACGGACCCTACCAAACAACTAGTAGAAGGGAAGGCTTTGCCTCCGCCGCTGGTTTCAAGGTGGACAAGTTATTTAAAGGCAGGGTTTGACAAGGACCAAGAAACAAAACTTTTGGAACGTTGGAATTTTTCCACAAATTGCCCTCATTTGAAAGCCCCCATTCTGAATCCAGAGATTCAGGCAGTGCTCTCTGAACGATCACTCAAACAAGATATTTTCACTAGTAAATTACAGGACCAATTAGGTTTGGGTTTGAGTATTTTGGGTGAGGCTTTCAACCAAATAATGGCCATGGAGTTTTTGGAAAAGAGGGAATTATTGTCAACACTCTCAGATGCATCTAAGATGTTTACCAGAGTTCATTATAGATTATCAGGTCATCGCAGAATGGGCATAATTCCTGCAGTTGACTTCAAATTACACAAATTATTGAACTCTAGTGAAATTGATGTTCATTTATTTGGAAATGATTTAAGTAATGGCATTAAGCAGCTACAGGAGGCTGAAAAGATGAAAATTGGATTGAAAGTTGCACCTAGCACCAGTACTAAGAATTATTTAAACTACAAGCGCAGCAACTACAAGCAGAAAATGAAAGGAAAAAAGAAGGAAGGGGGAAGAGATGGGAGCAGGAGAAGATCACACCAAGACTATCAACAGTATCAGCCTCGTCAGCAGTATCAGCCTCGTCAGCAGTATCAGACTCGTCAGCAGTATCAGCCTCGTCAGCAGTATCAGCCTCGGCAGTAGAGGTAGAGTATGCAGGCAGACTTGGTCAATTCATCCTAGAATGGTCAAAGGTGACAACTAATCCAGTTGTATTAGGGTGGATCTCTGGTTATAAAATACCTTTTAATAGGAGACCCACTCAATTGAGGGTTCCAAAAAACTTACCATTATCAGCAACTAACCATAGGCTTATGGCCTTGGAGATTAAAAAACTAATTACCATTAGTGCCATACAAGAATGTGTTCCAGTTAAGGACCAATTCTTGTCACCTTACTTTTTGATTTCAAAACCAAATAAAAAGTATAGGTTTGTTCTTAATTTAAAGAACTTGAATAGGTTCATAATACTAGAACATTTCAAATTAGAAAATTATAAGACAGTTCACAATTTAATTTTTAAAGAATGTTACTTAACCTCAATTGACCTTAAGGACGCATATTTCCTGGTACCAATTGATATATATTACAGAAAGTACCTGAGATTTAGTTTTGATAACAAAGTATACGAATTTTCCTGCTTGCCGTTTGGCCTTTCCTCAGCCCCATATGTATATACAAAGCTTTTCAAGCCTGTTATGCAGGCATTGCGGTCTGATGGCCTTTTATGCATAAATTATCTGGATGATATATTGATCATTGAAGATTCTTATGAAAACAGCCACAGAAAAACAATCAATACTCTAAAATTTTTAGAATCACTGGGGTTTATTATAAATTATAAAAAGAGTTGCCTTATCTCAAGTCAGTCTTGTAAGTTTCTAGGGTTCATTTACAACTCCAGAAATATGTCAATTTCCATTTCAGAAGAAAAGAAACAAAAGATTGTTGAGGAGATTGATTATATCATGAATAAACCTGCTTGTAAAATCCGGGTGTTTGCAAAAGTAATAGGATATTTGACCTCAATTTCACCAGCTGTTAAGTACGGTTGGGTACACACAAAGCTTTTGGAGAAAGAAAAGACAATAGCCTTGTATAAAAATAATAATTATGATAAAATAATGAAGATAAGAGAAAAATGTAGAAATGAATTGAGGTGGTGGTTGAGAAACATTATGTCAGCTAGTCAATCCTTGGAAGTAAATAAAAAGTTTGTCTTAGAGATCTTTTCAGATGCATCACCATCTGGATGGGGTGCAGTTTGTGCAGATATCAGCACACATGGATTTTGGACAAGTGAAGAAATTAAGTTACACATCAATATTCTAGAGCTCAAGGCAGTTTTCTATTCATTAAAATGTTTTGCCAAAGAATTATCTTCATGTAGTATTTTACTGCATGTAGACAATAAAGTAGCAATATCATATATAAATAAAATGGGTGGAGTAAGATGTGGTCTATTGAGCAAGATTTCTCGAGAAATTTGGAACTGGTGTGAACTAAAAGATCTACACATTTTTGCCACTTACATTAAATCTAAAGATAATTCCTTGGCAGATAAAGAGTCACGCTTCAAAGCTATAGAAACTGAATATAGTCTGGACAGTAGAAAATTTGAGAATATTGTACAGAAATGGGGAAAACCGGAAGTAGACTTGTTTGCATCAACCAATAACGCCAAAGTTGATAAGTTTGTTTCATGGAAACATGATCCTAACTCTATAGCCATAGATGCCTTTACGATTCCATGGAATTTCTTTTTTTATGCCTTTCCACCATTCAGTTTGATAGCAAGAACTCTCAATAAAATAAGGACAGAAAAATGGGAGGGCATTTTAGTTGTACCTAGATGGAAAGCACAACCATGGTACCCATTATTCATTAGAATGCTTGTGGATGAACCAATTCTATTTAAACCAGATAAATACTTACTAACGTCTCCTTTCAGAACCAGCCACCCAATTTGGAAGAACCTTACCCTGGTGGCAGGGAGGTTATCAGGGCATCATTGTTAAGGTCTGGAGCTCCAGAATGTACTATAGATACCATGCTAGCATCATTTTCGCTAGCAACTCTGAGACAATACAGTTCAACATATGGCAAGTGGTGGACATTTTGCATGGCAGAATCTATTTGTCCATATGAAGCTTCAGCACAAGATGTTTTAAGATTTATGGAAATTCAGTATTCTCATGGGGCAGCCTATTCTTCAATATGTGGCATTCGGTCAGCATTGGCCTTAATCTGTCATAATATAAAAGACAATGAAAACATAAGAAGGTTCCTTAAGGGTGTATTCAAACTGAGACCATCATTTCCTAGATATAAATTCACATGGGATCCAACCCCAGTGTTATTAACACTAGAGAGGTGGTACCCACTGGAATCATTAACCTTAGAGAAAATTACAAAGAAGCTAATAACTTTAATGGCTTTGACAACTGCTCAGCGAATGCAAACACTTTCAAAAATAAAAATTAGCAATATCCTTCAGAAGAAGGATAGTATTGATATCCCTATAACCGACATAATTAAGACATCTAGGCCCAACTTTCCACAACCCTTGTTAAGTTTTAAGTTATTCTCTGAGCAACCAGGGTTATGTGTAGCTATTACTTTAAGACATTACCTAAAAATAACAAGAGATATACGAAAGGAAAATGATAGCCTTGATAGCCTATTCATAAGTCACAAGAGACCTTACAAGGCTGCTTCAGTACAAACAATCAGCAGATGGGTGAAAGATACTCTTGAGGAATGTGGTATTAACACCCAAATATTTAAATCTCATAGCACAAGACATGCTTCTTCTTCGGCAGCCCTTAGAACAGGATTAAGTATAGACATAATTAGAACAACTGCTGGATGGTCAGATAGATCTACAAGTTTCAATAGGTTTTATAATAGACCAGTTCAACAAGCTAATGGCTTCCAGGAAAGTATTTTGAGTCTGAGAACAAAAAATTAATAATGCCAGCAGCAGGCAGGAAACATGAATTTTTTGTCAAGGAGTTCAACCTGTAATGTACATGAAAATTATTTGTTAATAAATTTATATATTTTTTGTAAAATAAATAGTTATTGAACTAAAGCGTCTCCTGAGCATTAGATCGCTGATCTTTGAACAACTACACTCGTGACCTACTCGAAGGAACCATGAAGTATAATTTACGGATTAAACGACTTACCTGGTAAGGTAAGGAAGTTCAATCCTAATTATACGAGTGGTTCCGTAGAGTAGGTCAGACCCACCCAGTTAAAATTCCCGCTCTACCCCCTGCGATCTAATAAATTGGATTTCGCAATGAGGTGACAGATGACAGTAGCGACGGGACACCGAGATGCAGAGGCGCGTTTCTTTGAATGTACTGTATGATTCTTCGACAACAATGGAGCACACTACACTCGTGACCTACTCTACGGAACCACTCGTATAATTAGGATTGAACTTCCTTACCTTACCAGGTAAGTCGTTTAATCCGTAAATTATTGCTCTGGCTCTGACAATTAGCTCTGAGGATTTGAGAGCAAGAAAAGAAAAAGATAAGATGAATGAGATTAGAAATAGACAGTGAACTTTGGCATTACTGGACATTGCTAACATTTATTTTTGCCAGTTGATTCGACAATTTTGGAAACGGTGACAAAAGTGTGCCTTATAGACCTCTCTAAAAGCTTGAAGCTCATTATCAGTTATCAGAATAGCTATTATTAGAAACTTGGTGAAAAATAAATGGAAAAATGATCTCAAAAGTAATGATACTAATAATAATGGATAAGTGGAAGATTGGCAACGAAAATTGAAAAAGAAGAAAATGTTTTAATTTTCAAGGTTGTTTCCGAGATTCCAGATTTGACGTTCATATTTTGGTTGCAGATTTTCTAAGGAAAATTCTAAATGCCATCCTTTTGCAGTTAAAAAACAACAAATTATGTCACAAAAGGTTGGTCTCAACTGTTCTACACCACATTTTGTCAATCAATGGGAATCTTATTATAATTTCCATCTTTGTAATGTTGTGCTCCAAATTTCCTGCCTCATTTGTGATTCTTGCTTTCAGATAAAACCTAGGATTGGAGAACCATAAGTTTGTCCCTACAAAATAAGTAGATCTTACAACCAATCACGGAAACTGTTAGAAATATGCCAGCAGCTACTCTGGGTAGCTTACATCCAAACAATGAAGATTGTGGAATCAGGGATGTCTGGGCAAATAATCTTGAAGACGAATTCCGTACAATAAGGCAGATTGTACAGAAATACCAGTATGTAGCAATGGATACAGAATTTCCAGGGGTGGTAGCAAGACCCATTGGAGAGTTTCGTAGCTCTGCAGACTACCAGTATCAAATGCTGAGGTGCAATGTGGATTTGCTACGGATCATACAGCTTGGGTTGACCTTTTTGGATGAGAATGGCAAGACACCAGGTGGGGCCTATACAACTTGGCAATTCAACTTCAAATTCAACTTGCAGTGAGTAGATTTACATAGTTCTCATGGCCAAAGCCTGCAGTTGTTATTTTGACATTTTTAGAGAAGATATGTATGCTCAGGATAGCATTGATTTGCTACAGAACTCTGGTATACAATTCAAGAAGCATGAAGATGAAGGTATTGAACCACTTGAGTTTGCAGAGCTGCTCATGTCATCTGGTATTGTATTGATGGAAAACATCAAGTGGCTATCTTTCCATTCAGGCTATGACTTTGGATATCTCATCAAGCTGCTGACAGACAACAATTTACCTCAAGATGAAAATGAGTTTTTTGATTTGCTGAAGCTCTATTTTCCTACAATATATGATGTCAAGGTGAAAAAATGTGCTATTGAATTAATTATGCATAAAAATAGTTAAGTATTAACCAGGAAATTAATTGTTTTCTCTTGAGATATTTCAAAGAATTTCATTATTTCAGTGATAATGATGATGTGATTTTGCTTGCACACCTGTCATAATTATGTCTCACCTCATCTTGATTTGTTTTTTGTGATAATGTGAAAGATAGATAAGTTTGTCTGAAATTTTTTATATACTCATGAAGTTGTTCAAAAAGTTATCTTGAACTGGGCAGAGTTTTAAATATTTATTGTACCAAGTACAGAGATAGAATGTTTTTAATTATACAGGGTTTCCCAAAAGAACCGGAACGGCCGAATATTTCAGCAAATGGCTTAAAAATAATATTTGCAACGTTGCCAGTTTCACAGTTTTTCCCATAGAGCTCTCAACTTTATTTTTTTAAATATAATGCTATGTTTATTTTTAGCGCATTCGATTTATCGTCCCAAAACTATTATGACCCTATAATATCAAATTTGTATTCCCTTTATTTTTGTTGATATGACAAATGAACATTTCGTCAAAAAATATCACAAAATCTCAATATTTCGAGAAATAGTGGCGATATGACAATAAAAATCAATTTATAAGGAAGTTTTCAGCAAGTCTGATCTAAAAATACCATTTACAACGTTGCCAAATCTACATGTTGTTTATAATAAACCTTCCTAAGTATTTAACTTCTTGATAGCTTCTCATGATCAATAGGGTTTTATTTGTTTAGGTTACAAGAATGTAACTTCATGGCATCAAATAAAATGCTCAATAAGTAAAAAGACAGTTTAAATAAATACTTAAGAAGATTTAGTATAAAAAACATGTAGATTTGGCAACGTTGTAAATGGTATTTTCAGATCAGACTTGCTGAAAACTTCCTTATAAATTAATTTTTATTGTCATTTCTCGAAATATTGAAAATTTCTGATATTTTTTGACGAAATGTTCATTTGTCATATTAACAAAAATGAAGGGAATACAAATTTGATATTATAGGGTCCTAGTAGTTTTGAGACAACAAATTGAATATGATAAAAATAAACATAGCATTACATTAAAAAAATGAAGTTGAGGGCTCTATAGGAAGAACTGCAAAACTGGCAACGTCGCAAATATTATTTTTAGATCCGGCACAACTGATTACCCCCGTATACCAAATTTCATGATTTTATGTCCAGCCGTTGCTGAAATATTCGGCCGTTCCGGTTCTTTCGGGAAACCCTGTATAGTTACTATATTTCTTTGCAGTATCTCATGAAATCATGCAAGAATCTGAAAGGTGGCCTACAAGAGGTGGCAGAACAGCTAGAATTGGAGAGGATTGGTCCCCAACATCAAGCAGGATCAGATTCGCTATTAACTGGAATGGCATTCTTCAAAATGAAAGAGGTTAAACACTATTAATATAATAAATTTTCATCATCTGAATATTTTCTCATAGAAATCCACACATGATCTTTTTTTCATTATCATCCATGCTTTTCTCTAGTTTATTAAAAAAAATCATGAAAATCATCCATTTTTTCAAAGTGGTCCACAGTATATTTTCAAGAAGAGAAAAAAAAAAAAAAAAAAAAAAAAAAAAAAAAAAAAAAAACTAGGGGCTCAAAGTCGGTCGACCACACTTCATATAATAGTAGTAACTAACATTTTACATATGTAACCGGTTTCGGCGCTACGGCCATCATCAGACAAATACTAAGTACCTAAAAGTTTAAAAAACGAAGACAATCAAATGTGAATGAAGACTATAAGTAGTTTATTCTTTTGCAAGAGGAAAATAAGCAGCTAGGAGATGGCTCTTAAATTTTTTGATTGATATTTTTGTGAAAATACTGAAGAAATTGTACCTTAGCCTACTAATAACCTGGCCTACTAATCTTTTTTTATGATTATTTTCCACTAAGTTTGGTCAGGGAGTTTCATTCTGGTCCACTAATACCATGGCGTCAGCCCACTGTGATCGTTTGTGTCAAGGATGTTTGTCCTTCCTCCTGGAGGGTCTCATTACAAAGTTTTCTTACCAGGGAATGCGTCCATATTGTAGCACGTGATTCACTGTGACCAACTTATCATTGAGGTTTGGGAATGGTTCGAAAACTTTAGGCTCTCGTCTAATCTTGGCTTTCAAGGGTGTTTCTCACTTTTTTCAGCACTGAAAAGCCAATGCGCATGCGCCCTAAAAGTTTCATGTGATTCATTATAGTGACCAATAAAAACTTGCAAAATGACACATATATTATGATCCCTTCAATTATACATATCTTGTAGATTCAAATTGAATTCCAGTAGATAGTGAATTAAAAGTTAAGATAAGGACATGTAAGCCGTTTTGATCGATAATGAATAGTTTGGACACAAAAAAATCCTAAAATTGAAAAATCTCGATTTTGAACACCCTATATCTCTGTAATCATTCCTGCTAGACCCCATGTGTGATGCATTGATGAAATCAGCTCTTCAACAAGAATCTAAAAATGCAATAAAATCCAAGGGGTTTCATTCGAAATAACAAAGTTGTTAGTTGTTTCTGATAGAAGTGGCAGCACTGTATCGATGGAAATATTTCAGGCGGATAGAGAATGTTTAATTATCAAAGCATCCCAATTTTCAGAATGTTCTGTCTTTTCGTTCTCCAGATACTTCTAATAGGCCATCCACCGTGGATCACCCTGTATATTTATAATTCTTATTATGAAAAATTTTCTTTGAATAAACTTATTTATTATTTTATTATTATCAATGATAGGTAGTGACAAATTCTGTGATATAATAATAATGGTATGACCACCAGAGGATGATGTTACCGTATCGGACGAATTGATCTTCACTTTTTTCTAGAAAATGTTCGAAATTTGTGGTTATGTAAGTTGTCAGTGTCAAGAGCTGTCGTGCCATCGTGACTTGTATTGTATTTTCCCCTAAAAAAATCTTTCTTTTTCAATTTTCGTTGTTCTAATATTCCTTTCGTTTATAGTTTTCTGTTATTGTGCTCCCAGTATTATAGTAGTTCATTCTGATTGATAATTTGTTACAAACTCTGTCTCAATTATTGTGTGTACCAGAACTCGTGAAACCGTCTTCATTCATGGATTTCCAAGTGATATTTCTTTGCGACATTAGTGGATACATTTGGTTTTGAGGAACGTTGCAAAATTGGGGACTATGGTAGTGTAGCAACAATTTTGGGAAGGAACGGTTTTTTCAATTTTTGAGTGACTGATGAGAGACCGTGACTGAACTCAAATTCACTGAACAAACTACGCCGCCGGCCGAGACTGCCGAGAACACCGATCAACTCTAACAATTTTCAAGGTTATGTAGGTTCGACAGGAAAACAATTGAAATAAGTGTTTCCCCGAGTTGACCGTATGGCGGCACTACTGTATCGGCCACAGAAACCTGTAGGTGATTTCCCTCGTTTGAGCAGACCAGATACTACAGCCCACTAGATTTTTTCTCCATATTCAGCAGACAATGATCAGGCCAATTTTAATACTGCACTGTAACCAATTCACCTGGAAAAAATGTACTCTATATATTTTTAATTGAAAATATTTAAACACAATAAAAAGACGATTAAAAATAATCCACAGGGCATGAAAGGTGTTAACTAGTCTTAAAGGATAGCAGATGACCCCTTCATTCGACCAATTCAATTTGGCACACGATACACCAAACACCCTGTGTAATAAAGAGTCTGATTGCTAGATATTCTGTAATATCGATGTAAAGATCAGTACTTTCAATTTGTTCTATTGAAAAAGCAACACGAAACCATCTAAACTCTACCCTTGCTAGCGGAAGACGGATTGACACTGAAACTTTTAGCTAGCCTGCGCTGCGTGGGAGGAGTGGGAGAATGCGTGATCGGTGGGGCTTCTTTGCTCTTGTCCCCGCCTGCGCCTGTCACCACCGAGTCCCACCATACGGGCTGTGCGATACCTGTACCCACAAATAGTTCTTCGTGTAACTAGATTCCCTGTTTATATTTGACAGTTTTCCTGTAATAGGTCACGTGCTCGATGACCTACCCTGGAGGTAAAATATTAAAACACAACCTCACTTTTTTGTAAAACATTGAAACACAACCTCACTTTTTTTATTCGTTTACACAGGAATCGAAGGATTGGAATAGTTTTTCACAATATATTGGCATACGAATCGTGTTTTTTGCGCTATTTATTGATTCAAGCATGCCTTCTCATTTTGCTGTTGTACAATACACAGAAAATGCAGCGAGAGGCGAAGAAATATGATTTTTCAGGTAAATAGTAATCTCACATAGTTATCATTATGAAATGTTGTCATTCCTTATTAAAAAAATCCTTCTGCCACTTCTGCAATAGAAGCTAATACTGCTAATAGATTGAAAATGTCTACAACACACACGATTGTCAGCATGTCAGACCAGTCCTCCCGATTGATTACATGAATCCAATCTTCTTGCATTATTTTGGAAATTTCATGTGTATTTCTATTAGCTCCTATCGCAGAAGGAATTCCGATGAGAAATCAGAGAAATTACCAAATTTCAAAAATGAAAACCATATGTGAGTGACTATATAGTGGGTACTTACTTTTAAATCATAATGTACGAACCGGATTCCTTCGTCTTCCGCTGCAGTTTTTGTGCATTTTACAACAGCACAATGTGATGGCATGAGCGAATTGATGAATACCCGAAAAATACGATTCGTATGCCAAAATAATTGTGAAAAACTATTCCGATCACTTGTAGACAAATAAGAAAAGTGAGGTTGTGTTTCAATGTTGTGCCTCCAGGGTCGGTCATCTGACAGTTCTTGCACGCAACCCATAATGCATGTATAGCTGTGCCAATCTGACATTTTTGTTTTCCAGATGTTTTTTGAGGATACCATAGACGACTCTAAGTTCTCCGGCCACCTGTACGGTCTGGGGGCCTCTTTCGCCATCAATGGCTCCGCGAACAACTACACACCCGACAACGGGGACAACACCAACTCGTCGTGAAACTGCCTCTGTGCCAGGCTGCTGCTCGAAGCTGTAGGTTTATGTTGAAATAATTCATTGTGAACTTTTTCTGTTTAGATGAAATATATTCGAAGGAGTGGATTCTTCTTATTGCATTAGATAGGTTTTTTACTTTTAAACTAAGGTTTTAACTGTACATGGCATTCGAAAAAAAAATCATAAACTAGTTATTTAATAAAAATTATTATAGCTCATATTGTTTTGGTTTACTTTCCCATTTTCCATACATTTCCGAGGAGTGTGAAGTTTGAAATATTAGCATTCCCTGCGAGTTTTACCCTATTATATATACCTTATTTATATATTTACAACGAACTCAATAATATATTCAGTTCATTGTGTATTTAATAGTAGTCGAATTGATTTTAGCCTTTTCATCTAGATATATTTTTAGGACGCATGCTCTTGTTTTTAGATCCAAATATTAATTGGATGATGCGAAGGTGAAGTCTCATTGGCTATAGTTCCAACACAAAATGCTGATTGGCCATTTCGATAATGGCGGGTATTCTTGACGTTCTGTCAAATGTCAACAGTGTCAACCACCAAAGGCATTCGTCATTGAGAAACAACAATAACAACATAGTATTATTCTTGTTTTTATATTCCTGGTGTGTATTAATTGTATCATAATAATTTTATTCCAAAAAACGTAACTTTTTTCGATACTGAGGAGTTGGTGTGTTTCGGTAAAAATGGCCGCCTCTGTCGTTGGATGCGAGATGTAAGCAAAGATAGTCATTTGTTATCTAAATGAAAAGGCCTAGTCATTAAAAAAATATATGGACCGACATTCCCAGAGAGACATGATTTGTATAATAATATCCACAACTGAAACACAATGAAATCGTTGTTTTATCAGGTGAGGAAATGGAATTGAAGTGATACAATGTACCCCATTAATGATGATTTATCAGGAACAGTTAATAAAGAACGATTTTGTGTCAAAAGCAGTAAAAATTATCCACTTTCCTTAGACTGTATTCGTGGCCTACTATACGTGTTGAGTATACCATATTCCTAAACCATTGTCTGCTAAATATGGAAAAAATCTATCCTAAACAATTTGTCCACCTGTCATAAAAGATTATAAGGGAGAATATATGGCCACGTCCAACCGTATAACGTATAACTACGCCACATTGATCAACCGAGAATATTATACAAAGTTCAAAATTGTTCTCTATCAAAGTTTGTATAAAAAATAAAAAACCATAATTATTCTATATCTCAGAGGATGCTGACACATACATATTGTACTTATATTAATCCAAAATAACGTCAGGAATCTGTAAACGGAGTTTGAAGGTCTTAATCTGACTCGGATGTAGTCACTTGACGATTAAAATAGTTGATGTATCATGACTTGTTGCATGTATGCTGATGTGATCATCATGATAACTGGGAACACCCTGTGTATATGTGGGATACCTCAGAGTTTGTTTTTCGCAGTGAATCTTTCACTGCTTTGAATGCCACTAACTTGCACTTAATTTCGCCATTTGATAAGGAGATAAGGATTATGCCATCCGCGCAACCAATAATTGAATGGTTGATCTCAAAACCCTTTTCAAAGTCAAATCTACGGAACAGCGATTCAATTGCTACCGTCATTCCGGACATACTTCCATAAGGAATTGAAAGAAATAACAAATGAAAGAGGATGTACCTTTTACGAGTATCCAGACATGCCGCGTTTCTGATGAGAAAGTTACTGTCAAAAGATAATATCCGATGGACCAGTGAAAATGAAAGTTCACAAACAGTGATAAAACATGAAATATTTGAAATGCAGCAGTGATGAAGCTGCTGCATGTTTTGGTCAGATAGCTATTATTTTTATTCTTCAGAAATTTCTCAACAACTTTTGATAGAAAGCACGCACATTGGTAGCAGTAGTAACATTAGTGGACAAAATAAAGCACATCTGTTAAAATATGAAATGCGTTTAATTCAATTTTCATGAAAACAAATTTTGGAAACGATAACAAAAAAGTACTCACAGTTCTCTAGAAATGCCCTCAGAACATACCACAAGAAGGCAACAATTTCGAGAGGTCCATAGAAAATGCTAATATCAACATCCTGTATACAAATTTCAACACAACAGAATCAGACCTAGTACAAAAAGAGATGAATAATAGGTAGTGATCAAGTTATAATGATGCTATCTTAAAGCATACAGTGTGTATCCAAAAGATCTGAGGATCAAGCTTTTCACTCAAAAATTTCATCACTTGAGATACAAAATTGTGGACAACTTTGAACATATCCCAAGTGGTTCCGTTCATATATCCAAGAAATAGATATTTCATATGCGATACACAGTAACCACCAAAAAATATGCACTATCTATGATATTTTCAAAAAAAAAAGAACGATTTTCTCAGTAGAAAATAGTGAAATCCTAGTATTGGTTTTTGATTTCCTGGAATGTTGAAGATGAAGAATAAAAATGTTTGAAATCAATAATAAAAAAGCTTTCCACATGGACAAAGATAATACATACACTAGACTAGACAGTCAACGCCTGTGTGAAAATTGGCAAAGATCCGATGGGATCTAACTTACCGGCGGCTAATCGGCTGTGCTGATTCGTTGACCAAATATTAATCTCGGAGTCGGTGAAATACACGGCGTTGTAATGAATAGTAAGCACAGCGAATTACCACCGGTCTGTTCCTTCCCAACAAGAATTGAGAGAAGATGGTGAATCACTGATTGTGTTATGTTTGGACCAAAACGCTCCATCAACCTCATACATCGACAATAATGGCATAATAGTTCTCAATTCTCCGCAAGATGGCAAATTTCCTACAGATTTCTGTAATATTAACCTTACTTTTTGAAAATTGCCAGTGTCACTCAGAGTGAATGCAAATTTCCAATTTTCCAGACTAATCCCAGTTTCCAGTGTTTTATTTCGATGTTTGGTATCCAGTTATTATTTTCCTCTTGTTTCCAAAAGCGCTTACACCTCATTGTTCAACAATAATGGCATAATAGTTCTCAATTCTCCGCAAGATGGCAAATTTCCTACAGATTTCTGTAATATTAACCTTACTTTTTGACAATTGCCAGTGTCACTCAGTGTATTTTAAATTTCCAATTTTTCAGATTTCCAGTGCTTTTCTTGTGTGTTATTCAAATCCAAGTTTCCAGGGTGTTTTCCGTCTGTTTTATTTCGATTTTTGGTATCCAGTTATTATTTTCCTATTGTTTCCAGCAGTGTTTCAGTTCGTTGTTTTGTTTTTTGTGTTCTCGTATTGGTTAAAGATTTTCTAATGGCGGAAAAACGAAAAGCTCTTAGGTATGCGATTTGCAGCAATGAAAATTACTCTTTTACACATTTGTATGCAGTTCCAAAAGTAAGTAAGTACAGAAATAAACAGATTTTCCATTTTGCAAAGTAGGTAGTTACAGGTTGATGAGGTGTCGTATAGTGAGTAATTCCTTGACATTTGTTCGCCATCTAGCAACTGTCCGTATTATTGAATAGATTCCATCTATCCGGTAGACTGTCTGTTGAGTGATTTGTACAAAAAAAAAAAGTGTATGGAGATTGCCTAGAGTTGATCCATCATCTTCTGTCCATCCTTTTCCGAACCAAGCGTTGCCCATCTATCATCTTTGACATGGAGCATACTTTTTGCCAGCTACTCTAGACTGCTGATTTGTTGATACAAATAGTAAATTTCCATCTTTTTTATTTATGATACAAAATAGATACAAAGATTATTGATACCCTTATTGTGCTGCTTATAAAAAATGTTCAATGTTCCGAAGCTACAAACAAATCCGTTACAAACTCATCATGTTGAAATTATTCGCTGAAATGTAGAAAAAACAAAGAACAAAAAATCTGATTCGGGAAGTTTATGAAAATGGCGAATTTGTAACCTGTAAACAACACCAACAAAGGAAACAATAATTTCGAAAAACCACCAAAAATTTCACATTCCAAGAGCGAAAAAAACCTCCTTCAGATCCTTCTAGACACCCTGTTCAGACAAACGCTACTCCCCCCTCCCTTCTGCACCCTACTGCTGTTTGCAGTTCGGGTCCTGCTTCGTCTTCGCCGACGCCTTGTTGTCGTCCGACTCCCCCTCCCCCTCGTCCTCCTCCTCATCGTCTTCCTCCTCCTCCTCCTCGAAGTCGTCCTCGTCCTCGACGGCCTCGCCGGTGAAGAAGAGCACCGCCCTGGGGATGATGCGGTCGCGGAAGTAGTGACCTATTTCGAAGTCGCTGGTGAGCAGAATCCTGCGAGGAGAAAGCATTTTTTCTTTTCAACAAAAACTATGATTTGTTGGAATAAATGAGGGCTAACATTATTTATTGGCCACCAGATCGCGCTACTGAGAAAGTGAGGTCAGAGTTGGTAGAACTGATAGGTATAATATTTGGTAGAAGTCCATATTGCTCAAAGTGGATCTTGAATATAGTCGCCCAAAGTTGAGATCGCAGCGCCAAAGTGGCTGGTTGTGGAACTATAGATAGATAGATTTATTCTTCCGTGAAATTTACATTTTTGGAAACGTCAAGTAAAACATGTGGATAAAAAATGTAGATAAAACGAGACATACAGAAAATACGGGTTAAAAGTATATGTAGACAGCACTGACAGCAATTATATAAAACTAACTTTAAAACAAACTGACAGCAATTATTATATAAAATTAACTTTAGAACAGAAGGAGCAAAGCGAATTAGACATACCTAAAGGTGAGTCAACCTTATCCTAATGTACTAATGCTTGTGTAGAAATCCTCACTATTATATAAACACATGTTAATTAAAATTTGTTTTATTTTTGATTTAAATGTTCCTATGGGTAAGGATGATATGGTATCTGGTACTGCATTAAAGAAATCTATGCCTATACTACGTTCCAAATAAGAAGACAGTAGGTGGCGCTACGTCTGAAGAAAGGCTTACACTGGCAAAATTAAAATATGGCGCCTAATTCAAAATCATGGCAAAATAAATGGGTTGAGCTCGACTTGGATTAATTCTTAGTAGAAAAATAATACACTTAATCAATTTTCACACCCACCTTAAACAGGTGTTATACCTCAAGCATAACATTGTGAAATAATATGGTTGGTAATTGAATGAACTTTTAATGGAAGACATAGTTTTAATCATAATATTGATAATAATAAAGTGCTGCGTATTTTTCATTGATACACAAAACTGACTACAAATTGTCTACGCCCATTTCTTCATCACTTGAATCTTCAGAAGAACTGCTATCCAAATCTGGTTGTATAATAATTTCCATCATATTCTCAGCAATTCCATCTAAATCCCACATTCTCTTTTCTTCTGCGATTATGTGATTCACACAGCTCTTCCATTTTTCTCCTGTGACATTCTGAATACCCTCATCCAGAAGATTTTTAACATCACTGATCTTGTATGTTTTATTATTAGCAGCTACATAATTCTTGACTTGTGCCCAAACAAGTTCAATTGGATTAAAGTTACAGTGATAAGGAGGCAAACGTAAAATTGTTCTTCCACTATTCTGCACCATTTCATCTATCACATAAGGTGTTGGATTAGACAAGGCATATTCTTTCACCAATTGTAATAATTCTAGTTTTAATAATGAACCATGTGTCAGTATGAGTTTGCTTTCGAGCCACTCAATGATGTCATTTTTTTTCCAACTTTGATTTGGAACCTTTTCTGTTTTCATGCTATGGTATGGTGCATTATCCATAACAATGACACAATTATCTTCCAGTAATGGTAGTACACGTTCTAACCATTCTGTGTACACTGTACCATTCATTTCTTCATGGTAATCACCTGCAAAATTCATTTTATCAAAATAATTATCCAAACAGGAAATAAGAAAAAAATTACCTGTTTTTTTGGACTCAAAGCTTAGATATGCACCCTCAACAAAACCAGTATCACTTCCCATGTGAGTTATTATTAATCTCTTTCCTTTACCAGATGGATCCTTAATACCAGTTGAAACACCTTCTAGGAGGGCTTGCCTTGCAGTTTTAACTGTAGTATCTTGCCATACCCTATTTTTAACATGACCTGCATTGACCCAAGTCTCATCTGTGTAATAGATTTTCCGTCCATCATCTCTAAATTTTTTCATTGAAGTCAAATATCTACGTCTCCATAAAATGATTTCCTGCTTTTCAATTAGAACTGTTTTTCTGGTTCGTTTTTCATATTTGAATCCTAGTTTTCTTAGCACTCTCCATAAGGTTGTTCGTTTCATTGTTGGTAGAGACTCATCTTCATTTACTTTCTGTAAAACTTTTGCCAAAGTTGGAAGTTCATTTTTGAAGAAAAAGGAATGAACATATCTTCGAATTGCTGATTTTTCGAACTCTTCCAGTTTTTCATATTTGTTTTTAGATCTCCTTGTCTTTCTGGGGGAACTGACTGAGCCAGAACTTTCCATTTCCCGAACAATTTTCCAGCAAAGCTTTTCACCAAGGCCCACTTCCTTTGCAGTCAATTGAATAGCTGCCGATTTACTAATATTATTAGCAGAATTGGCTGAATAAACATTGTAAGCCATAAGTCGTTGACCACTCCTCACAGGTTTCCCCTTGGGATTCTTGTGTGGTAGCTCGTGTGGTAGGTTCTGATCGGCCATGACAACAAGAATCACGAGTATTGGCAGTGTATTAAAAATCACAAAAAATTGCAGTATTAGCGAAGGTTTTAGTTCAAATCTGTTTCGTTTCGAAATTATTGAAAAATAAACTCGATACTCATAATATTCTGAAAAACATAACCTAAAAATCCTAAAATATTCGACAGGTGTAAAATTGCCTCCGATATTAACCAATCAAAAGGAAGGTCAACGCTTCCCTATGATAACTAATGCTGTCTTCTTGGTTGGAACGGACTATAGAACTCTTGATTTATTTATCCTCTTGCGAGAATGAAGTAGCTTATTTTTACCTGTTGTATCATAGGAGTGTACGTCCATATGAGAAGAGAATTTGTTAATATTGCATTTGATGTGCATCAGATTTTCGAAGACAATCATCGAGAACAGTGACATTATTCCTAATTCTTGAAAGATAGGTCGACAGTGTTCATCAGGTTTAGCTTTCACAATGCTTCGAACTGCAGATTTTTGCAAAATGAAAATCCTTTGTAAATGAAAGTACATCGTTTTGAAATGGTTAATTTGCTCGTGTGTATTATAGCGATTTTTTTATAGTGGTTTGAGCAAAGAAAAGTGTTTAATTGTGTACTCTTATAAAAATGCCCCAATTTGAGGTTACATTAGTTTGCATTTCATTCCCATTCAGTAGCTCAGCCAAATTAGAAGTTCTACAATACAAAAAGTATTGGTGTGACGAACTCAGAGTATTTGGTTAACTTACTTGGAGTTTGTAAAAGTTTAATAACGTTAACTAGTTGTGGTATATACAGGGTGGGGCATTAGTGCGTCGGAGCTCGATTGCTCGTGTTCTATGATAGCTAGAAACTTGATTCTAACACGAATGTGGATAAGACAAGGTCCATAACTAGAAATTACTGCCGTATATACAGGGGGCACCGGAAAAAATCTGGAGGATCCAGATCAGTTTTTTTTAAATGAAATGCCCTATATATTAGCACATTTTTTGAAGCATCCCTGTGACCTCCATCCACTGCTATAATATTGTTGGATATATCTCGATAATTTTCAAAGGTATTTTCAAATGTACTATGAAATTTAAGAATGATAGATCAATCAATCAACTTTATTATTCCCAAGAAACAACATTTGTTTATAGCAGGGACCATGGTGAATATACCGGTTGTTTCTCAAATGTGGCGCGCCCCTATAACTTTTTTGTTTATATAAATAAAGAGAAGAAATTCTGTGTGTAAGTACATAAACAACAAACAGTACAATTATTTGATGTATTCAATTGTTTTCTGTCACTTCCGGTTTGACCGGAAATGGCCCATATTTTCTTATTTTAAAAGGGACACCCGGTAAATTTTTACTTATTTAGATTAAGACATTGTGGACATAACATTGTGTGTTCAATGACTCCCTATTTGTCAGTTTATGAAATCCTGAAATGTTCATTTTTCAATCTAGTTATATCAACGTGCCAATTGAAAAAATTGAGTTAACATTATAATTATGATATTGTAAATTTTGAATGAATTCGTGAAACAAATGAGAAGTAAAACTTCATCAGAACTATTTTTACTAGGCAACATAATTCAAATTAACTGTTCAACTCATTCATGGCAATCTCTCTAGATTGTGAATTGAAAAATGAAAATTACAGGATGATAAATGTCAAACAGTGGAAAATGGGGTGTCATTGTACTCACAATGTTATACTCTATCGAAATAAGAAAAAATATACCAGGTGTCCCATTTAAAATAAGGTTATATGGATCATTTCCTGTCAAACCGGAAGTGACAGAGAACAATTGAGTACGTCAAATAATGCATATTCATGTACTATTCTCACACACCGAATTTCATTTGTTTATCCATTATAAACAAAAAAGAAATTGAGGTGACAAAATAAAGAAGACAGTAAAATAAGACTCACTCAAGAAGAAATCTTTTTTTTTTTAAGTTCAACTGAAAATGATTCTTAATTGACTCAGCTTTTAGGTACTCAATGGAAAACTATAGTAATTGTACCAGATAACTATAAAAATGAGATGAGATATTACAGGAATAGATGTTTCTAGAATTCCTCTTTAAATTCTTCAATCCTATTAATCAGCTTCCACTTATTTGGTAGTAAATTGTTTTGTATCATTCCATTGTAATAGATGATTTTTTTACCAATATCTGATTTAATTTTCTTGAATGATAAATTATGATTTGACATACATTAGGTTGTCTAGACCTAAACACAGAATCAGAAGGCTAATTGAACCATGTGAAAAAAATTTAGATTCCTATTTAAAATAAGAAAGTTGGTGTCAACTTTTGAACACCCTGTATAGCTGGAGGACTGAAATTATTTCAAGTAGATTGCACATCATCCATTACAAGAGCATAGGAATTTCCAAGTTCTCAAACCAACTGTATGTAAGAAAAGTTTTCAATGTGTGGCCTACATAATTCACCCTGTATAAGTCAGAAAATAATTATGCAATTTTGAAATTGATAAATGGTATGACTTTTTGAAATTTTTTGAAGAATAAACACTGATTTCTCTGTTTTTCATGGCTTACTGGATGATACTTGGTAATAATATAATATTTAGTTTGAATTAATTTCAAAGAGATATCATCCACTTGTGAAATATCCCTGAATTCAGCAGAAATAGCTGAAAACAAGGAGAAACAAAATCATATTCCATTACAAAAATATTTTCATGTTTTGGTTGACCTAAAATAAAATTGACACCAGTTTGGGCCATTTATTATAAGACAGTCAGTTAAACAGAATTTGAAAGACAATTAAATCATAAATTAATCAATATATGATAATGATGGACTCTGGATTCTTTGTCTGAAAATAGTAGTCAACATTTTCCAATTTGAATTATTATTGAATGACCATGTTTATGACAAATTATTGAATATCTGTATTAATTCCAATCATTTCTACAGATACTTTAAATAATTGAAGAAGATGAGTAGTGAATTTATAGAAATTTGAAAAGATCACTGATAACAATATAATTTTTAGTTAGTAAGAAATTTCTGAACATGTAGATGTGTATATTCATGAAAAACAAATAAAAAACTATGATACCAATATCATTGAGATATAAAACAATCTCACCTTAGATCCTCATCAACATCCTCTTCCTTAGTATCCATAGGAATAGCTGGAGGAGTGAAAAAATTGAAGAAGGAATCATTCTGTACTGTATTGGTCACTGTACGAATGACACCCCTGCTCTTGTGTTTTTGCTTCTTCTTCACAGTTTTCACTGTCACATTCTTGCCCTTGAAATAAATGTTCAGTATAAAAAATGAGTCTATCTTCAACAAGGAAAAACTTTAGTATTGTTTCTCCATATACCAATTGATCAAAATTATTTGTAAGTATATTTCATACATCAGCATATTACTCTTTCAATATTTTTTCCACAGTCAGTCTTGATAAAGAACATGAATATTTTTAGAAGCCAAAAAAAAATTAATATCAAATAGGACAACTGCTTCCCACAAATATCATCTACATAACAAATATGTTTCATGATAAGTACAATAAAAGTGCACCATAAGGTTTTTTCATGGTAATAATAATAAACATCATTGATATTTAAATCTAAATGATAACTGAACATGAGAACTAAAAATACAAGTGATATTAGTCAATTATTTTCACTGGAGTCTGTCAACTTGATGACAAATGTTATTGATTTATCTGACCTTTGAATCATGCTTGAATTAAATTGATTTGGACCATGAAACCAGTCACAAAAATGTAAAAAAAATCATATTGAATACAAAAGCATTAGAAATGGAGAAACAAAATAAAACTAGTTCTCTGGCTTATTCTGTTTTGCATTAGTTTCCTGTAAATCTTGTATTAGTCCAATATTATTCCAAATAATTATTATGTATACCAGATAGTTGTTTTTACCTTGTTCCAGTTGATGGTACAACCTGTACACTTGAAAATTTCAGGACCCTCAAAACTGAATGGATCATCTTCATCTGGTACACATTTCATGTTGTACTCCTTTGTGAGTATGGCATTGGTGAAATACTCATTAGGGGAAAAGTGGAATTCCAAAGTAAAGCTCTGAAAGAAAAAAATGTGTTTGGAGTAATAAAGATTTTTTGGCAATAATTATTCACAAGATGAACATGGAATGAAAAATGAAGCTGTCTTCAATAACTTGAATACACCAGGGGCAAAATATGTTTCAATAATAAAATGTAATTGCAGGATTACACATTTAACAGAAATTATGAACATGAAAGCTTGACTTACCATTGGATCAACATTGCAGATAGTTTTCACATCAGTCAAATGTTTCAATATGGGCACATCATGTTGTAGCACCATTTCAGACAACAATGTAACATTCCTGAAAATGGTCAACCAAAATTCAGGAATTCCCTTGGGATCCTCTACCTCTTTCTTAGCAACATCTTCAATCTTGATTTTCTCCTTAACAGCTTCAGGTAGGTCTTCATCATCAGACTGCCATTGACATTCCTCTTCTGTGGGCTCATAGCTACCATTCACTATGGTATTTCTTTTTTCATAGAGTGGTACATAGAGCTGGTGATATTTACATTCCAAGTCATGAACCTCTTTGAAAAATTTTGCTTCAATATTGGTAGTCTCCAGCTGGACTTTTTTTAAAGCTTTAACCCTGCGTTTGACTGTGGCAGGCAGTAAGGCCAGCATTTCAGCATTTCGCTGACTCTGGATATGTGCTAAGACGTTGGGGAATAGCAAGAGCTTATTTTCCTGTCCAGTTTCTTCTTCCTCTACAGATTCCAAATCATCAGGGCAATCGCCAGCTGGGTCATTCTCATTTGTCATTATGCTGGAATTAAGAAAGTGTTTAACATAGGAGTTTCAGTAAATTTGAGTAGAAAATGAGAAAACGAGTTTTTGAACACGTGCACACAAAAACCGAAACGCAGAACGTCAATTTGCTGTCAATTTCTCATATCCCAATAAACAAAAGCCTTCTTCCAATTCTAAAGACGGTGTACTCGTGGCCTACTAGTATCATCAACTACATAAACTAGCCCTATTGGCCCTAATCGTAATTTAACAACAAATTCACAAAACAGGCATGGAAACAATTCATCAATTTTTGAGTTATTTCCAGATTTTTCTCACCGGGTTTTAGGAAGAAAGATGCCGAACCGACAAGGCAATGACAGTTAACGACAGCTACCGCAAGAAAGATGGAATAATGCGAAGTTCACAAAGTAGCCCCCTTTGTCCTTGAAGCGGTAAAAAAACATCTGTTCAACGATAATTTGATGGTTGTCGCACAAGCGCAGTTCTCCTGTGTGTTGCCACTTCTATTATTTATCAGCCATATTTCGATATGCTCATTGACTCTGCACGATCTAGTACCGTAGAAATTCCAGTTATATAATAGGCCTGTTCGTTTGTGTTTGCTCTCCCTGCTCAACTTGATTTGTTTCTATGACTTTTTCTGTTTACATTATGCCATGAACAGAGACAACTATGGAAACAGAATCAACTTTAGCAAGTTCAGCAACACAAACGAATAGATCTAATAATATAGACATGATTATAACGTCATAGTGGCCAATGACATATTGTTTTTATTTCTTGGAGCTCACGAAAGGTAATCCCTATTATGTTAAGTTAAATATCTGTATTATTATTTTAATTTCATCATCTGAATAATCCGAAACTCACGAGTCCCAAAAGAAGTATTCTAATAATCAATATCGAAGGTACCGACGTATACAGTTTTATGTGTGATTGTTTTAGATATTTTGTGCCCAAGTGTTGAAATAATAATGGCCTGGTAAACATCATGGGGTTACGGACATCAATGGTGCCGAAGAGCGACTTCCTACTGGATCTTTACTATTTAAAATGCGGCGTTCAAAACCAAACTTTTTACGTTTTGCTTTTACCCTTCGAATTCTGATTGGTGAAGCAAAATCTGAAATGGACATGATGCAATAAGAAGCTGAATATTTTTAGCTTTTTGCGTTGCAAGATGCCACTATGTGTGGAAATATGGCACGACGAATATTGGCCTTTCTAGGATTGATTTTCTCATAAAAGAGCAATTTACGTCTCTGCCTGTAGTCTCTCTCTGTACTCATGAATATTATTCGTTATTTATTTAAATATTATTGTTGTGATTATTTCACTTCATTTCAGGATGAAGCACAAGTGACGAAAGCGAGGCAACTGAGAAAAGCCGTGAAAACTTACATTTGCAGTTTTTGTTCAGCGAATGACATTTGCTTCAGTTTAATTTACTTACTCACTTATCACTTATCAAAACACGTAACGTAAAAAGCAAAATGTAAAACTACTGACTGGCTAAATATCTAGACTGTCTGACGGGTATACTATTTAGCCGTCATTGATTAGACAGTGTTCTAGTACTTTTCGATAGAAAATTCTAGTACTTTAAATTATTGATCGCGGCAACACTGTTGTCTCAGTGTATCGGTGGGAAAAACAATAAATGGCGGGATTTCGAGATAGGTATTTCCGGTTATTTTCGTTCATCCATCCCATAACGTGTTTCCGTGATTAAAAAACCAAAATATCTCTCAATTTTCGTTTGAACCCGGCGTAATTCAGTAATCAGGTCGAATACAAGGTCGAAAGATTAAAATACACATTAGACTAATAAACATTCTAGGCTATATATTGCCGGTACAACAGTCCGTGAATTCCTTGCAATTGAGTCATTGGATTAAAGTAGCACGTGCGAACGCGATGAAAACTCGTCATGTGGGGAATATTACGTAACTTGAAAATAAAAACAGTTGTACTTCTAATGATAATCATAGTTTTAACATCAATAATAATTGTCTTTCATCCGATTCAGGTGAAAATTGTAACTTCTTAGCAGAACCTTATTTTTTAATGTTTTATATCTGTTGGCATTTCAGATATTTTATGGAGATGATTCATCATCAGAAGTTCCTATTTTAATATGGTGGACATCTTTTATGCCTAATTTTGATAGAATTATAAAATGCGAGGAGGAAAAGTATACGTGTTTGATATCTAGTGATAAATCATTGAACAATAAAATAGCTGCAAGTTTGAAAATAAAAACTGCAAACTTTTCATTTTCACTTACCTATACTCATTTTTCAGGCATTCCTGTTTTACGGAAGCCACATCGAAAATCATGAATTTCCATCACCTACTACGAATGCACTCTGGGCAATTTTTCATGAAGAATCGCCCAAAAATTATGCCCCATTTTTATACCAGGAAACCCAGGACTTATTCAACATAACTTCTACCTTCAGCAGATATAGTGATTTTCCTGTAACTCTGCAATATTTAGAAAATCTCAGTCTACTGACAAGTAAATTGTCTTGAAATTTTATAATATAAATTATTTTCTAATCCAGATAAATACCTTTATTTTTAGGTAGAAAATATTTTTTAGCACTAAATGAGAAAAATATACGATTGCAGAATCTTTCTCCAATCTTATATGTGCAGTCAGATTGTGATACTCCTATTGGTAGAGATTATCTAGTGAATGAGTTATCCAAATATATAAAAATCGATAGTTATGGAAAATGTTTGAAAAATAAGGAGTTTCCAAAAGAGTATGTATTTTATTTTTTATATGATTTTCAACTTTTCAATATTTTGAATCCCATTTTCCAGCTTTTGTTGAAGTTTTTCAGAGTATATATCGACTATAAATATATTATCTTTTTCTGCAATCCACTATAAAAGTCGTCCATTTTTATTCCAAAATTAGTTCTTGAAGTTGACGGTCCTCTTAATGACACAATAAAATGATAAGTATATGTATGTTGCTAGCTTAGTGTCTAGGAGCTAAAGTTGATTTTTTTAACTCCTTGGCGAACTAATATACAGGGTGATCCACGGTGGATGGCCTATTAGAAGTATCTGGAGAACGAAAAGACAGATCATTCTGAACATTGGGAAGCTTTAATAATTGAACATTCTCTATCCGTCTAAAATATTTTCATCGATACAGTGTTGCCACTTCCATCAGAAACAACTAGCAACTTTGTTATTTCAAATGGAACACCCTGTATTTTATTGCATTTTTAGATTATCCCTGAAGAGCTGATTTCATCAATACATCAAACTTATTGGGGTCTAGCAGAAATGATTACAGAGATATAGGGTGTTCAATATCGAGATTTTTCAGTTTTAGTTTTTTTTTTGTGTCGAAACTATCAATTATCGATCAATACTTACATGTCCCTATATTAACTTTCGCTTCACTATCTACTGACATTTAATTGGAACAGACACAGGGTGATCACTTGATCAGAATTGTGGAACTTGAAGCACCCTGTATTTTTTTAATTAAATTCCAGTAGATAGTGAATCAAGAGTTGAGGCAGGGATATGTAAGCCGTTTTGATCGATAATGAATCAATTCGACACAAAAAAATCCTAAAATTGAAAAATATCGATTTTGAACACCCTATATCTCTGTAATCATTCCTGCATGCATTGATGAAATCAGCTCTTCAGGAAGAATCTGAAAATGCAATAAAATACAGGGTGTTCCATCTGAAATAACAAAGTTGCTAGTTGTTTCTGATAGAAGTGGCAACACTGTATCGATGAAAATATTTTAGACGGATAGAGAATGTTCAATTATCAGAAAATCCCAATTTTCAGAATGTTCTGTCTTTTCGTTCTCCAGATACTTCTAATAGGCCATCGACCGTGGATCACCCTGTATAGTTTGTGGAATGACAGCTGATGATAGCTGCTTTGACACTGACATTTTCAAGCAAGTCAAAATACTCAAATTTCATAAATTAGATATCAATTATTTCGATTGAATAAAAAAGCAGGTTTCATTCAGATCAAAAGTGACTTTGTTTGACTCGCTCCGCTTCGCGAATGCAAATATCGCTTGTCAAACAAAGTGTCACATTTGATCCTAATAAAACAATGCACTATTATTTTAATCAATACATATTATATTGTTTTGCAATATTTCTTTATTTTTATAGGATGAATGAAGTAGATCCTTTGAACCTATTCGACGAAAAATATATGCATTTCATGGCCCAGTATAAGTTCATTATTTCATTCGAAAATGCAATATGTGAGGATTATATTACAGAAAAACTGTGGAGACCCCTTATCGTTGGGTCTATACCAATTTATTTTGGCTCGCCTACCATAGAAGTAAGAGAATGCTCAGAAAGTTCAAAAACTCCGACAATTTTTTTTTGTAGGATTGGCTTCCAAATAAAAATTCCGCGATTTTAGCGAAAAACTTTGAAGACATGCAAAGTCTAGCAAAATTCATTGAGGTCATCAATCAAAACAACACTTTGTATAATAGTTTTCTGGAACATAAACTGCACTCTAGAATCTCAAATGATTTTATTAGGGACAATATATTGGACCAACATCCTGTATCTGAATTCGAATGTTTTGTTTGTAAGAAAATTCACCAAAAAGATTATAGTTTCGGTGGCAAGAAAAAGAATGTTTACGATTGTTTGAAACCAACAGCAAGAAAAAATGAGGAGAATACTTGGGATCAACATTGGGAAATCGGAAAATGCCAGTCCAAAGCACTACAAATTTTGAGAAATCAAGGTAAATCATATTCACAAAAAATATTTCAAGGAACCTGGAAAACTCTTTTAAGGAAAAATGAATGTTAAATGAAATTATAATGAATAAAAAATAAATTATTTATTCGGCATTTTCAATACAACAGTTGAATTCATTTTCATACTAAATTCGCTGATTAATATATTGGAACGACATTATAGGATCAAATTGGAAATAAATTATAAGAAGATAATTTCAATGTAAGGTACACAAAAAAACTCATTCAGTCTGGAAATTGCAGTTATTTGAATGCACAGGGTGATTCACCATAAATGTCCCCCCCTCTAGCTCACTTATTTTTGAACCGTTTTAAAAATTTGAAAGATAATCTAAAATGATTTTTCTGAAATTTTTTTCCCGCTGCATCAGAGAATACAGGGTGCTCGGAACAAACGATCTGCAGAGTACTAATTGATTTTTTTAAATGGAACACCCTGTATTTTATTGTATTTTCAGATTCTTCCTGAAGAGCTGATTTCATCAATGTATCACACTTGGGGTTTAGCGGGAATGATTACAGAGATATAGGGTGTTCAAAATCGAGATTTTTCAACTTTAGGATTTTTTTGTGCTGAAACTATTCATTATTGGTCAAAACGGCTTCTATGTTTCCATCCCAACTTTCGATTTACTATCTAGTGAAATTTAATTGGAACATTTACAGGGTACGTGGTTCAAGATTCAGAATTCTGGTCACCCTGTATCTGTTCCAATTATTAAATGTCAGTAGATAGTAAATAAAAAGTTAAGATACGGACATGAAAACCGCGTGACCGATAATGAATAGTTTCGTCACAAAAAAAAATCCTAAAGTTAAAAATCTCGATTTTGAACACCCTATATCTCTGTAATCAGTCCCGCTAGACCCCAAGTGTGATACATTGATCAAATCAGCTCTTCAGGGAGAATCTAAAAATACAATGAAAAATAGGGTGTTCCATTTAAAAAAATCAAATAGTACCCTGTAGATCGTTTGTTCCGAGCACCCTGTATTTTCTGATCTAGAGGAAAAAAACTTTATCGAAAATCATTCAAGATGATATTTCAAATTTTAAAATCGGGTCAAAAATAACTGAGCTAGAGGGGGGGACATTTATGGTGAATCACCCTGTATGTATAATAGGGAATAATAAAAACAGACTGAAAGGTTGATAAAAATCACACAGAATAATTGAATCATATCTAATATTTGAAATTTACATGTTTACATTGCGATGTTGAAATGCAAATGATAATTTAAGGATGATAGAGATTCCTCAACTGAATACTTTACAAAAAAAATCATCCAATGATGAGAATAAAGTACATGTTTTTTCTCAATTAAAAGTATCACATTTGTTGTATAAGTTTCACACTTATACATAATAGAAGTATACAGTGCGATTCATTCGGAAATTGAAGATTTTATTATCATATATTGCAGATAAATATGAATGAAACACTATGTAAATATGCATCTTACGAATAACAATGAACTCGTCAAGTTTTCTCTCAATAACTTGAGTTCAATCAACTATTTCCAAATTTTGTTAGGGACAAATTACATTGTATACCTACAGTGTGACCCACTTCTAATGGAACCACCCCTGTATCTTATGTAATCGTTGGGTAAGGATCCTGAAATTTGCTGGAGCGAGAGATATACCAAGAATGCACTTTATGACCAAGTGGGGTCATCTTCAGTGATATACACTGCTCGCCAACAGCCATGAAACTACCCCAATTTCCGGAAAATGATATTAGGAGTAAAAATAGGTTGATCACTTCAGACTTGGAATCAGGACGCCCAATTTACTAACTATTCAAATTTTTCCTGGAAAATTTTCAGTTCGGAAAAATGAAATTTTGTCGCATTTTTTATGGAAGCACCCCCGTATCTCACGTAATTATTGAGGTAGGGTTCTGAAATTTGCCGGAGGAAGAGAAAGTCCAAAGATAAAGTCAATTACGTGAGATACGGGGGTGCTTCCATAAAAAATGCGGCAAAATTTCATTTTTCCGAACTGAAAATTTTCCAGGAAAAATTTGAATAGTTAGTAAATTGGGCGTCCTGATTCCAAATCTGAAGTGATTTTCGACCTATTTTGACTCCTAATATCATTTTCCGGAAATTGGGGTAGTTTCATGGCTGTTGGCGAGCAGTGTATATCACTGAAGATGACCCCACTTGGTCATAAAGTGCATTTTTGGTATATCTCTCGCTCCAGAAAATTTCAGGATCCTTACCCAACGATTACATAAGATACAGGGGTGGTTCCATTTTGAATGGGTCACACTGTATATAGAAAATTAATAGGCTGTTATAAAAAAGGTGACATAAACTGAGTTGAGTTTGTATCACCTTTCTTACAAAACCCTGTGAAAACAATTATCGAGGGGTAAAAGAAGGAAATGTCATCAAATTTTCGAAATTAGTAGCAAATAATTAGAATTAAAATCACTAGAATGTATAATATATTTCAAATACAAATATCCAACTGGCCATATATATTTACAAAATAGCATATTGATAAGTCTTGCTGCATTCCATATGCATTTTTGGATACCAACATCAAACACCAAAATGAAAAAAAATAAGTCCCATATCAAAGTTAACGGAACACAAAATTAAAAAAAAATATCACTCAGTTCATATAAGTACTCTACCTACTGGAATAAGGAAACCCTACCTGAGGAGAGGATAAGGGTGAAGACACACGGAGCGATTTTCGCCGACTCGGCACACGAGCTGTCGTGTCTTTATGGAATAAAACAAACGCAACATTGAGCAGCGCTGCTACCGCGCGTACGGTCGTCTGGATGATATGCCGAACGCGTTTTTATTGCTTTGAGCGGCTACTCAGAACGTTTTGTCAAGTGCGATTGAACACACGAGGAGCGGTTTTCGAGCGGTGCAATGCAAACATTGTTGTCAAGTTGACCGATCCATGATGGCTCTCATTGATTGTGAAAAAGTAATTTGTTGCAAAACACCTCATCGGTATCGTGTGAAAATACACAAACGGAAACTGTCACAGTGCTTCCACAAATTGAAAAAAAAAAACAGAAAAATCCCATTAGTTGAAGCAAAATTAATTGCAGCACTCGACAGAAACGCAGCTCGTTAAAAAAAAAAGAAAAATAGAAAACTTCCAGAAGACGATGATGAGTTATTTCTTTTGTCGCTCTCACCTCAGCTGAAGTTGGTTCCAACACATCAGAAACTGACTGTGAGAATGGAAATAATGCAACCCATTATCAAATATAAAGGGTTTCTCAATAAGAACGCTCGATCTTTAAAGTGTAATAAAAAATAAAGTATAAATAAAACTGACATAATTCAATATTTATTTTGAAGCATATGTAACTACAATATGTTTTAAAAATTATGTCACTTGAATGTCCGCTCCAAATTCGGCAGTTTTGCTTGTTGACGAAGCCACTTGACCAAAAATGTGCCTCGTCACTAAAGATTATTTTATTCGCAAAATCGCGGTCACCCTCCAACTGTTGTAGCACCCAGGCAGCGAATTCACGCCGATGCCTATGATCGTTGGGCTTTAATTCCTGCGTGATTTGCACCTTATATGGGTGAAGCGATAAGTCGTGATGCAGAATTCGCATGGTTGACATCCGCGAAAGTCCAAGTTCTTGAGCACGACGCGGAATAGAGTGTCGTGGATTCTCATGCACACTTGCTCGGGCGGCCGCAATATTTTCAACGGATCTTACTCTTCGCTGACGTACAGGAGTTCTTTGACCTGCCACTGAACCAGTTCCATCGAATTTGTTCATTAAACGGCGAATTGAGGGCTCTGCAGGACGATCATTAGCACCATAAATTGAGCGAAGTGCGCGGAATGTGTGCCGAACGGAACATTGGTTTTGGTAATAAATTTTGACGATTTCGACACGTTGTTAAATTGTGTAACGCTCCATAATACATGTTAAAGCTAACTGGAATATTCCTGCCAAAGATAACGCCTGTGTGACTTTCGACCTTGTAATGCGCTGTTGCCAAAGATCGAGCGTTCTTATTGGGAAACCCTTTATTATCCAACCCCAAGTCGCAGTATGTGTTCCAAACATGCAATACCAATATACACCACATACAATCAGTACAGTCTTATAAAGAACTTTTCTCACCCGAAGATTCTAGAGACCATAAATTTCAAATTTTGTAACGTTCATGCATTATAATGACGAAAATTGAAAATTGAGTTTCTCTCACCTCAGCGTTATCACCAGTTTTTCTTCCGGTGAAATACTTCTTCCCATTGCCGTATCCTGCTTAGTTATTTGATTCTTCATCAGAGTCAGACGTTCATTAAACGAATCTTTTGGCATTCGTACAAAATTTAAGATTTTTTCGTCATCTCTTTTGATCGCATCATCAAATAAAGTATGAAACAAACTTTCCTCAGTTCGTTCCTTGACAATTGGGGGTACCCACATACGCCTGTTTCTTTTTTTCTCCGAACGACATTAAATTAGTCCCACTAATGATGAGAAGTCCTCCTCAGACACTATTGCGAATTTGAACAAGAATTGACAACACCACATTGTTTTTGTTTTGCGTGTCGCATTAGCAACGACCCGTGTGTCTTCATGCATTCGGCTGCCGAGTCGGCCGCCGAGTAGGCGAAAACCGCTCCGTGTGTCTTCACCCTAAATGAAACACTCCTCAAAATAAACTCTGTACAATCGTGGAAGACACTTGAATTGCTTTGTGCATGGATAAACACTCCTTTTCAAGGTAAAACTGCGTTTAGCATGCGATGGGTTTTTTTCGAAAATTTTTTTTGGTACTTACGTATTTTTGTCTGAAAAACACGAATTTGATAATGAAAATGTTAACAAACCATTATTTATTAAGATATTTCACTATAAAGTTACAAATTTCACCTTCTTTTCCGCCTGTCTGGATTGAATGTAAAACAAATTACCCTTCTTTTTTCATCATCGGACAATTTATATATATCACAATGTAAGACACATTTTTTCTATTGAGTCAACTAGAAATATGATTTTCTTGTGATTTATCCATATTTAGTGAAAAGAAGGAAGAATATCATTTAAAATAATGGCGTGCGTAATGCATATACGTATTAATAAACAATACTGATCATAACAGGTGCCAGGATGAAGCCAAAAATATGAAACAAATGAATATCCATAAGGATTTGGTGGCATGATACGCATGCGCTATTATAGTAGTCATCAAAGACATGCGTTTCGGTGGACAATGACGTTTACTAGCATTTCAATCAAAGCAGTATGTGTCTGATCGTTTCAAAACTTTTCCTTATGGATAGTCATTTGTCTTCAAAAATCGGCTTCATGTTTCGCAATGGAAACAGATAGAGATTATCCGTATTATGGCGTAATGTCATTCAAAAGCACTCTGTTGACATTTGACATCTCGTATTTGGATTGACTATTAATTAAACTGCCGTCATCTGGTATGCTTGTTCACTGAATATGAAAAACTCGCCATAAAAATCATGTTTCCTGTTGAATTTTCTGTATAAAAATGTGTCATTGAAGTACATCATGAGTATATAAAGTGTCCAATGACAAAATAAGAAGAGCAAGTACCTGTAAATGCATCCAACACTCAGAGAGGGGAAAAAGGAGTCGAAATTTCGAACTTTTTTTAAATATCTCTATAAATAGTGGTTTGTTCACATTATCATTGTCAAATTCGTGTTTTTCAGACAAAAATACGTAAGTACCAAAAAAACCATCGCATGCTAAATGCAGTTTTACCCTTTTCAATAGCACCAAGTATGAAGCTTAAATCATTGAATTAGGCCAAAGCTTCTCAATCTTCATAGTTTTGCTTACATTTCTCTCGGCGAAATCAATACAACACTTCAAAAAATTACTTTTCAAAAATTAAATCAACTTCTCCTACGACCCCATGTCAATGTGTTTCGAAAAATATCGGTTAACGCGACTTCGGCAACATTGCAAACTCTCTAGTTTAGTCCATTCACTTTTGAGGTCAAAATAATTTCAGAACACAGACGATAAGAACTAATTCAGATCATTTGGTGAATTTTTCTAAAATTGTATTGCTACCTAACCACAATTTTTAGTTTGAGGTATACAAGGTCCAATTTACCTCAGTCCAAATGTTGATAGTTTCCGAAAGCTCAGCTATGCAATGCTCGGGTTCAAATTCACTTATGAATTTCCTAACACATGTGTGTGATAGAAGTTGTAGGAAAATGTCAATTCTCACTTTTTCCATGTTTCCGAGCATACTGTGCATATGTCACAAATTCGATTTCGATCAATTGCCTTGCCCTTTTTCGCGAAAAAAATCACGAATATTAGACGACTCTCTTGTCATTTACTTCTAAACGCCCTGTTGCGAAATTGTGTTGTTGAACTTGGCTTCATTATGCTTTGGATTGAAGTGTGATCTCTTCTTAACACAATAGTGTTCGTTAGGGGTGGGCAAATTTATGGATATCTCGATAATTATGGATAATATCGATAAAAGTCCAGATGAAAAATCATCGGTTAATCGATAATATCAATGATATAGATTCATGGATGATATCGATAATATCAATGAAATTTTCGTTCATTTTCGAAATATCCGTTGATTTTAAATTGTAATCGCCCATTCCTAGTCCATTCCAACTAAGAAGACAGCATTGGAAGTCGTTGACCTTCGCTTTCATTGGTTAATGAAAATAATAAAAATCCATACTTGCTAAAAACACTTGTATCTTCTCTTAAAAAGTAGCTATCGACGAAAATCAAGAACCATTGTGTTGAGAAGGGATCACACTTCAATCCAAAACATAATGAAGCTAAGTTCAACCACTCACCTTTTCCACAGGGCGTTAGGAAGTTGAGGATGAAAAAGTAACTTTAGTTTCCCCTGTATAATTATCAAGCCGTCAGCTTCTCTGAAGACCTAATATTCAGGCTAACATTCCGAAACATGAATATACGATTTGGTCGAAATTTCACCAAAATCGGACAAGAATTAAAAAAGTTACAGGGCGATCAATTTCGCAAAATTTTTTGGTGGCCGGTTTTCTCTGCCGGTGAGAGGTATTTCTCTGACGTCAAAATTTGAACTAGGATATTGCGCCTTTGAACTTGGAATCTCATTTTTCAACTTCAAGATGAGAATTCCGAGTTAAAAGTTAGAATTCACGACTTAGAAGTCGGAATTTCCGGAGTCAAAATTATCCGACTTCATGGTCGAAAATATATAAAATTCTGAAGCTATCCCATCTCTGAAAAAATAGGCCTCGTACCGAAAAAATTAGAATAACAATAGCTCATCTACGCCTTCCGATCAATCACCTTTATTCTTGCTCTTTCTCGCGAAAAAATTCAACTTGCGCTTCTTCTTCTTCCCGTCGTTTTCGTCCACATTCGACGAGTCCGTCGAACAGATGTCGTCTTCAACGGGCGCAGTCGAGGTCTGCTGCTCCTTGATCGTCACGTGCCTCTGAGACCCCGACTTCGGCTTGATCGACTCCAAGTTCGATTCGGACTGCGACGATTTGTGTCGCAGTTCCACTCCGGGCATCTGGATGTCCTGGGACACGGACCGCACTATCGGCGTTGACTTGATAGGGGGGCTGAAAGCGATGTTGGTTTGGCTGATGCTTTTCGGATGGGAGGACAGTCGGCTGGTTATTGGCCGATAAGGTTGTGTCGGACTGCTCTCGTCAGGTCTGAAATTAGTATTTATGCACTAGCGGGCCGTAAAGTGCACTTTACCGCCCGCTGTTCTCAGTTACCTTATATCCACATATCAATTCATGAAAAACCTATGATCATCTTCCTAGATTCTAATATATCCAGCGGTATATCATAAACTTCTTCTTTATCCGATTCCATATCTATCGCTATTATTATTATCATCACTAATTTTTACTTTTCAGTCAAAGAATGACAATTCAGCTCGTTTATTGGATGTATTGATATACAGTTCTCAACACACCAAATGGACCACTCATAATTTGACTCTATTTCGAAGACCTGTATTTTTTTTAAAAATTGACCGATCTTCATATGGTTTTCGATATCAGATGTGATGTTCCATCGACTTCAATGAGAGCTAGAACAATCTGAAAAAGTCCGCAAAACAAAACTCACACAGGGTGTAAAGTGGAACCATTACACTATGGTCTACATTTCCAATGCTGCCAGAACTCGAGAAATTTTTTTCTGATCAAAAGTCAGTCATATTATGATACACTGGGACCTCATTTCGGGGCGTTTTCGTGATGTCTCCTTAATTGGCCATTGGAACAAAAATTCGATTTTTTTTCGAAAGTCTTGCATTTCTTGATTTTTTCCTCTAGAACTTCACTTGAGCTGACTATTGGGAAGAACTGTTCTCATGTTTTATGGAGGATAATGAAAGACGAAAAAAGCACTTTTTTGGATTATACAGGATGATAAGAAACTAGGACAAAATCTCATTTCAGTGAGAAAAATCAAAAATGGTGACTAAAACTATGGCCCATTCGATCCAGTATATTCAGAAACGGCCTCCTCGATATCCATCATTTATATTAGACTACTAACTCGAGATGTTTTCGAAAATTCGCCTCTAAGTGAAATACAGGATGAAATTTTTCAATTCAAAGTGGTTTCCTGATATCGATGATTTTCAATATTTATTGCTCAAGTATGAGAAACAGAGAATTGTTGTTCAATATACTGAGTGTTTTACAACTACGATATTACATGAGTCTATCACAAAAAAATTTAATAGAAGTGAAACGCGATGGAAAATAAAATTTGTAACACTTTATATCAACTAAAACTATTCGAAAAGGGTGATAAGAAAATAGGACAATACAGGGTGAAAATTTTCAATACAAACTTGTTTCCTGATATCGATGATTCTCATCATTTTATCAACGGATTTCCAATATTTATTGCCCAAGTATGAGACACAGAGCATTGTTGTTCAATATATTGAGTGTTCCACAACTTATCTGACAAATTACGAACTCTAGAAAACAATAATGTTAGAAGAATGTGGTGACCAGCATTATAGCCAGATCTGAATTTGATTGAACATGTGTGGAGCCGAATGAAACTTTACCTATCGAGAAGGCGAGGCACCCCAAAATAATGACAACCTTATCCTGAATGGGCGGCAATATCAATAGACTTCATCAACAACCTCATAAAATCTATGCCAAACCGATTTCATGAGGTTTTGTTGAATCGGGGAGGCCTACCAAGTACTGAAATTTAGGATATAGGACTTTCTAGTTGGATCTTCATGATGCTGAAGAATTCAATAATGTCATATTTCGCCAATAGAGCCCTTTTAGAATAGTTTTAGTGGATATAAAGTGTTACAAATTTAATTTTTCATCTCGTTTTACTTCTATAATTTTTTTTGTGATAGACTTCTTATGTAATATCGTAGTTGTGGTTGAAATTTGTCAGATAAGTTGTAGAACACTCAGTACATTAAACAACAATACTCTGTGTCTAATACTTGGGCAATAAATATTGGAAACCATCAATATCAGGAAACAAGTTTGAATTGGAAATTTTCATCCTGTATTTCATTTAGAGGCGAATTTTCGAAAACGTCTCGAGTTAATGGTCTAATATAAATAATGGATATCGAGAAGGCCGTTTCTGAATATACTGGATCGAATGGGCCATAATTTTAGTCACCATTTTTGATTTTTTTCACTTAAATGAGATTTTGTCCTAGTTTCTTATCATCCTGTATAATCCAGAAAAGTGCTTTTTTCGTCTTTCATTATCCTCCATAAAACATGAGAACAGTTCTTCCCAATAGTCATCTCAAGTGGAGTTCTAGAGAAAAAAATCAAGAAATGCAAGACTTTCGAAAAAAAATCGAATTTTTGTGACTTTTGATCAGAAAAAAATTTCTCGAGTTCTGGCAGCATTGGAAATGTAGACCATAGTGTAATGGTTCCACTTTACACCCTGTGTGAGTTTTGTTTTGCGGACTTTTTCAGATTGTTCTAGCTCTCATTGAAGCCGATGAAACATCACATCTGATATCGAAAACCGCATGAAGATCGGTCAATTTTTAAAAAAAATACAGGTCTTCGAAATAGAGTCAAATTATGAGTGGTCCATTTGGTGTGTTGAGAACTGTAGACAACAACCATCAGCTTGATTGACAACGTCAAAATTAGTTAGGTATATATACTGGGTAAGCATATTGTAAAATTCTGAAGAATGAATCTCTTCTAGAGATCAAAGAGTTTTACTATTACAATAATTACAATATTCGTACGATAATTTTCACATGTAAATCATCCATGAACATTACGCTTCTCTTGATTACTGAATTTATACGCAACAAATCAAATTCGGGGGAATATTAGTTTATCGAAATCTATAGTCATTACTTTTGAGTCAGAAAATAAACCACTAGTGCATAAAATTTTGTATGTATCACGTGCGTGAAATGCGTTTATGGCCTTGAGCGTGTAATGGCCCTCGGCTAGCGCCATCGGGCCATTATTCACGCCACAGGCCATAAACGCCTACTCTACGCCCTTGATACATAAATAACTATTTAATGATTTTCCCCATAAAGGGGCTTTAGAACATCATACTAAGTCGCCTACTAGGTTTTCATTTACAGTTCTCAACACACTAAATGGACCACTTATAATTTGACTCTATTTCCAAGACCTGTATTTTTTGAAAAAATTGACCGATCTTCATGCGGTTTTCGATATCAGATGGGATGTTTCATCGTCTTCAAAGAGAGCTAGAACACTCTGGAAAAGTCCGCAGAACAAAACTTACACAGAGTGTAAAGTGGAAACAGTACACTATGGTCTACATTTCCAATGCTGCCAGAACTCGAGAAATTTTTTTCTGATCAAAAGTTAGTCATTTTATGATACACTGGGACCTCATTTCGGGGCGTTTTGCCATTGGAACAAAAATTCTATTTTTTTTTTTTCGAAAGTCTTGCATATCTTGCATTTTTTCTCTAGAACTCCACTTGAGCTGACTATTGGGAAGAGCTGTTTTCATGTTTGGTGGAGGGCAATTTAAGACGAAATAAGCACTATTGTGGAATATACAGGATGATAAGAAAATAGGACAAAATCTCATTTCAGTAAAAAAAATCAAAAATGGTGACTAAAACCATGGCCCATTCGATTCAGTATATTCAGAAACGGCCTTCTCTATATCCATTATTTATATTAGACTATCAACTCGAGACATTTTCGAAAATTCGCCTCTAATTGAAATACAGGATGAAAATTTTCAATAATTCAAACTTGTTTCCTGATATCGATGATTCTTATCAACTGATTTCCAATATTTATTGCCCAATTATGAGACACAGAGTATTGTTGTTCAATATACTGAGTGTTTCACAACTTATCTGACAAATTACAAACTCTAGAAAACAATAATTTTAGAAGAATGTGGTGACCAGCATTATCTCAAGATCTGAATTTGATTGAACATGTGTGGAGCCGAATGAAACTTAACCTATCGAGAAGGCGAGAGGCACCCCAAAATAATGACAACCTTATTATTCAAGCTATATCAGAAGAATGGGAGGCAATATCAATAGACTTCATCAACAACCTCATAGAACCTATGCCAAACCGATTTCATGAGGTTTTGTTAAATCGGGGAGGCCTACCAAGTACTGAAATTTAGGATATAGGACTTTCTAGTTGGATCTTCATAATGCTGAAGAATTCACTGATGTCATATTTCGCCAATAGTGTTATAAATTTTATTTTCCATCTCGTTTTACTTCTATAAAATTATTATGTGATCGACTTCTCATGTAATATTGTAGTTTGGGATCACACGTTAAAAGGTAAGGCCCCCGTCATTCCTTGCTCGCACAAGACTTTCGAAGACTTTTGAGGGTTGCTCGTAAGGGGGCAACCGAATGACGGATAGAACAAATTTTAGAACAAATTTTTTAGTTGTGGTTGAAATTTGTCAGATAAGTTGTGAAACACTCAGTATATTGAACAACAATACTCTCTTGTCTCATAGTTGGGCAATAAATATTGGTAATCAGTGTTGATAAGAATCATCGATATCAGGAAACAAGTTTGAATTGAAAATTTTCATCCTGTATTTCAATTTTTAGAGGCGAATTTTTCAAAACGTTTCGAGTTAATAGTCTAATATAAATAATGGATATCGAGAAGGCCGTTTCTGAATATACCTCGGAATATACTGAATCGCATGGGCCATGGTTTTAGTCACCATTTTTGATTTTTTTACTGAAATGAGATTTTGTCCTATATTCCTGTATATTTCACAATAGTGCTTATTTCGCCTTTAATTGTCCTCCACAAAACATGAGAACAGTTCTTCCCAATAGTCAGCTCAAGTGGTGTTCTAGAGAAAAATTTCAAGAAACGCAAGACTTCCGAAAAAAAATCGAATTAAGGAGAAATCACGGAAACAACCCGAGATGAGGTCCCAGTGTATCATAATATGACTGACTTTTGATCAGAAGAAAATTTCTCGAGTTCTGGCAGCATTGGAATTGTAGACCATAGTGTAATGGTTCCACTTTACACCCTGTGTAAGTTTTGTTCTGCGGACTTTTCCAGAGTGTTCTAGCTCTCTTTGAAGCCGATGAAATATCACATCTGATATCGAAAACCGCATGAAGATCGGCTAATTTTTTAAAAAAATACAGGTCTCCGAAATAGAGTCGAATTATGAGTGGCCCATTTAGTGTGTTGAGAACTGTAGATCGACAATGGTTGAGCATACAGAAAACGCAGCTCTTGTGAATATAGGATCCCACAGCTCACCAAATATATGCATCAACTTCAGTTAACGTCACCGCGTTTACTCCATAGAATTTAAACACAGAGGAGAAGGGAAAAACTGTGTTATGATTTTGTTCCAGCAAGGAGAACAAATATGGCGCCGATTGCTCCTTCGCGAGTCTGCGCATTACTGAATATCATCTGTCAGCTTTTGTGTTAATTTGGTGTTTATTTGTAATTTTCCGTTTTCTGCATTTTTTCTACGTTTTCGTTATGCCTTCAAAATGATTCATTCGATTCTTCAGTAATTGAGTAAAGTAATGTTTTTTTAGGTTAGTAAACAGACCAGGCTTGGAAATTATTAGACCAATTCAAAACATGCTTGAAATTATTTTTCTCCTTTTGTTTCCATTTTAAGAAAAACTTATGACTTGAATCGCTGGTGAAGCCTTAGGGATACCTGACAATGAAAACCTTTGAAAACGAATGTAGGAATTTTGTGTTGTGTTATAATTTTGATTTAATTTTCTTTATCCAGAAAAATACTGTGATTGTATTTCCATTTCGATAACTTGGGTTGAAGCAAATTCAGATTTTAACAACTGCTGTGGGGCAACAATCAAAATAACGCCGTCTCTGACATGAATCATTGAGCAGAAGTGTCATGGAGCTATCTCCACCATATTTGATCTCCTATCAGGAACACGACTGGGATTTGTTATTTCCTTCTTCTCTGTGTTTTAGTTCTGTGGTTTACTCCCAAGTTGTTAACATTGCAGTATGGGGATGGAGCCATCCTCATCCACCTACCTACCTACCATCTAACTACAAAACGAGAACACAAAACCGTTACCACCGATACAACAAGGCCAGCAGACTCTGACGTAAACAGCTCGTGACGTCACCAAGAGAGGCCAGTGTTTTATTTTATCGCTTGTCGACTAACGCGTCAGTTCGTGTTAATTCATCGGTGATTCACGTATGTTTTTGAAACGGTCCCGAATCCTTTTGTTGTTTATTCATCAAAATAATTGACGGAAAAATTACTGTTTTGTGAAATATTTTGTGTTGTGATCGGCGAAATAACAATGCCTTTCAAGTGTTGTGGTCCCTTTTGTCGGGGAAATTATGTGGGTGGTTCAAAAGTTCATGCTTTTAGTTTCCCGTTGGACGAGGAGCTATCAAAAATGTGGGTATATGCAATTCACCGCGAATATTTTACTCCATCTAAGTTCAGTAGTAAACAGAGCTTAATTTATAATGATGAATTAATAATAGAAGACAATTACTCTCTCATAAAAAGTATAAGTAGAGGAAAAATAGAAAAGCTTTGATTGTGCAGTTAGTTTTGTATTCGTATATTATAGTCAACAAAATCATCTCTGAATTCGAGGAAATTTTCTTGAATGTTCATAATAAACGGGCATTTTGAATTCTCATTCTCAAATTTCTTTCTGAAAACGGTCATTTGCCTCGTGGCAATGAGTGCAGAATTCATTCCAATGATCAAATTGCAACTATCATATTAACATGAACTACAAACACCATACTTAAAAAGGTAAAACTGCATTTATCATGATATTTATCATGAAGATATTTGACTAAAAAGTTGCTGTAGGTGGATATTTGTGTTTTATCCTGGTTTTTGCTTAAAAACTTCGTTTTTCCATAATAAAATCGCATGGGGTGCGAAGAAGGGCTCAGTTGACGACTGGCATCCTTTTTTAACCGGAAGCCCTTCAAAAAACAGCAAAATCGGCTCAATGATGATATAAAACTAAAATCGAAATACGCGGTCGCCTTATAGCGCTATAAGCGCTTGTCGTTTCGAGCCGCTGGTTAGGCCTCACCCACGGAGCATGCAGGCCTTGTTGTATCGGTGGTAACGACAAAACACCCCCACTCACCCCTCATCGCCCACAAGGAACTGTATGTGACCTCTGCCGACCCTGGCCTCGTTGGACACCCCAGCGTCTTCCTCCTGCTTGCTGGTCTCGCTGCCCGAAGAGTCTGCGTCTCTGTGGTGATATCCTGCACATACACACCACCATCTTACACCAATGTTAGTAGATTATTAGGATTATGTTATGTACGTGCAAAGTTAGATACCCAGTGGCGGCTCCTCTGAGGAGGCAACAAAGGCCTCAAGAATTTTCATTCCTCGAATAGTTCGATATATTTGAATCGGTCATTTCGAAAACAATATAAGTCTATATCTGGGCTAAATCTAAATTTCGGTGCCATGATGATTTATACCTCAAAACGCATCAGTCTGAGCGAAAACAACACAAGTTACTGTTTCATAGCATGAGTGCAAGGCCAATTTGTTTTCCAGTCATTTCGAAAATAACATGAGTCCAGTCGTTACCATCGAGATTTTGTGTGGTTTTCGGAATGAACGGGTAGTGAATAAAACGGATATTAAAAAAACACGATAGAATGTATGTTCCTGAGCTTTTTTTCAAGTTTATATTATATCTTCTATATATTTTTGTCATTTTCTTGTACTTTCCAAATGTTTGAAATAAAAAGGTTTATATAAAACATTACAAATCATGCTCAATTTCGAAAACAACATAAGTCCCACAGATTAAAAAATTAATAATAATAAAACAAAATGATCCATATCCATCTTTCGTCTTCCAAAAGTATCTAAGCATAACCTACAATACGAATATAAAATAGCATTGCCTCGAAATACCCACCTAATTAAATGAAATGTCTCCTGAAAAAAAAAATTATTTGTGACTTAGATTGTTTTCGAAATTCGAAATTACGTTCGTTTTATCGGATTTATTTCCTGATATCAAGTAGAATTTGAAAATTTGGCAGCAATGCTTTCATATTTGAAAATATTCAGAATAGAATACAAACTTGTGACTTGGCAACATCCAACGGAAAGCAGCCTCTGACCAATGATATTGAAACTGAGATGTTAATAAGTATACGGTGTTTGCACTGATGCACTTTTGTTTTACCCAAACTTGACGGTAATAAACAGTTGAAAATCGCAATATAAGGTTCTTGTTACATCTTATTCACATCTTATTCTAATAGATGTCGCTGTACGCATTCTTATTACAATGGAAATAGAAACTCAAACACTATCAAAAATTAACCCACTTACACTATTTCTGTATTTTTTGTCGTAAGTATAAGTGATTGTTGTTATTTGGTCCGATGGCCATTAAAATATGGTAAAAATATGACGATATCAGCGCCTCTTACGGATTTTCGTAGAATTTCGCACTTCCCATTCAGCCTCCCCTGTTGAAACTAGCACGAGCCGCCACTGCCGATACCCACAAAAAAATGCCGGTCACAACGTGAAACAGAGGCCCAGGAAATATGAATACCCAAACAATATAGAGGGTGAATTGAATTCAACAGGTAGGTATAGGAACATAAAATTTACCAATGATATACAGAACTGTAAGGAATTTTAAAGCCCAAATGAAAAATTAAACACTTATTCATGGTAATAAATATTGATGTTACTGTTATTTAAACGCTTTATTCAAATCACAATTCACAGTTTGATCTTAATCATTGTTAATTTGCTACATAACTGATTTCAACGTTATTCGAGGAATATAGACTCACCGGCAAAAAAAACCGGCCACCAAAAAATTTAGTCCAGTTGTTCGCCCTGTAACTTCTTTAGTTCTTGTCGGATTTTGGTGAAATTTTGAACGAATCGTAGATTCATGTTCCGGAATGTTAACCTGAATATGAATTCCCAAAAAAGCTGATAGCTTGGTCATTATACAGGGAAAAACAAGAGTTACTCATTTACCCATAACTTCTTAACGCCCTGTGGCTGAAGTGAGTGGTTGAACTCCTCTTCATTATGTCTTGGATTGAAGAGTATTCTTTTCTCATCACAATAGTTTTTGATTCACGTCAATATCTCATTGTTTAGAAAAGATACGATGGTTTTAAGAAAGTATGGAGTTATTCAAGTTTTATTTAACAATCATCAGATGTACATGAACTTATCGATCGACAACTTGAAAAAAAAAACATCTTTAAATCAATATGGCTTATTTCCAAATTGTTTTCTTGGTATACTTTCCATATTATTGGAGACGGCTTTGTCTTGATGCATGACAACGCCAGACCACACGTTGCTCGAATTGTAACCGAGTATTTGAATGAGGTCGGAATCCTAAGGCTTGACTAGGCCAGCATGCAGCCCGGATCTCAATCCCATAGAGCATCTTTGGGATGAACTACAGAGGCGCATTCGTCTACGTCCGGCATTGCCAGAGACTCTTCAAGAGCTACGATTCGCCCTTCAAGAAGAATTTGAGGCAATTCCTCGAGACTGCTTGAGAAATCTGATCAACTCGATGCCACGGCGATTAAATGCTGTAATTCAAGCTCGAGGAGGGCATACTCGGTATTGAATACATCTAGGAGATTTACTTTTCGTTTGTTTTTTGTCATTAAGGTTTTTTTGTGTAGGTGTGTCTACGTTCTGATTATTGTTAATAAAACTTGAATAACTCCATACTTTCTTAAAACCCTCGTATCTTTTCTAAAAAATGAGATATCGACGTGAATCAAAAACTATTGTGATGAGAAAAAAATACTCTTCAATCCAAGACATAATGAAGAGGAGTTCAACCACTCACTTCAGCCACAGGGCGTTAAGAAGTTATGGGTAAATGAGTAACTCTTGTTTTTCCCTGTATAATGAGCAATCTATCACCTTTTTTGGGAATTCATATTCAGGTTAACATTCCGGAACATGAATCTACGATTCGATCAAAATTTCACCAAAATCCGACAAGAACTAAAGAAGTTACAGGGTGAACAACTTGACTAAATTTTTTGGTGGCCGGTTTTTTTTGCCGGTGAGTGTAGTTCCAAATCAGCACGTGATGCTGGTCTTGCAACATTTAATCCTACACAGATTTGTTTTATTGTTATTATCCTAATCTGATCTTCATGCAGTGATGTTATTGTTAAAGATTTTTCGTGACAACACAAGATTGTGGGCGTTGTCTTGTCAGTTCTCAGCATTCAGCACAGCATTGCCAAGTCACTAGCCAAAATTAACATGATTTTTGTTATGGATTATAAGAAATATTTCAACAAGCTAGTTCAACAATTTAGAACAACGCATAGACACATTATTTACATAAAAAACGCGTGCCAAGTGTTCCAAAAATTGATTTAGGTCCCTAAAGACACGGTGGAATAATTCAATGACAAATATTCTCTATCAGTCCACTAGCCTAAAATAAGCGGTAATAAACCTATCAAAATGTGTGAGTAATATCAACTATAATTCGAGACTATAGGAGGGTTCATGAACTAACAAAATTTCCCGGGATCTGTGAATCTGCGACAAATATTACCTCTATCATTCCTAATACAGTTGAACTAACTACTAAGAGATGTCACCACCTAATTCGAAATAAAATAAATCGTTAAGTTGTTAATGGACCCCAGTTTAGTATTTGATTAGCATCCTATGAATAACTTGTTTTATTCCACCAATTGACGTCATTTTAAAATAAACAATTGACAAATTCCATAATAAGCCTAAACAAACAAATCAGATAAGAGATGAGCAGCCAACTCGAGCACATTTACGTTGATTCAAATCATGGACCTATTGCGATTGTTTGTGTTAGTGCACATTAGAGATTTAACCTTTTGCCACTTCTTAAATAATTGATACTCACATTTCCTTTCTCCAAATAATCCAAGGTTCCATGAGAAAGTAACTAATAGCACGGTGTCGAGACTTTTAAAAATGTATTTATTTTTGCTACGACATACAACGAAAAAAGTTCGGGAAAGTTAGAAAGCAAGTTTTGAAAAAATATTCAATATACAATTCATGTGAAGTTTTCCATAGGCAAATATAATCAAAGAAAATAATAATTAGGATATGTATCGTTTACAACTATCCCACGTTAAAGTCAGGAAAGTAGATGTTTTCTTTTGAATATCCCAAGAATATTTGTTCGAATAATTTTCATACAAGATTATTCTCCTTCTCTGCTAGGAATACTGTTTTTTTTTTTTTATCAAAATGAGACTTCCAAGCATGGAAGCTCAGTGTGAAATACAAATTTCCGTACTTTATCAGTATCAACGGTAATGATTTTGACTTCCATTTTTCAATTGAAGCAGTATATATTTTCGAAGTTTTAAATCAGTTAATTGTTAAGAGATTCTAAATTTGACGCATATTTACCAATAGTTATTTAACAAACTAGTGTAATAATCGCCTTTTAATATACGAGTTGGTTACAACATTTTTCCGTCGACTATATTTCTCATTTCTCCTGCAATAAAGAAAACTTGGTTTGCGAATTCATCATTCATCCGGAAACTACTAAGAATCACTCAGTAGCCTTGTTACTGGCATTAGTGACATTTGACATTTGTCGAAATGATCAACATAGAAAATAAATTCCTTGTGTTAGAAAACTGGGATCAAAATCGTTTCAGAAACTTGGAAAGGCGAACCCGTTAACGGAAAATCTTCGATGAAATCCATATTTTCGATTTAAATGCAGATTCCGTAAGTTACAGCATAAACACTGAATGCACGCGGTGTATGTTTGGTTGCCTATACAACAATCGTGCATTAATAGACAAATTGATCATTAATAGGAGTCATTAATGAACGATTTCATCAACATTAAACTTACTCGTTAATACGAAGTCGACGGAAAAATTCATTTTCGAGTCAATTTTTATACTATTAATGATATGATTGAGAAGATGAGATTATTGAGATGTAGAATGAATTGTATAAGTGAGGTGTCGCAAAAATAATCACACAACTTCATAAGAGATGAGAAAAATCTATTAATCATTCCAGAATTACATCATTTGACAGGTTGCTGAGGGGCAAACATTGTATTTTGTCAAGATTTGTCATATAAAACCAGAATTAGTGAGATCGTTTTCCTTCGAATCCGAGTTAGAACCAGAAAGAATTTCATAATGGGCTTATATCACAAAAAAATTTTATTTCATAATTCGATAGAACTCACCCAAACTAGCTCACCACCGCAAACCGTTTCTTGCTGTGAGCTCCCTACGTTTTATAAAAAATTATTGAAGTCCCCGATTTTTCGGACCTCTGAATACGAGGCGATGATGTGACGTCAAAACCCTAATACTGAAACAAGACTATTCCAGACAGAGATGAATGATACATGATTTCTGACAGAGTGAATTAGGGCGAGATCACAGTGGAAAGAATTAATATATCAGTTGCCTCATCAGTCTCCGTCGGACGTTTGGTATTTTCTTTTAACTATGGCGAGATGAGGTTTCTACGTCATAAGAGGGTCCGTTTTCAGAAGGTACTATTATTCATGTCCAAAAATAAAACATTCCAGTTAATTTTTCGATCGAATTATGTCGTCAATCATTATTTATGTATAAAAGGATCATTATAAACATATTTTGTTTGGTGAAACTGTTATATTGTGGATGTGGCAGCGATGGTCAGGGCAGTGATCAGTCACCCTGATCTCTGGTCAGGGCTATGCTCATCAAAGGTAACCTAACATATAGTTTGTGTGCCCCTCAAGAAACCATGTCAAAATCACGTGTTCCAGAATGATCAATTATGTCTGTGAATTATGTTCAAGATTTTTTTCTTTCAACTAAAGAAAATATGTCCTCTATTATATGTCTTGTTCACATAAACGAAAGACTTAATGCCTTCAAGAACTTTCTAGATAGAATATAGTCTGAAGTAGTCAAATCAGCACCAATCCAATAAAAGTAACAGAAAACTAACTCCACCTGTTTATTTTTCTTATATTATGGAATATTGGATATTTTCACGAATTAAGGATTATTGGGTTATAATGAATGACAAGACTTTTATATCTTGTATATTTTAAAATTCCAAATGTCTACATCCAAAAGAGTTATACAAGCGACAGCTATCAACTATCCTGTATCTTAGAGTAAGTATTTGTATCATGCCAAAAATACAGCAAACTACTGATACATCGATTTACAATTAAGTACTTTACACACGTGAAGTACTATGGGATGCATAATTATAGCACAATAAATAAGGAATTAGTAGCAAAAACTAATAAATAATAGAGTTAACTAAAAAAAAATGTCAAGTAGAGAATGAGATTCAAGTTCATGAATCATAGGTGATACTACGACAAAATGGAAGTAGGAACTTTAGGATACTATTTTATATCACCTTAGGAAACAGAAACAAAAAGCAAAAACACCATATAAAAAAAATTATACATTGGAAAAATAGTACACGAAATTAAAGGAAACATTCCATAGGTGGAACAACGAAAATGTCTGGATTACATCATTCAGAAGCGGACTCATCATCAACTGAAACTGTCTTACCTGGGAAGGTACTACCATACACAGAACTGGTGTCTTCGTCCAAGTCATCCATACTGCTCATACGTCCTTACAAAAAAAAATCACAGAATTATCGGACTGCTGACAAGACTGAGAACACAAATTTAATTGTTTGACAACAGCAAATTATAACATGACTGAAGACTCATATCATTTTCCCAACTTCATTTAGTTTCTCTTTTATCTCCTCTGTAATTTTAAACCATGTTTTTTTTTGTTCCTAGGTCCTGAGCTTATTTCTTATAAACCCTTTTAATATAATATCTGTTCTTAACGTAATAAAGGAAAAGTGGTTGGGGTTGGCGATCTTTTAGTTCCCTAACAAGGATATGAAACAATGTCCAATACAGAAAATATGAGGAGAAATGGAGAAGATGACAGTTGCAACCTATTTTATAAAGAAAAAATGACATTGGACAAAATTGCTCACCGTAAGGTCTCGCAATTTTTTCATGTCAGTTTTTCTCGTAAAATTACTGATCGGCAAATGTTTTTCGTTACCAAGAGAAATTTATCCGATAAAAAAAAGCTCTTGTATTTTTACTGTTGATAAATTTTGAATTTGGTCGGTATATTGAAAACGCCATTCAATGATATATCACGTTGCAATTTACTTGATTTCCTCAGTTTCGTTCTCAAATTTTCAATTTTATCACGTAGTTTTGCAATCAATTCCTCTTTCTCTATGATAATTTTGTTTTGCATTTCGTGTGATGATAATATTGTTTTTTCTTGGTGGAATGGTGAATATTTCCCGATATTTCCTTTAGAAAATTGAAGAAATGAAATCGCCGGTCCCTTCAAAATTACCGCAAATCATTACACAGCAGAACATTTTTATTCATGCTTTTTTCTCAATAGTTTATGAAATTTTATTTCAATTCTGACGATCATAATATTTATTGTCAAATTGAAACAATATTGAATAAAAAAGTTCGGAACAACTATGATGCTGTTGTCACAATGTAAGATGTGTAATTTAATAAAGGACCCCGCACCATTTACATTAAAAAATCTTGTATCTTAGAGTAAGTATTTTGTGAAAATCTAGGATTGGATAGATCAAATCATACTGAACAAGAAATGTCCTTTGGTCCAAGGTCCGTTATGCCCGTTAAAAAAAGTTATAAGCCCTTGTTCCAAAGGAGATAACCTCTACCAGAACAGCAAATCCTGTGTATAATATGGTTTTGACTAATATAATATTTTTGAGTTGTCAGATAATGGTCATTCATGTTATGTCAGTACAAGTCGCTGAGCCAAGCGTATTACTTTGTTCAAATACGTTGCAATAAGTCTCGACCGGAGACTATTAGTAGCCTTTCCGTATATCGTAAACTACCAATCAATGGCGGCAATTTTATATCAGCGTTGACATTTTCCCGACAAGATTGGGCATTTTCAGGGATAAAAATATTATTTACAATATATACATTGACTCTAGCAACTAATGATAGGTGAAGAAAATTATTATTTGCGCCACAAAATATGCACCCTCTTGCATGGATGGGAAAGACAACAATCAGGTTCATAGAATGAACGTTATTCGCGATAGAAAATAAGCATACGCTACCTATTGGAGTTCTTGAAAGCTGTCAAAGCGGCCTGTTTACTTTGTTTTCATTGGTTCACATTTGTTTTTGTTTGTGCTTATTGGTCCCATGATCAAAACAAACCGCTCAGAAGTGTTCAAGTCGTTGCTGTCAGGTGGAGCGACGCGTTATTTTGTATCGCGAATCCCGAATTCCAAGTTCCTCTAAAGGCTTGTTCGTTTGTCCTTGCTCTACCTGCTGAACTTGATTTTTTTCTATAACTTTCTTTGTTTAAATCATGCCATAAACAGAGACACCTATGGAAAAGAATCAACTTTAGCAAGTTTAGCAATACAAACGAACAGGCCTTATAATGGATCAATTACAGTTCAGAAATACACGAGTACGATCAGTATATCCTCTCTTCCTAGAACCTGTCGACGATGTATTGCGGTTGCTTGCTGCTCAACATTTTGATCTCGATCGATGCGTGCCATAGCATTAATATTGCCTTCGCTATCACATATAAAGCAACAAAACCTATTCTGATACGCCATCTTATATGTATGTTGTAACAATATTGATAGTAACTCTTGGAATAATTCCTCCTTAGTTTTATTAATACTTCAAGTTTTATATAAGTACAATCAATACTAGATATTATTATTATCACCATGACACAATATCTTGTATAGAGGGTTTATATTCCTACAAAACTCCCCGTCCAAAAAAATCATCACTCCTGTGATGAAACTGTCGAATATTAGAAATATGCGCCATTTCTTCTTTGTCATCAACATCGAAGTGAACATATCCTAGTACACCATCAATATACTTTACTTTCTTGACTTTAAAAGGACCCCTTGTGAGATATTCTTTTCCAATTCGTTGAGTCCGAACCAATATCCAATCGTCAGTTGTCAACCGTGGTGGTCTTAGTTTTCTTGATTTATTGGCTTGTTCCTGCACTTTTCTCTTATATTGAAGTTGCTCTTCTGATGTTTTAGGGGTTTCTTTGGAGGATAGGTTAATTCCAAGCTCTCTATCTGCTTGTAATAATGTTGATTTCCCGTATAGTTTGTAATTCGGTGAACAACCCAAATATTCGTTATGTGAATAATTGTGGTGTCGCACTGATGCCTCCAAACATTTCTTCCACCCCCCTGGAAAATCTTCATAACATTTTTGGTATGTTTTCAACTCTCGAATTGTTCTTTCCGCAATTCCATTCCCCGCTGGATGGTATGGCGTTGTATGAATGAGGTTAATACTTCTAGATGAAGCCCATTCTTTTAATTCCCCAGACACAAATGCTTTTCCACAATCGCTTACGATATTTTTGACATCCTTAATGTATGGTAGTTGATTCAGGTAATTTTTTACTGCGATCGAACTTTCCTTCATCGCCTTAGCTGAAACATGTCTAGTGGCTTCGTCAATAACAATAAGGAACGATTTTGTTGTTTTATTTTGATCTGATCTTTTTGCTAATTCTCCAAAGTCTATATGGATAGTTTCATATGGATTCTGAGAGCAAGATGTAAGGTGGACGAAATCTGGTTTTGGCAAATATTTGAATTTAACATGCTGACATACTGAGCAAGTTTGCACATAATTTTTTATATCCTTGGTCATTCCCTTCCAAATGAATCGGTGTTTAATTTTGTAGTAAGTCTTATAGTATCCATCATGTCCTCCAGAGTATGCATCATCATGATATAAGGTCAAAATCTCCTTCACCATCTCACTATTTTTCACCAAGTATCTTCCGTCGTCTGCCAACTCAAGATTTTGAATGTTTAAGTTGCACCAGAATACTTCTGAAACATTTTCGGGTACGTCGATACACAGTCTACTTATTGCATCAGCATCTTGTAATTCTTTTCCTCTCTTGTGGTTAATTTGAAACTCGAAACATCTCAAAAATAACTGCCATCTTGCTAGACGATCCCTGAGATTTCCGGTCGTCAACAATTGTGTTAGAGCTCGATGATCTGTATGAATCAAAAATTTCCTACCATCTAAATATATCCTGAAATATTTCACTGCCTTAATGACAGCAAGACATTCTTTTTCGGTCACTGAATAATTTCGTTCGCTTTTTGAAAAAGTATATGAAAAATAACTTATTACTCTTAATTGACGATTTTTAATTTCCTGTGGGTCTCTTTGATATAATATCGCACCACAACCATAGTATGAAGCGTCTGTCGAGAGTTCGTATTCTAGTCTTGGATCAGCAATCTTAAGAATAGGTTCTGATGTAATCAACTCTATCAGTTTTTTAAACGCTTCTTCACATTTGTCGGTCCATATAAAATTTTTGTTTTTTCCTTTCAATTCATCCAAAGGCCTAACTATTTTTCCATAATCCTTTATGTAACATCTGAAATGATTGGTTAAACCCGTGAATTTTTGTAAAGATTTCAAATCATACGGTTTTTTCATATCTTTCACCTTATTTACTATTTCACCCTTCATCTTCTTGGTATCACCGTCTATCTCTCTACCCAGAAATATCACTTTTGAAACACAAAACAAGCTTTTCTTGAAATTAATTTTGAAATTCTGTTCATTTAGTTTCCCCAAAATTTTCATAGTTATTTCTTCACATTCCTGATATGTATATCCACCACACATTATGTCGTCAATGTATACAACAACCTTTTCAGTCAACAAACTCTCTAAAACTTCTTGCATTATCCTCTGGAATTTGGCACTAGAATTCTTCCATCCAAATGGAAGTCTATTGAATTCGAAGTGACCGTCTTCTGTAACAAATGCTGAAAATTTCCTTGTTTTCTCCGATATACTGATATTCCAGAATCCATCCTTCAGATCAATTTTGGTAAAATATTTACAGCCTCCAAATTTTTCAATAATATTATCTATTGTTGGGAATGGAAATGGATCTAATTCCGTGTTTTCATTCAACTGTCTGTAATCAATGCAGAATCTGAATGATCCATCATTTTTTGTTTTAACTACACATGGAGAAGCGTATGGTGATGATGATTTTCTTATGATATTATTACATAGCATCTCTTTGGTCTTACTTTCAATCCATACCTTTTTATTAGATGAAAATCTATACGGTTTGATTTTCACTATATTTGAATGATATTGCAAGTCAAAATCAACCTCAAATTTTGAAGGAGTTGGATCTGAATAATTAAGAACATTCGGAAAATTGTCTTCAATGTATTCTTTCGAAAATTCTATTTTGTGACATTCATTTTTCTTGAATATATTCAGTTTATTCAATGTCTTCCTTCCCAAAATCATGTCGAATGGTATATTATCTACTACTCCGGCTGTTATCATAAATAATTTATTGTTGACTTTCAATTCCAAAAAACATTTCTTAAAGCATTTAGTAATTCCAGCTAAACTTCGAATATTAATGTCCGTTTTAGACACAGACATACCGTATTTACCAACTATATTTCCATTGATCAAATCGATGTCTGAGCCAGTATCACAAAGAGCACTTACTTTGAAACCATTAATAAGTACGTCTTGTACATTATCGTCATTTCGTTCTGTAAAGTAATTCGAATAAGTATAGTATGTTTCAATTTCATTTATTTCATCATTTCTGTTTGAATATGCACTGCAATAATTGGCGTTGACTTGAGTGTCGTTTCTATCTTCTGTTATCCTTCTTCCCATCAATGATCTATTTTCAACCTCTCGTCTTTCCGGAGCCATTCTGTTTTGAATCCCTCTTCTATCATCGAATCTCGAATGTGAATCATTCCTACTGTCTGGATATTTATATGACCTGTATGCAGATTCATATCTTTGTTTCAGTTTTATACATTTCAAAACTTTCAATAGCTCAATTTTGGTTCTAATTTCTTTTTGAGTTAATTGATTTTGAATATAATCAGGTAGCCCTAAGATTATTATTGCGATTGTTGATTCTTCTGAAAGCTTTGAATCGGCCCAAATTAGTAAACGTTGTTTTTCGAAAAAATATTCCAACAAAGAACCATTCTTATATCTGAAGTTTATCGCTTTCTCCCACTTGAGAACAACCTCATCATCAAACGTAGATATGAAATCAATCCTCCAATCCATCCATTTGAAATTATTCACATCTATTTTCAATTTGTCTTCAAACCATTTTATTGCGATACCAGTGAGATAAGATCGCATGTTGAATATTTTCTCTGAATCGGATTCCCATTTTCTAGACAATGCCATGTATTCGAATCTACTAATCCAAGCGTTTGGATCTTCATTATTGCCGCTAAACGGTTCTATTCTCATTGGATTTTTGTCTGCCGTAGCAATTTTTGTCCATTTTTCCATCATTTTGTCAAGATCTTCCTTTCCAATCATCATGACATTTCTGCTGTCACGTCCATCCAAATTTTCATTATAGATAGTCTCTTCTGCATTTTCATCATAATTGATACGTAAAAAATCTCCTCCTTCCACCGACTGCGCCATTGTAACAATATTGATAGTAACTCTTGGAATAATTCCTCCTTAGTTTTATTAATACTTCAAGTTTTATATAAGTACAATCAATACTAGATATTATTATTATCACCATGACACAATATCTTGTATAGAGGGTTTATATTCCTACATATGTGAACAAAGTAATACGCTTTGCTCAATGACTTTTACTGACATAACATGAATGATCATTATCTGACAACTCAAAAATATCACATTAGCCGAAACAAGGATGGACACACAGGATGTGCTGTGCTGGTAGAGAGGTTATCTCGTTTGGTTTCAAGAGCTCCTTTTAACGGGCATAACGGACCTTGGACCAAAGGACATTTCTTGTTTAGCATAATATGATCTATTCAATCGTAGATTTTCACGAAATTTCACCGTAGACAAGGTAAATGGTGCGGGGTCCTTTAAACATTCAAAAACACTAACAGCTGCCATTTTTTTTAATTTCAACAAGATTTGGTACGATTCCATTCAAACTTGGTGAGTGGGGGGATTTTGAGGTCGGAGATTATGATTTTTTTGTTAAAATCCATAAATTCAAGATGGCGGCTTCCAAATAATTTTTAGTTTTTGTATAAATGACGATAACTCCGTTGTTATCAACATAAAACTATTACTGGGACATATCATCTGTGCGAGAAAAAAAAGTTATTTGTAACTGAGTCATAGTGAGCTTTGACTTACATTTGAAAAACTAAAGTTGGTGCTGATATCTCAAATTCTAGAAGAGTTGGTATAAATTTCATATTTTTTTGAAATCACTTTGAAAAACTGCCATAAGAATGTGAAATTCCTATTTGAATATTTTCATAAATAAAGAAGTTATGGAGGAGACATGAAAATGATCAAAATCTGTTTTTTGCGTATAAAACAAAAACGAATAGATTTTATTAAAATATTTTTTCACATTATAGTTGGCCTTGACAAACTCCACATTTGGTGTCATTTATCCGACCTCGTATCTCTCACCGTTAAAAAGATACCCATGGTGAGCATGGTAAGTGAGACACACTGTATAAGTATTGAAATTTTGAGTAATAAGAGAGAAATAAATACACTTCAAGTATCTGGTAGAAATGAAATTTCGTATTTCGCATAAAATGCCTGTAATGGGATTAAGTTTGTTTCTCAAATGATCTATATGTTTATTCCAAAATAGTCGTTCATCAATATAAAGACCTAAAAATGTTGTAACATCTGTATATTTGATTGTTCAACGAATAAGAGAATACGAGGGTGGTACCGGTCAAAGCAAAATGAAACACACTGTACACACCAAACATCCGCCGCTCACCTCTGAGTCCGATCGTGCGCCCGTTCGTGCTCCTATACAGGGCGTTCTCCAAGTAATTGAAGCCGTTGTTGTTCATGATGTTGAAGCCGCACAGCATCTCGATCTGCTTCCACCGGAGCACCCTCTCCTGCAGCTCTTGCGTGACCTCGTTCAAGGAGGTGCGCGCCTCCACTATGCTCCTGTCCACCTCGTCTATGGACTTGCCGTGCGTCGAGACGAACGCCCCCACCAGGCTGGATCTTTTCTTTCTCAGTTTTTCGCACTGCAAACGAAAAAGATCAGATCCCCCCCGAAGATTACGTTGGTGGATTATTTGTATACCTGATCACGATGTAGGGAAGATGGTGTTGAAACAGCTATGCTTTTCCCTATGTTATTATTCAACCAAACCGCTTTACGTACAGCACTCTTGATGGCACTGATTTTAATTCGTTCAACGGAAGTAGTTCGTCCTTCCCTGTAGAGGGCCATCGAAATCATGGAAATTGTTGTCAAGATTGTGAATTTTGTGGTTATGTTTTATTGTTATGACACTTTGACGTCTATCGCGTGACAAATTCATCATTTCGATATAAATATTTGTTGGACATGAAAAAAGGAAAAATATGGAAATTTCAAAGTCTGAAGTAACCAGCGAATGGTTTTTATCGTTTTCTCGTGCGTATTTTCAAGTAGTACATAGTTTTTTCGTCTGCGTATGGTGTACGTGATTGTGTCTGGAATTGCTGATGCCGACTGCCAACGATCGAGAATCCCAGAATACTGGGAAACCTCCAGAAACAGGAAAACAGATTGATAAACCTGATATATGGAGAAAGACTAGTGATTTCAACCACGTAAAACTTATGATAATTTGTATTATCATCAGTTCTACCAACCTTGGAGCTGACGCCCCCTTCAGGAAAACTAGTAACTCTTACGTAAAGCGATTCGGTTGAAACAAAACACTAACTGTGATTACACCATCTTCCCTCCATCGTGTACCTGATACAGTGGAAAATTTCATTAAATCTAATATTTATTTTAATTATCAAATATATCTTCCAGTCTGAACAAGATCTGGTATGAGGAAGAACATAATTATAAAATAATTAATAATGAATAATATCTATGAACTACTACACAAACATGAGCAGAAGTGAACATGAATAATAAATCATAATAAATCAGGATATCACAATAAATCACAATAACACAAAATGATCGATGAACAAAGGAAAGCATTCTAGTCAAGGCCATAAATACTGATACTGATTACTGATTTTAAACATTTCTCTCAGAAATTATCAGTTTTTTATTTTCTTTTTAAATGTACCTATATTTTTGCAGTTTTTAATTTCATCTGGTCGTTTATTGAACTCAGATAAAGCTGCATAAGTGAATCTTTTTTGTCCGAGTGTAGAACTAGCAGCATCAAGGTGAAATAAGTTAAGTTATATTGTCTAGTTTGATGACTATGAATTTCAAAATTTCTTGTCAAAATAATATTAGATTTCAATTTTTCATTTATGATATTATATGAAATTTTCAGAGTCTCTAATCTGTACAGTTCTTCTAAAGAATATGTTTTTGTTAAGGCATACAGTTCAGTTGTTGGTGTATCATATGGAAGACTATACAGTACTTTTAATGATTTCCTAAATAATGTTGATATTTCATTAAAATTATTTTTAGAACAAGATCTCCAAACATTTATTAAAAAGTTAATTTGACTTAGTATATGTGAATAGAAGTACTATATTTGCAATTTCCATATTGAGTTTGGGGCATCTTCTCAATGCACCAATAATAGAACATATTTTCTTCGTCAGATCCTCAATATGTTTGTCCCACTTCAATTTATCATCAAACCAAATACTTAAATACTTTATCTGATCAGTTTGTTTCAAGAATTCATTCTTTATTTGAAGATTGAGCTGAATTTTCTGTTTATTTTTTTGTTGGAAAATCATGTTTTCAGTTTTTCTGGTATTTATTGATAAAAGGGAGTGGAACCATTTCTCAAAAAATGTCAGATAATAGCACTATATCGTCTTCATATATGGTATAATTACTCGCTAAACCAACTTTCGTGATATTTTGAATATAAAGCAAATACAGTATTGGTCCTAAAACAGATCCTTGTGGAACACCCTTATTTATTGACAGTTTATGAGACTCAGAATTAGCAGTTTTGGTACTGATTGTCCTATTTTCAAGATATGAAGCCAAAATATTTCTCACAAAGCCTCTGAGTCCCATGGATTCCAAGTTATATTATTTTGAAGAACTAAAAAAATGATAGATTATTTTATTGGGATCAAAAGTGACTCGCAAATTTTGCTTGTCAAACAAAGTCACTTTTGATCCGAATGGAACATGCTATTTTTTCTGCAACCGAAAGAATTAACTGAAATAAATATGTGAAGTAGCCATCAATATGACTCACTTGACAGATTATTATAATACCTTTAATTTAATAATATGAGTAAAAAGATATAGAAGCAAGACCTCAGACTACTTTACTTTGTTACAATTTGTGTTGACATGCATCATGTCATCAGATACTACAGGCACGAATTCAATACTATACCCGAAACGTGGATGCCGTGCCATATGTATGCAATGCAACAAATAATCCATGTGGTGAGAATTTTCTATCTGCATTTACAGATCAGGTTTATACAATTTTCAAGGATGGTAGAATTGTAGTTTCAATATGAATACAACCATGCACAGAGTGACCCATTTGTGTATGGACCAGGTATCAGCCCTAATAGCAAATACCGCGCCAGTGCCAGGTATAGGAAAAAGAAGCGGAAATGTTAGGTTAGTGAGCATATCAACAATAATAATAGCGATTATTTATTTCTCTCTATACTCCACTGTGTTTGTCTCGGTAATCAAATAATGATAAATGATATCGTTGTGAGAGACAAAAAAGTATTGCTGGCCATGATTATTCAAAAAAAAGTTATCCATCTCGCGAATAACGAATGAAATACAGATCAAGCAAGTATGTGAATCTAAATATTCACAGTATACACTTCAAAAGCAGAAAATTGATCATTTCGGAAAATTTGCACAAAATAAAAATGTGTAAGAACTCAAAGATACTAGGTGGTATACTGTGTATACTGTGGTCAATATAAAACTGATTCTATAAATTTCATCACAGGTGACAATTCTTTTAATAAAATCTTATTCCTAAAGAATTTGATATTTTCTAGTTGAATAATGAAAATCACAATGATTATGGCATACTTCGAATTTGTTTAATTTTTCACGAATCCGGACATACTTACTGCTTCTCTGGCCTGTTGCAACTGTTTCTCGGCAGAAATCTTCTTCTTCAAATAGGCCTTATTTTCGATTTCATGTGTGAGTTGCAACCATTGTTGTAGGGCCGCAGGGGGCGCCCAACATCTGTCTTTGAGTTCACCTTCTGCCAGTTGTAGCTCCGTTCTCAACATCTTGAAAAAAACTACTGTGTTTTCAGGAATACCTCTTTGTTAGTGATACTGATTTTTGGAATTGGAATGAGGTTACAGCATAATATCGAAATATCGCATCAGAAGGTTTTGTTGGGTGGTTGTGTTGTCACCAAAAAAACAAGAATTATAGCTATAGAAATCGAGAGTATTTTATTAAAGCTACCATCTGGACATATTTTATTTCTAGAAGAGATTCCAATATTTAAATATAGTATTCATTTCAACCTACAATCATTATTCCAAATTTTTTGGGATTTTCTCTCCTCGTTTCTATAAAATAAAAATATGAATATTATTTCAATATACGTGTAGTAAGGACAAATCAGATGATTTGCCCCAGAATGTCACTGCGTTTAAAGAATTTTCCTATCAGAGAGCCTAAAAGAAAAATTCACTAGCTTGTCAGTGGCAATATGTATTGAAAAATTTTTGGAGAGGAGAAATAAAGGTATATAGAAAAAATATCAAATTTTCACTTATCTTTGGACGTTTCGGGACCGATTCTGCTCCCGTTTTCAACATGAAGAGATTTTTTCAATTGCGAAGTCGTATAATATAAGTGACAAGCTAGTGAATTTTTCTTTTAGGCTCTCTGATAGGAAAATTCTTTAAACGCAGTGACATTTTGGGGCAAATCATCTGATTTGTCCTTACTACACGTATATTGAAATAATATTCATATTTTTATTTTATAGAAACGAGGAGAGAAAATCCCAAAAAATTTGGAATAATGAATGTACCACCTCCTCGATTAACCTACAGACAGTATTCAACCTACAATATTCGATAAATGGAAATATGTATGTTTCACTCACGTTGGCAGCTCAGTCAACCCGAATTAAATACTCGCATATGGAGTTAACCGCTGACTACCATAGGTCGGAACCTATGTAAGGTCCAGAGGATGGCATGCCTAGCAATAACAGGTGCAATGAGGACGACGCCAACGGCAGCATTAGAAATAATGGCGGGACTCAGGAAACTGGACAAGTGAAGGAACAATAACAGGACATGCAAAAATAGCAGAGTGGGTGGAGCAAGAGATTCCTATCTCCACTCTCAGAGTGAATGAAGTACAGGACAAGCTGAGATGGAATAGGAAGTTCAAACTTACCATTACAAGCAGAGAGGAATGGAGAAACAATACAGTGGAGTTTCGCCCAGGAAGCTTAGTATGTTACACTGACTGACAGACAGGCCTCGGGTGCAGGAATCTATCTCGAAGGGGGAAACATACGAGAAAGCTACGCTCTAGGAAAATACACCACAGTTTTCCAAGCTGAGGTGTTCGCCATCCTGGTCGTAGCAAAGAGACATAAAGTGAAAGAGGGACCAGAGCAGAAGATCTACATCTGTTCGGACAGTCAGGCAGCACTCAAGGCAATCTGTCATCCCAGACCAAGCTCAGCATTGGTACAGGAATGTGGAAATGCCCTGGAGATATTAGCAGAATCAAAGGAAGTTGAACTGGTATGGGTCCCGGGTCACAGTGGGGTGCCCGGAAACGAAACAGCAGACGAACTTGCTAGGGCCGGATCCGCGGAGCCGTTTCTGGGGCCGGAGCCTGTACTAGGTATATCAAGGAGCCAAATTACGTCAGCCCTCGATGAATGGGCGGACAAGGCACTAGGAGAATACTGGAGAAATATCACAGGTTGCAGGCAGGCCAAGGAATTCATGGCCGGTCCAAGCAAATCAAGGAAGGAGTGGCTGCTTGGCAGAGACCGCCAAGTACTTCGCCTCCTCATAGGAGTACTCACAGGACATAACAGGCTAGGCAGACACCTATCACTTATGGGAATAGAGGACAACCCAACTCGCCGCAGATGCGGGGAAGACGAGGAAACGTCAATCCATTTCCTCGGCGAGTGCGAGGCGTACGGAAGGCTGGGATTTGAAATATTTGGAGTAGACAAACTTCAACAGGAGGACTTGATTATATTAGAGTGGACGGACATACTAGCTTTCATCAGAAGGTCAGGGAGATTCGTAAAGGAAATCTAGGTGAAGGAAGCGTAGATATGTGGAGAGCATGGGGTTAGCAAAAAGAGCCCATCGGGGCCTACTTGCTTGGCTACAGCATCCCCACCTATTACTACTACTACTAACCGCTGACTATGACAAAATATTCTAAATAAATATCAAAAGCCAATAGGACAAAATGACAGTTTCATTCTGATCAGCTAGCACTCACTATGAGTCATTCCCTGCATTTTCTAGAGCTCATTTTGCAAATATTGACGTGCCTATCTTCATTGTAAGTTATGACTTATCCCCAGTAGCACACAATCTCGGCTGAAGATTGGCCCTGTATTGTCCAATAATGCCAATATTGGACAATATTGAGAGAAGAGAGATCTCTTTATATTGCGAAGTCTGATGTACAGTTTGAATCTCGTTTCTTGAACCATATAATGAATTTATTTTGAATAAACATCAGCTGTATAACAAATAACTGTTTTTATAATTTTCCACCTCCCAAGCAAGTTCACACCCGAGACACCACCCTGTAACCATGGGTCCTGACAATATTAACTAACATTAGAAATTGATTGTCTTTATTACCCCAAGAAACATTATTGTTTATACTAGGGATATAAACAACAAAACATACATATAACATAATAAATCAAAACAATAATAATTGCAAAATTATTGTTTTTCATAATGGGACCTGTTTTCAGTGGCATACCTACTATCTAGACCGCTATGTCATATCTTAGCAGTGAAAAACGTAAGTAATTTATATCAGTGGTTATGATACGACCTTGCATTTTATAATGACATTATTAGAAACACAAGAAGAGAATGTAATGCAATAATTGAAATAAATAAATATTCTTTCAACATAAATTAACTGTAATAGTTAACTGAAATGAATCCAATAACATGTAATTGTGCTCTTTCAAATGTATTCTGGAAAAACGCATGTTGACTGATTCAGTTCAGTCCAACTGAAATATGTCAGTAAGTTCAGAATAAGAGACTAAAATAGAAAAAAAACCGTTATAGCTTCCCATAGGAACAAACAAACAATGACCGAATAAAAAACATTAAAATGAGGAAGTTTCCTTCAGATGAATTTTCATAAAATAAGTTCGGAACTCTCCGGTTTTATGTCCACCTTGATAAAGTTCAAGTCGTTTTCACTTTCAAATTAAATCAATTTCTAATTTTCGGGGGCGGTAAACTGTGACGTACATTCTAAATCTAGTCTGAAAATAGCTGATGGTAAACAAAAACATACATAACCACAATTGCACTCGGAGCAGGAATTCATAGCGTGGTTGGCTTCATTCTGACATGTTTTGGTTTTGTTATTTATACATCGAAATATCTCGAATAGGGCTCGATCCTAAACGAAGATATCATTGAATCAATGAATCACTATCGGCTACATTCAATGATACTATCCTTCCTAATTTACTGTCATCGGTCAGAACAGAATGGAGCCGACACCCATGGCTCCTTCCTCTAGTTGTGCCTATCATAATTTATCATTATTAGTAATAAACTTCATTCAGCCAATGAGAGATTTATGGGAATTATTCATAATACTTGACAAAGTAGGATTGAAGAACCTATTTTATTCCATTGCTGTTATGATATAGTATTTATGCATTCAAAGAACAATTTTCGGAGACATATTGATGATGTCGGTAACGTCGTACAGGAAATCGTATTTTAACTCTGTGTGAATGTGGATTTTCAGAAAGTATGTCATAAGAATGGTGGAGGAGCCAAGTTCCTCTTTTATTTATTTTTCTCTGAAGTGAAATTTGATCTTACGAAAAAAAGAAAAAATACGTATATATTAATTTTTTACAAACTTCAAAGTGAGATAAGAACCTCAATATAGAACACTTCCCAAAAAAGGGTAATTCGTCTCGTGGGTGATGCCTCGCTCACAAACTCACTCACTTCTCTGGAACACCGTAGAAAAGTTGGCGATGTAGCTCTATTTTATAGATATTTTCATGGAAGATGCTCTTCTGAAATATCAACAATTGTTCCTCCCTAACCCGTCGAGTTGAGGCTTTGCACCCCTATGTGGTCACTTTGAGGACCTGCAGAACATCTCTTTCCAAAGACTCGTTCATCCAACGAGGCATATAACCTCCAGAAATTTAAGGAGAACACCAATTCCTTCCTTATTTCCCTTGGTTCTCACGATGTTCTCTGAACATTACAGGATATCCCTTTTCGTGGAAGCCAGAACATAAAAAAAATTCTAACCTCGATCTCGGCCTTCAGCTGCGTAACCTCCAAATCCGAATACGAGCACGGCAGCGTATTCAGATCGCTCTTCGAGTCCTGCAGCTTCTTCTCCAAGTTCTGCTTCTCGCTGATGACGGTCTCCTGCGCCTGCCTGGCCTGCTCCAGCTCCTTCTGCAGGTTTTCCAGCGCGCGCTCTGCATTCTGCAGACTGTCCATGTCGCTGTTCATGCGCGTCAGATGGCGCTTGAACTTCTTGTTCTGCTGGTAGGCGTACCACACGCCCAGACCGCCCACGATGCTCAGGAAGATCAGAGTCAGGTCTTTCCAATAGGGCACATCTGTCGAAAAGAAAATAAGATATTCACGGAAATATCCATTAGAACAGTGGTTCTTAACCTGTGGTCCGCGGACCACTGGTGGTCCCAGGAAGCACCCAAAGGGGTCCGCGAAGCCATCGGAAAAATATTGAATTAGTGACAAGCGGACGGATTATCAATTTGAAATACGACTCTTAATTGGTAGATCGAACAACTATATAAATTGAATCTGCAACTGCAAGGGTCAGGAATTTTGAAGTTGCATGACATGTGCAGTATATTTGCATGTGAAGATAAAATTGCTGCATTTATCGCTGAAATGGATCATGACAGTCGAAAAAGTTTTTTTTTTCTACGTGTGATAAGATGAATAAAATTATTGAAGGAGAGTGTGCTGAGATCAAGAGAGGCAAATTTGAAGAGTGAATTCGATCGCTATTTTCCTGACTGCGATAACAAACAAATTGTCAATGTTTTTGAGCGCCTGATAGAATTGAAGAAGAAGTGATTGAAATGCAAACCGATAGTAACTTGAAAAATGCATTCGAAGCAGGAATTGATTTTGATGATTTCTAGAGCCAAAAAGAAATTTGTTTTGCATATATTTGGGAAATTGCAATTCGATACCTACCTTGGTTTTCATCGACATATCTATGCGAGCAGGGGTTTTATTAGGCACTTCTAATCATTAAAACAAGCACCGAAATCGGTTGGATGCTACTGCCGACATGCGTTTTGATAGGACTGAACCAAGTATTGAGGATGAGGAGTATAACAAAATATAAAAAAGATATATATATTCTGTCTCTGTTATGTTGAATTTTCGCCTAAAGATTCAAATAATGTTGATTGTGAACAGATGCATGTTTTATTCATAGATAGAACAATGATCCATTAATTTTCATTCCATGTGCTCACCTCCAAACAGTCAGTGGTCCATGGCAATTTTGAATATTGTCAAATGGTCCCTCAGCACTAAGAGGTTAAGAACCACTGCATTAGAACACTGTACAGGGTGGCCAACTAAGACTCCAGAGTTCGATTTCTCTGTTGTCTTGAGAGATTCATGAATCAAAATTGAAGTAATAACCGAGCTTCACTTTTCAAAATTTCTTTGAAATACACAGGGTGTTCCGTAAGGTCACAGCACATCAAAGCAATGTTTTTTTCATTGGAACACCCTATATTTTATTTCATTTTTGAATTCTCCCTGAAGATTTGATTTCAACGACCCATCATACTTAGGGTCTAGCAGTGAAAGTTACTGACATATAGGGTGTGCAAAATCGAGATTTTCCAAGTTCAGGATTTTTTTCTGTCGAATCTGTTCATTATTCGTCAAAACGGTTTACATGTCCCTATCTCAACTTTTCACTCACTATCAATTGGTGTTCAATTGACATTTAATTGAAACAAATCAAAAATTTAGATTTTGACGAATAATGAACAGATTCGACAGAAAAAAATCCTGAACTTGGAAAATCTCGATTTTGCACACCCTATATGTCAGTAACTTTCACTGCTAGACCCTGAGTATGATACGTCGTTGAAATCAGATCTTCAGGGAGAATTCAAAAATGAAATAAAATATAGGGTGTTCCAATGAAAAAAACATAGCTTTGATGTGCTGTGACCTTACGGAACACCCTGTGTATTTCGAAGAAATTTTGAAATGTGAAGCTCGGTTATCACTTCAATTTGAATACAAAACTTTGTTTTGTATCTCTTAAGACAACAGAGGTATCGAACTCTGAATTCTTAGTTGGCCACCCTGTACAAGTAGAATCTTAAAACAATAAATAATAATAGCAGTCTTTAAAATATTCCTACAAATGCTAACTCACTAGAAGGACATTAACACTCCTACTTTAAAACAGTGGTTCTACAAATATATGAAGGAAACAATACATATTATACTACACAAAATTGTGAAAACTCCTATTATGATGAGAGATCAATCACATACAAACGTCTAGTATCACTGAGCCATAGTTATTTATTATACAAGGGAAAAAAGTAGTAGATTTTAGCTCCAGGTTGTGTTGTCTGTGAGCTAAAAATCTAATATTTTTCCCGTGTATAATATACTATTTTTTTCTGTGACAGAAGAAAGGACGAATCAATATTGAGAAGATATTACATTATTTTGAAATCTGAAAATTATCGACGTGAAATTTCAAGTTTTTAACAGTAGGGACACCTGCGTTGTAGGCATCTTTATCATTCTTTTGAAGTAATCAATTATCTGATGTCACTTTTGTCAGTCTGATTCTGTGATTTGAATTCAAAAAATTGCGAATTAAGTGGTTGTTTAGTAATATACGTAACCGCGAAGTCGAATGGAAGATAAAAGGATTTGCAGTTCTTTCTCGGAGACGGTATTATCGACTCATTTTTCGGAACTATAGCACAACAAAAGCCATCAACAGTGTATATATATGTAATATATATCCGGGAAAAAAGTACTCACTTTTTCCCACGGGAAAAAAGTAATTTATGAAAAGTGACATTTTATAACCTGCCAACAGAGATGAAATGCCAAACTTATTTCCCGTCACAGAAAAAATCCATTTTTTATGTTGAAAACGGGAGCAGATTCGTTCCCGAAACGTCCAAAGCTAAGTAAAAATTCGATATTTTTTCTATATACCTTTATTTCTCTTCTCCAAACTTTTTTCAATATAAATTGTCACTGACAAGCTGGTGAATTTTTCTTTTAGGCTCTCTGATAGGAAAATTCTTTGAACGCAATGACATTTTGGGGCAAATCATCTGATTTGCCTTCACTACACGCCTATTGAAGTAATATTCATATTTTTATTTTATAGAAACGAGGAGAGATAATCCCAAAAAATCTGAAATAATGAATGTACCACCTCCTCGATTAACCTACAGACAGTATTTAGTTATAGTATTTGGAAAACCTGACAATTCTTACAATTGAGTTACCTATAATGAAGGGATCTTCTCAAGTTTTAGAGTTACGGTAAAAAACCGGAACGCTCCAGGAAATTCAGTTTGGAAACTTCAGATTCAAATTCAACACCCCCGAAAACATATAAAACCGAAGAGAAACCGACTACTTGAATTTTTTTCACGTGAGAATCTTCGTCGTTACCGTTTTACTGAGGTACAATTCCTTTTCAATCATTAGCGATTTACCTAGATAAGGTGAACTTAATTATGTACTATTATTAAAAATTATCATGTACACCTCATACCAATAATTTTTTCCGCCAACATTGTTCATATTCCTTGGCATTATGGATATACTACAATATACAGGGTGTTTCATGAGAAGACTCACATAGCCAAAAGGTTAATAGGGGAAATCAAGACGAGTTGATGTATCCATATGAAAACATTTTTTGACCCTCGAAGACGAAGATACAGGGTATTATGTGAAATTGCTATATAACTTTGATGGTCGATATTACGGAAATGATTCGTCGTAATCCTGTATATAGTATAGTTGGAGACTTAAAAAGTCCCAAAATTTCAAAATGATTCTTATTGAGGTTATTGAGTAATCTCAATGAATGTTTCGAGAGCACTTACACTAAAATTTGAAGAATTTTTATTGTTTCCTCAAATACTAAGCAAGATTTAAAAAAAAACACAGAGGATAAGAAAGTTGATATTTCAATTGTTCAATCTGATGAAGATATGAAAGTCAGAAAAACCAGTGGCGTACAATGATATTAACCGTAAATATCGATAAATTAACCCACTGTAACGCCACTGGAAATACCATTTTGAATTTAATCACATCAAAAGAAGCTTTTGTCGGAAGACCACGATGCTCATATTTTATTCAGGCATTTCATAAATAGCAACCATACCTCGGGACGTTTTCGAGTTTTTGCCAAAAACTATCGTGGTTTCCGAGAAAAAAAAATTTGTTTAGCATTTTTTTTAATGGACTAATTACCTGTATCACCAAAACGATGAATCAGTCTCTTTATTGTCATGACTGACTTATTGAAAATGGTACTTAAATGAGTTTGGGTATATCCTAATCGTCGTAACCTGAAATAATAATTATCTGTACTGAATTATAGTTTATATCACTATAGTGATCTTACCTAATGATATTTTCTATTTTGACCCGATTTGAACGAGGCATCTTTGAATTTTTTAGGACCCGAATTACAGACGTTTTCATGAAAATTGGCAATTGATATAACCTCTATGCATACCTACATTGTTTCAACAATACGCTGTTATAAAAACAAGGTATCCTTGTTTGTTTTTGTTGATGAGATGTGTTGATTTACTGCTCACTAAGGTAGAAAACTTTCATCATAGACTGCGAAGTAATAAATTATTGATTGTTTTTGAGTAACCTGGTATACATATCTGCTACAACGATTTCCTGAAATGCATAAAAGCATCCATTTATGGAACTTCTCTGTAATTAGTCCTTAAAAAAAATGCTAAAAAAATTTTTATTTTCGGAAACCACAATAGTTTTTGGCAAAAACTCCCGAGGTATGGTTGCTATTTATGAAATGCCTGAATAAAATATGAGCATCGTGGTCTTCCGACAAAATGGGGGGGCGGAGAAGTTTGTTTCAAAATGCACGAAACTTTGTTTCACCCTGTATCACGGGTCCTGATCAATTTAGAAGAAGCTGTAAGGAACGGTTCGAAAGACGATGAAAAAGGCATTCAGAATCTGGGCGGCAATTCAAAATTCGTCCAATATTTTAGAAATTACGAGAAGTCAAACTTGATGCCAAATTTCACTATTAACGTTTCAATTGACGCCCAGTTTAGGTAAGAAGACATTTGAGTAATGATTAAAAAAAAAAGATTTTTCATGGAAATATTAATACCCTGTATCTCGAAAACGAAGCAAGGACACATGTTTATATAAACTGTATTTTCTGGACTATCACTAGCCCGAATTATCTGTAGTTATATCTACCCTCTCAAAGGATTTAATTGATTATTATTCATCAACATATAAACAAATGGGACTTTCATTCAAAAACAAATAGAATCAACATGACTCAACTCACTTTCAAACATCAGAAAAACCCACAATACAAAACGCTACCACACACATTCATAACTAATTCGCAGAAAACCGCTTTATAATAATCATATGTAACATTAATTTCGGCAACGGTCTTTGGGCACAATAATGACATTGAAATCATTCAATGGAATTACATCATCAAGTGGATTCGATCTGCGTTAAAGTACCTTTAGGCGGTCCAAACAGTACAACGTCCATTGCCTTGAGGGCGATTTTCTGTTTGTGAATGGGGTCTTTGATTCCCAGAACTGCCAAGTATGGTGCATTGTTGACTGCTAATCTGGAAATTGATTATCGAAATAATATGCCATTTGAATTCTACTCAATTGGAGTAGGGGAATCACGTAGTAGGTATGTGAAAAAAGAGATGAATTAGTATTTAGTTGTTGGCAAAACCACAGTGATTACATAATAATTGTGAACATTGTATGCACGATAATCAACTGACCACTACACTGTCTTACCACTAGTCTATTTGGTTGGTCGCAAAACAGTGTAGTGGATATACATTATACAGGGTGTTTCAAAAAAACCTGACCCCCCTACTAGGTTAGGTAGATCACTGCAAAATAAGTTAGGTTTACTCAGTAAAAAGATTTCGTAACGGCATCCGTTATCAAGATACAAGGTGTTGAAAAATGATTTTTTACACATTTTCCAAGATTATGTCGAAACTACTGGCAATATTGTGATGAAATTTTGTATGGATATTTCTTGGAATATGACACATCGCATGCATTTGTTTTTATACCTGAATCCCATAGAGGGCGCTATTTACACGGTTCGTACCGAGTAGTTTTGAACATAACTTTTTTGAGGTTAGATTTCTAAATTCAAATTTGATGTGAACTCGAACATCATTCAATTTCACACCAAAAAGGTACTCTTGGTAAAACTCGATACAGTGTTCCGTTTTCGGAATATTTCGATGCTACATAGGTAAATTCACGTCAAGAGTTGTAAAACATCACTTAAATGACCTAACAGCTGATCCTCAACTGTTTAGAAGAATAATACATTCTTAAGAAAAGAATATAGAATCGTGAATTCGTCGAAACGTAGGACATTTTGAACACTTACTCTAACTGATTCAATATTTCATGTTTCTAGTCAAATATCTCTTAATTTTCTACTTATGGTTCTTTGTTCCATCAATAATTTCAGCACAAGAATGATTTTATTGCTTTCGGATGTGAATAAATAGGTAATTGAACTCAATAAAATTCATTTTATATCAGCATCATTACTACTCCATTATTTTCAAATCGAAATATTCCGAGAACGGAACATAGTATCGAGTTTCACCAAGAGTACCTTTTTGATGTAAAATTGTATAATGTTCAAGTTCATATCATATTTGGCTTGGAAAATCTAACCTCAAAAAAGTTATGCTCAAAACTACTCGGTACGAACCGTGTACCTAGGCCCTCTATGAGAGTCAGATATGAAAATAAATTCATGCGATGTGTCAGATTTCAAGAAACATCCATACAAAATTTCATTACAATGTTGCCAGTAGTTTCGACATAATAGTGAAAAATGTGTAAAAATATAATTTTTTCAACACCTTGTATCATGAAAACGGATGCCGTTACGACATTTTTTCACTGAGCAAACCCAACTTATTTTGCAGTGTTCTACCTACCCTAGCAAGGGGGTCAGGTTTTTTTGAAACACCCTGTATAACTTTTTTATACTTAGTATACCGGGTGGCTACGGAAGTATTGCCTACGGAATATCTCAGTTATTGTATGAAGTAGGTTTGTGAAATTTGGAGCGTCGATATAATGACATAAGAGCTAGAGTTTGAGCATATTGACATGTCTGAGTTAACTTCCGGTCTGACCGGAAGTAACATCAACTTTCTCATTTTAAATGGAAATCCTATTCTTTTTTCTTTTCGCTTTATTCAGCATTCAATTCCCTTTCTAATGACACATCACAAGTTGGTATCTAACCAGAAACTAGATCAGAAAAAAATTATTATTGAAATTCACCGAGTAGGCCGTGGAAGCAAAATGAAAGCCAAAAAATGACTTTCTATTATATCATTAGAAAGGAATGGTTATGCTGAATAGTACAGGCTAGAAAAAGTTGTATGTTCCTATTTAAGTTATGGACCTACGGAGTATTGTTTTTTTCCCAATTTTTCCGATATTTTTCTTGGCGGCTTTTTATAACGCCGACGAATAAAAATAAAATATCACAGTAGTAGCAACTGTTATCAAGTGACGTATGGTTTCCATAGCCAACTTTTCAAATTATAGGCTTTCCATTTTGCTTCCACGGCCTACTCGGTGAATTTCAATAATAATTTATTTCTGATCTAGTGCATCAATAATTTTTCTTCTTCATTTGTGTGTTGATTAAAATTGCATATTATCAATAGAGACGGAAAAAGAAACGAAAAAGTCGATATGTTACCAGATCTAGTAACCCAACCTAAGATATGTTACCAAATCTAGTAACCCAACCTAAGATATGTTACCAGATCTAGTAACCCAACCTAAGATATGTTACCAGATCTAGTAACCCAACCTAAGATATGTTACCAGATCTAGTAACCCAACCTAAGATATGTTACCAGATCTAGTAACCCAACCTAAGATATGTTACCAGATCTAGTAACCCAACCTAAGATATGTTACCAGATCTAGTAACCCAACCTGAGATATGTTACCAGATCTAGTAACCTAACCTAAGATATGTTACTAGATCTAGTAACCTAACCCAAGATATGTTACCAGATCTAGTAACCCAACCTAAGATATGTTACCAGATCTAGTAACCCAACCTAAGATATGTTACCAGATCTAGTAACCCAACCTAAGATATGTTACCAGATCTAGTAACCCAACCTAAGATATGTTACCAGATCTAGTAACCTAACCTAAGATATGTTACCAGATCTAGTAACCCAACCTAAATGTATGTAAGAAACGAAAACATCGATATGTTGTTAATATGCAATTTCAATCAACACACAAATGAAGAAGAAAAATTATTGATGCAATCGGTTAACTGTTAAACACATAAAACATTTTGTGTAGGTACACCGCCTATTAAGTGAAATAATTATGAAAAAATAGACTGATAGCCCTGTGGATCATCGTATAAGAGGAACAATTTTAGTTTTATTATTCCAAATGGGAAGATCATGTGATAGGTACATGGCGACAATAACAGGTATCTTCTGTACGAGTAGCTGAATTCGAAAAAATATATTCCTATCTTAGATTCCTCAATATCTTGAGTTATTTTCGAAGGTTTTCACCTTGACTCAAACAAGCTATTGACAACCTGCAGACATTGATCAGAATATGAAAACATTTTGAATAATATCGGTTTACTAATGATATTTAAATTTCAAAGCCTACCAAGTGTCGATATATCATGGAAATCATGTCACAGCCAACTTATTCTTTTTGAATAAAAAGCAATTCAACACGAATCAATGAATAAATGCCACTTTGTGATACATGGTTGGATAGAGAATTTCAAGGCGGAAAAGATAAACTGAAGAAATGTACAGGGTGACATTAAAAAAAAGTTGGGGGCACTTCCGGTCAAACAGGTAGTCGAAAAAAATTGTCGTTAGGTTCGTAAAGTGCGCTACCATTTATTATATACCCCCTGTGAATTTCAAAATCTTATCTCTTCAAATAAAAAAACTACAGGCTGCTACATGTCTCCTGTGTCACCCGGTATATGATTTTTTCGATTATCTCAAATCATTCGATAGAAGATCTCATTTGATGGATAAAAGTTCCTTTCGAGGTTACAGGGGATAAAATTTTGAAATTCACAGGGGGTATATAATAAATGGTAGCACACTTTACGAACTTAACGACAATTTTTTTTCAATCACCTGTTTGACCGGAAGTGACCCCAACTTTTTTTTTAATGTCACCCTGTACATTTCTTCAGTCTATCTTTTTCGCCTTAAAATTCTCTATCCAACCATGTATCTCAAGGTGGCATTTATTTCTTGATTCGCTGTTGAATGGGGAAGACCACTGAGGGAAAAAATCCGTGCAAACCTCTTTCAATCGACGAATCATGATTAACATTTTATGTACAATCATTTTATGAGTTGAAGTTGAAGGGAATCGAATTTATATCGTTTTGAAATCAGCATATTTCATTTGATATCTCAAACAGCCAAATATGATGATGGAGTCGTGACGTATTAGTCCCAAACTGTAGCTATCTCTCTCTAATACCTCGTCATTCTGCAGTGTTGCAGTGTAATTGGTCAGTTCAAGGACAATAGGCGTGTTGGGACTAAGACGTCGCCCCAGCCACACCAATGAATTGATGAAATTTCAAATGGCGCAGGAATTGTGTGTTTTGAAATGGTCATATACTAATTTATTTTTTTCATCGTCTTAGCATGAATGAAAAAATTCAAAATTAATTCACTGGTAGTTTTTCAGTATAGAGTTCACGATAATGTCGTTCCAAAAAATCAGTGGTCTTCCCCATTGCTTTTTATTCAAAAAGAATAAGTTGGCTGTGACATGAATTCCATGGTATATCGACACTTGGTAGGCTTTGAAATTCAAATATCATTAGTAAACCGATATAATTCAAAATGTTTCGATATTCTGATCAATGTCTGCAGATTGTCAATAGCTTGTTTGAGTCAAGATGAAAACCTTCGAAAATAACTCATGATATTGAGGAATCTAAGATAGGAACATATTTTTTCGAATTCAGCTACTCGTACAGAAACTAATTCTTTTATTTTCGCCATGTACCTTTCACATGATCTTCCTATTTGGAATTGTAAAACTAAAATAATAATTATTGTTCCTCTTAAACGATGATCCACAGGGCTATCAGTCAATTTTTTCATAATTATTCCACTCAGTAGGCGGTGTACCTACACAAAATGTTTTATGTGTTTGACAGTTAATCGATTGCATCAATAATTTTTCTTCTTCATTTGTATGTTGATTGAAATTGCATATTAACAACATATCGACGTTTTCGTTTCTTACATACATTTAGGTTGGGTTACTAGATCTGGTAACATATCTTAGGTTAGGTTACTAGATCTGGTAACATATCTTAGGTTGGGTTACTAGATCTGGTAACATATCTTAGGTTGGGTTACTAGATCTGGTAACATATCTTAGGTTGGGTTACTAGATCTGGTAACATATCTTAGGTTGGGTTACTAGATCTGGTGACATATCTTAGGTTAGGTTACTAGATCTGGTAACATATCTTAGGTTGGGTTACTAGATTTAGTAACATATATTAGGTTGGGTTACTAGATCTGGTAACATATCTTAGGTTGGGTTACTAGATCTGGTAACATATCTTAGGTTGGGTTACTAGATCTGGTAACATATCTTAAGTTGGGTTACTAGATCTGGTGACATATCTTAGGTTAGGTTACTAGATCTTGGGTTACTAGATCTGGTAACATATCTTAAGTTGGGTTACTAGATCTGGTGACATATCTTAGGTTAGGTTACTAGATCTGGTAACATATCTTAGGTTGGGTTACTAGATTTAGTAACATATCTTAGGTTGGGTTACTAGATCTGGTAACATATCTTAGGTTGGGTTACTAGATCTGGTAACATATCTTAGGTTAGGTTACTAGATCTGGTAACATATCGCCTTTTTCGTTTCTTGAATACATTTTCCGTCTCTATTGATAATATGCAATTTTAATCAACACACAAATGAAGAAGAAAAATTATTGATGCAATCGATTAACTGTCAAACACATAAAACATTTTGTACACCGCCTACTAAGTGAAATAATTATGAAAAAATAGACTGATAGCCCTGTGGATCATCATATAAGAGTAATTTTCGAGGTTTTTTCGAAGGTTTTCACCTTGACTCAAACAAGTTATTGACAACCTGCAGACATTGATCAGAATATCAAAATATTTTGAATAATATCGGTTTACTAATGATATTTGAATTTCAAAGCCTACCAAGTGTCGATATATCATGGAATTCATGTCACAGCCAACTTATTCTTTTTGAATAAAAAGCAATTCAACAGCGAATCAAGAAATAAATGCCACTTTGTGATACATGGTTGGATAGAGAATTTCAAGGCGAAAAAGATAGATTGAAGAAATGTACAGGGTGACATTTAAAAAAAAAAGTTGGGGTCACTTCCGGTCAAACAGGTGATTGAAAAAAATTGTCGTTAAGTTCGTAAAGTGCGCTACCATTTATTATATACCCCCTGTGAATTTCAGAATTTTATCTCTTCAAATAAAAAAACTACAGGCTGCTACATGCCTCTTGTGTCACCCGGTATAGCATTTTCCTGTGTAAAAAACTCGTATATTTCGCGATATATCATTTGGTTGAAAACACTGATATCGATAGGAAAAGTACTACAAATTTTCATGTTTTTTTTTTCAAGGAGCTGCGCAAAAACCTGGCATAACGAAGGTTCATAATTCCACCGAAGCCTCCACATAGAGCTGACTGAAGAGATCTGCTGATCGGATGAGTGCCACATCAAATGAGAATTGAAATTGATGGGTGCAAGTCTGAGAAAACCAAAGAAGAAAGTTCTTCAATCAACATTCATTTGCCATGTAAACTTCTATCAATATATTATATAATGTATTATCTGAATTTTATTTTTGACCAATAATGGCTTCAGACCTGAAACCGACCTGAATCGTACGTCCTTAGGACGTACTTGTGCTATCTGGGTGTCTCCATTTAAAAACAAACTGTGGTTTCACAGGATTTTGGGGATCACCCTGTAAATTTCTGATAAGGGTCTTCCTTTTGTTTTTTCTTGATTAAAAGATACATGAATATAATGGAGGAAGGCCTTTTATGGATAACCCTGTACCTATCTGATAATCATGACAACCAGGAGAAAAAAAAAACAATTTCTAGAACCATTTCAATATTCCAATACTCAACAGATAAAATTGATACACTCTGTAACCATTATCCAATATGTATTTTGCTGCTGATTGGAATTCTTTTAATGACTAGCATATAGTAGTGAGACTATCAGTTCCATCACATGATATGACATCAAGGAAAATATTTATATTGTAAACATTCCTAGTAATGTAAACAATTTATTACAAAAGCCCTGAGAGCTTGTCTGAAAGTTTGCCAAAAAACAGTACATCATAGATATTTACATAATTCATCTCAATATTTGAGGAATTTTCAGCTACTTATTTATGAACTGAAAATTGTTGATATTTGGGGCCTACAATACTTTTTTGGCTGAAAATATTACCAGTTCATATAGCCCCCACAGGAAATTGTGTTGAAAGAATTATATCATGTATGATGATGCTTTCTTTCTGAAAAGCACCAGATGGACAGGCAGATTTGCTTTCTTGAGACAGGCTCATCATACTCTATTGAGGATAGAAATTCAAAATATAAATGTAATGCCAATATAATCAATTAGCAAAAAATCAGTACTTGACCAAGATATTCTGTACCATAAGTTTGTAGGATCAAAAAATGACTCCCTATTATGAATATGAGCAATAGTCCATAAAGTTCTGAGCATATATATGTACATTTCATAACTCTCAAGCTGGGGATATATATAAATTGGCAGTGGGTCTTGATATGCACATCAAACATCAGTTCTTAGTTCATGTTAAAAAAATTGTAACATTTTTAGTAAGTAGTAGATGAATTGGCACTAAACTATTTCATTTTGTTACCTAGGCAAATTGGCACCAGTAACTCTGTTCTCAATAAATTTAGGAACATATTGTGGTAATTCAACACAGGAAGTCAACCAGTCAGTGGTTTGCTCCACAGTCCAGTTGTGAACCTCAGATTTCAACCAAGCTTCCCACAATTCTCTCACAGAAATGTGATAATCATCATTACGATGGAAATTCTTCTGTCTCTTCTCTGCACCAGAATTATATTTCAATTCTTCTTTCAGAAACTAAAAAGTAAATACTCTTATAGCCTATGTTAAATCATGCTTAGGTTTTTCAACTTACATCATCTGATTCTGATAAGTCTATGTTGCCATCTTTGTCATCATCTAGCTGTTTGTGTAATTGCTTTATTGCTTCTAGACCTAAGCGGTCCTTGTGAGCCATTGCAAGACAAGCAAAATCTTCCATGTTACAGGAGTCTAGAGGAACTGAAAAATAATTGTGGTTCAATCATGTTCTCAAGAAAACCATGTTCGTCTTACTATTAGGAACTGTGTGGTCAATTTTTGAATATTCGTTATCACTTTTTGGCTCTGCATTCGATTCGGCAGTCAATACTTCTTGCCAATTCACATTTAAAACTAACCAAAAAATAAGGCCTCGGAATTTCATGTTTAAAAAACTTACGATTACAAATCTTTACAAAATATACAAATATATTACAGCCAAAAATTACTAATATTATTATACTCTCATCGCTTTCCCTTATTTTACCCTTATTTTTCAACCTGACATTTCGATATTTTCGATGAGTTCTGAAAAAAAAATTACAAAAAATTGCCAACTGAAGGCTGGTTTGACACTGACACTTGACAGTGCATTTGCATTCGACTTGACACTTTGACAGATATATAGAAAATTTCAATTTTACATGAATTACGTATAGGCGTTCAGACCTTCAATTAATTTTTAGACCACAGAATACTCAATTCTGTGCCTCTGCTTAAACTTGGCTTATTTAAAGAATTTAAAGCACAGTTTAAAGATAGAATCTAGAATTCTAGACCAATCAAAAGATGCTAAAGTTGCACTTACTTGGGTATGTATGTATGAAAAGTATGAAAATATGCGTGGAAGCTTCGTTTCCAAGTTTGAGATTTTTCTTGTTCTTCAAGTTTTCTCTTAATTTTTTCAAAATAATGAATTGATATTTGGTGCACCTGGTACACTTTGGAAACGTAATATTTGGGGTTATCCAGCGTTCTTGGATATCTACAGGATGATACATTTTTGGGGTAGTGCAAACTTCGAAACCCTCTCTAATCGGAAACGATATAAGCTCCCACGCATATAGATTTTCATCTTGAAAAAATGTCTTCTTCAAGCTGCTACAAAAAAGTGACTCACCCTGAATAACGGAGGTTTAGGATTATCAGACTCCAGAGACTCACATAATATTCATCCATATATTCATTTATATAATTATTATCATTTCATTATTCGTACATTAATCTGATTATTGACAAAAAAACACTCATTATTTCCTGGTAATCACAGAAGATTTCACAGATTGTATCTTTCTAAGCAAAATGTGGTTATCGAGAGCGATTTTTTCTTGGGCGCGTTTTCGATTAATTGCCGCACTGCTCATCTTCTTGATGCTGGTAGTTCTGGGAGGAATTTTGTATTGGTTTTCGCGTCGATTATTGTCCATGATTTTCCTCATAAGTATCTCGTTGCTCCGTTCTATATCTCTCATCGCCGTTGAAGAAAAAGTTTTGTTGCAAGTTTGGTCGATAGAATACCGGCGACAGCTCGCCCTAGATGGGACACTCAAGTTGTAATCACTGTTGCGACTCTGCAAACCTTCCAAGTTTAGATCGATTTCGTCATCTTCTTCGAAATCGTCTTCGTAGGTCTCGTCTGCAGGCCATGCTGTTGGGGTTTCAGGATGGTCATCCTCAACTTTTTCTTTGTTCTCTTCTACATGATTGATATTATTTCTTATCCTCTCACAGGTATCACAATTGTTCAATTTCGATGATAAGTCGTCTGTTGCCATTATATATATAGTAATGCTGTAAAAATCTGGTAGAAATAAATATATGAATATAAAATCTGCAGGTCGGAATCAAAAGTTGTTCAACTTATAAAAAAAATGACATAACTCTGATGGAAGATCTCTGATGCTAGCAGGTTTTCAAGTTTGTTGTCATTTTGTTTCCATGGAAACAATGGGTTACCCAGACAATGAAAAAGGCGAATATGAAAGTAGGAATATCTGGAAGGATTAAATCGTGAACTTTTCTTGAAGAAAACTGTCCGTTGTAATTTCTTTTGATATTTTCATTCCGATTTCAGAATCGAGAACTGTCAATTTCGAAAAATTTCATGATTTTGTTGAATAAAATGTCTTGTCAGATTATTATTTATAATTTTTCAGAACATGAAAATCTAAGTTATTCAAATCAATATTTGATTTATTTATTTTGTATTTATGGAGAATGGTAGGGAATTAGTGAACTGAGCTTGCAGTTTATTCACAAAAATTACCCTGATCTGCAAAACCCTTGAATGGGTGTTGGAAGTTTGAAAGATCAAAGTCATAATTATATAGGCTATATTCCGAATTCAACTGACAGTACTGAATCTGCTGATTTTCCATTCCGAAATCAAAAAATTCACTGAAAGTGACAGATGCTTGTCAGCAGAAATACTATTCATTCCAAATATTTCGACTCAACATTCTGCTGGAATTGCTGAGTATCAAAAGGTAGTGTGGCTTCAGTATACTCTCCTTGGCTTCAGTGAACTGTCATATTTCAGAGGGGGAAGAAATGTAACATTCATTTCCTTTTTCTCAATATCAGAAAATACCAGGAGTATGAAGTAGTAGAGCAGGTAAGGAAAGGAGCAGCATTGGCTAAATAAACTAAATAAACCTCGAATGTCTCCTGAAATTCATCATTATTAAGGCATATTGCGATTTTCAATCTGGTGCATCATGAGAAATTTATGGCAACAAAATGTCCAAGTATTCTTCATCACTTGAGCTTGAATCCAGTGCTGCCGTTTTGCAAGTAATTACTTGCATTTGCAAGTAATTACAAAGTTTTGCAGTAATCGGTGAGGATTCAACATTTTGCAAGGATTTTGCAAGGATTTTGAGTGAATGACCTGACCTCGTTTTGCTTATGGTGTTAGTCGTGTTCGTTCTGTGTTTTGATCTTCTGTGGTATTTGCGTATTTGTCATTATCGTCATTTTTGTACAAGACAAATTAGACACTTGAATTATGGATCGGGGCTAGACTTGACACTGATGATGACTGTTGTCATCGACATTGACAATGAAAAATGACAAATCATAAATGGAGGCCTGCCTGCTGCCTCCTTGCTGCCTCTGTCTGAGAAGTGAGCAAATATGTAGAGTATTTAATTATAATATAAGATATTTTTTACGAAAAATTAAATGAAAAATCATAAATTAAACATCGATATGATGAGAAATTGGTTGCTCAGTTCGGTAATTATTCAAATAATTTAGCTCATTTTGGGTGGAATATTTTCCTTAAACCAAAAAATCACAAAAACAAGAATTACATCTTAGGCTTCTGGCCGCTAGATGTCGCGTGCTATTATAAGTCAAATGTCAAAATGATAGATGGAAGTTGAACCGTTTCGACACCTTCAATTTTATAATATTATTCCATTTTTATTACGATAACACAGTGAAGCACACGAAATCGATCTGTGTAAAACATAAAATTTATTAGCATTTTGTATAGAAAATTATTTGCAAGGATTTTGTCAGGATTTTCAAAATTTTGCCAGTAAAATGCAAGGATTTTGAAATAAATTTGCAAGTAATTCCACAAATTCAAGTGGCAGCACTGCTTGAATCGTTATCGTCAACAATCGTAGAAACTATAGAGGATACAAGAATCGATTTCTCTTCCATGTTAAATATTGAATTTCCAAAATTTATAACAAGTAGGAGGCTAAACATCTAGTTCAGATAAACGAGAAACTACTACTGATGAAAACCACGAAAACGTGTCCCGAATTACAGTAGTGAATTTTTGATTTTATATTTCGGAACACAGATTTTCAGCAGAGTCAGTGGATCAACTTACAGTACTGACCAGTTGAATTCGGAATATAGCCATAGTACAGTTCGGAGAACAAAAGCAACAAGAATGAGAAATATAGTTGGGTTTTCTGGTTGCTTTCACTTCAACAATCTCGGCAATTTTTGAATCTGATTTCGTTATACAGTGTGTTACAATTTGGTCCACCGCACCCCTGTGCTTTCGTATTCCTAAGGCAATTTGAAAATTATTTCTTCTCACAGTATACTTCTCAAAATTATCTACTTTTTCGAGCAAACAGAATTCATCAATTACAATTTCTTAGCCTACTGTGATCACAAAAACTCCAGCAAAATTGAAGAAAACGGATTAGGCATTTTTTACAAATATTCATATATTTTATACAAATATAAGGCAATCGATTCGGACTAGCCACAAATTCTCTTACATCAATTTTGAAAACAATATCTCATACGGGGTGTTTTTTATCAACGTTACAATTTTTGAATAATTGCACTTTTCAAGTCACCGTGCATAATAATTGTTAGAATTTGAATGATATCAGGCATGATGGTAGTCAACATTAGAACATCTGGCTACAGAGTGAGATGAATAACTACTAAAATCACTGGAGATTAAGATTTTTGTCATCAAGAAATGAATAGAAACCAAATGATACCTATAAAAAAATAACATAAAAATATGACGAAGTACAAAACAGCAATTATTCCTAACAAGTTCAAATTTTTGTATTCTCGATCGTATCTCCGAAAGACGTTATTTTCAACTCTCCAGCTGTAAGGTTCACAAATAGAGGACAAGAAATAGGGAAGAGTAAATTGCGGCAAATAAACAGTTTGCAGATAGATACCACCAAAACTGAGGAGAGTTGAAAATAACATACGAAAGGGATTCGAAACGTGGGTAGAGAATGATGGAGATTTGAAATTTGAAAATGCCAACTTGTAGGAAAGAAAAAGTGGCCATGATAAAGTGTCAATTTCTTCAAATAACTTGAAGAATAAAATAAAAAATGCTTCAGGAAATTTCGTATTTTTTAGTATATCTCCGAAGATATTTGGAATTTTCCAAGTTTCAAAGCAGCATTTTGTTAGGCATAAAATTGCGCAACTTTTCCATGATTCAACCGACCCTGTACTCACCCATTTTTTCTGAAACATTCGTCCAGATGCTTTTGAAAAATGAAAAATAGGCAATTATTTGCTCATAACATTTATTGAGACCGATTTTTTTAGACAACCGTCAACACAGTCCAGTCGGTAGTACATTCACAATCGTTGAAAGTTCGCTAAGTAAACGTCAAAAAAAAATTGGGATGGGCAGGACTATAAAAATCGCCTACACGAATGAGTATTCCGTAAATTACATGCAGTCTTACAAAAACAAAATCAGAGGGTTCGCTCAGAGAGCGGAAATAAGTGCCAGGGCCGTATCGGACGAAAATTTTTACTGCCCTTGGGAGTAGTTCCAAGGGTTGCTTTGTTGCTGGGTCCACAGAGGAGAGGTGTTGAATGGACTGTAGCTGTTCCTTGGTTGAGGTGACTGGAAATAAAAATCCAGTTTCAATCACAAAATTTGTTTTTTTTTTTTAAGTTCCAAGCTCATCAAGATCAGAGTTCATACAAGTATACTTCTCCTATACATTTCAATTTTCATTTCAATACTGAACATATTGGTAAGTCATGATTTTATATCATAATACATCATATTATTTCATTCGATTTGATTTGAGAGATAATGCCAATTCTCAATTTCAGAGGATTTTGATTTTTCATGCTCTCTTTTTTGGATATTCAACAGATATAATTCAATGTTCGACGTGGCAAATAGCCAGGAAAGTAGTTGTTTTCTGTTGAATATTCAGAATGATATGTGCATATTTTTGGAGAATGCGAATTCAGGATATAAAAACCGTTTTGACCAATTATGAATAGTTTCCACACAAAAAATTCCCAAAGTTGGAAAATCTAAATTTTCTGTAATCATTACTGCTACACCCCAAGTGTTAGAGGTCAATGAAATCAGCTCTTCAGGTAAAATCTGATAATGAAATAATATACAGGGTGTCCCATTTAAAAAATCAAAGTTGTTGCTACTTTTCAATATAAGTGGCAACGTCGCAACGCTGAGAATATGTTAGGTCGATAGGACACAACTTATTATCCAAGGCTCCAAATTTTCAGACTAATCCTGAGTTGCTTTCTCCAGAAACGTGCCATCCACCGTGAATCAGCCTGATGTATAAATCATACCTATTTTGTATTGATCTCTTTATGATGTATAAATAGTATGTGATGCTATCATTCATTATTCAAAATCATAACAATTAGGAATTTTCCCTGCTACGAATTATCATAGAATTATTATTCAACTACCTCGTATTAGGTTTCTGATGTATAGAATGTCTATTCAAATTATCACCTTCTCAGAATGGTCCAACAAGAGAGTTTTGGGTGGAATCCTGCTTTGTTGAAAAACTTACAAGTTTTTAAAGATGAATTTGGTCTTATAAGATTGGAAACTAGATAAGTCATGGGTGAAGATACTGACGAATATAAATACCCCATATAATAATGAAATTGTTAGAAAACTCATCAAACAATATCATCGTATCAATTGCCATGCTGGAGTACAAAAAATGTTAATACTTCTGAGAGAAAAATTCTGGATTTTAAGGGGAAGATTTGTGAAAGAAATAGTAGGAAAATGCATGAAATGTAAAAGATTTTGCAGTGAATGTGTAGTTCCTCCATTTGCTCCACTTCCGATCGATAGGATACGATGTAGTACAGCATTTTCAGTTACAGGAATAGATCTTGCCGGTCCACTTTATCTAAAAAGGGGTCTGGATTGTTTTATTCACATGCGCTGTATACCGAGCAGTTCATTTAGAACTGGTGAATTCATTGTCAACAGACTCGTTCCTCATGTCTTTGAGGAGATTCATCTCAAGAAGAGGTCGTATATCCGTGATATATTCTGATAATGGTAGTAATTTTATTGGAGCTCATAATTTACTCAAGAACATAAATTGGAATGAAGTCATAAAATATTCTACTTCAAAACAAGTCAAGTGGTATTTCAATCCACCAACCGCCTCGTGAAAGATTTACTGCGTAGAAATCTGGGAAAAGCTTTGGTTACTCATGAGGAATTGGAAACTTTACTTTGTGATTGTGAAGCAGTGATAAATTCAAGACCTCTAACATATTTATCAGAAGAAAATAATAATTATAAACCTCTAACTCCGTCAATGTTCATTAGTGATCAAAATATAACAGAAACACCCGATTTAGACAACATCGACAGAAAACATCTCGTAAGGCGTTTGAGATACCTTCAGAAGATACGAGAATCTCTAAGAACTCGATTTAGGAAGGAGTACTTGGCAGAACTGGTTAATACTGGTCATAGGAAATGTGGAACTCTGAAAATAGGAGACATCGTTTTAATTGGTTCAGATGCAACTAAGAGTATCAATTGGCCACTTGGTAAAATTGAAGAAATATATCCGGGGAAAGATAATATTTGTAGAGTTGCAAGAGTGAAGACTTAAAACGGAAAATTCGTCAGACCATTTCAACGTCTATTCCCATTGGAGATATCATCCGCAGAAAATAATGAGAATTTCATGGATAAATTCAATAGAACGACCGAACGACAGAAATTGGTGAGGATCAAGAGCGTGAAGAACCTGAAAATGAGAAGAAATTAGAAGAACCACTGCCTTCGCACGACCTATTAGAGCTTGTGCGAGAATTGTTGCACTCGGCTCTAAACTACGTGAACTAGTTTTTCAAAGGAATTCCAAACCCTACACCAGTTTTACCAATGGAATACAGAATATGCACTCAGTGCGAGCCAGCGAGCGAGAAACAATTGAAGAGTGGGCACTCCAGAGGAATTATAGACATTTAATTGTATACGTACGTCGTCTCTCTTTCTGTGCAGGAACTCGTCGAACCCGGGGGGCGTCCTTGTCGGCGTGCCAGGCGCTTCCGGCGCCCAGGGCTGCCACACCGCAGAGGAGCCCCACAGGTAGCCGGCCGATCTGGAGGCGGCCGGTTGGGAGGCGGCCGTCTCGGCCTGCAGGTGGGCCTCCAACAGCAGGGGGTTGTAGCTGTCCCAGTAGGAGCTCGAGTTCAACAGGCTCTGGTTCCATGGATCTGAGAGAAACGGAAGCGTGGATGTGTGGGTAGAGTAGAGATGATATCGACATTATCACCAAAGGGTACTGCCCGTTTTATAGGGGAAATTGGCGTACTGTCGAATTGGCTGAGTTGAGGATATTATATATTATTTATTTATTTATTGAACAAATAACTTCCAGACAGAATGGGCTCTGGTATAAGAAAGTACATAATTATATACCTATAAGTGAACATTTCATCATTCAAAATATATCAACAACAAATTGGCAAACAAAGAATAATATTTGAAGAAAAAATATAGTGAAATGGCATGATTAATTTTATCCAGTTCGCTCAGATATAATCAGTTTTTTTACTTCATTTTTGAATGTACCTATATTTAAGTATACCAAATTGCTCATTGATTGATGAAACCATTTTTCTCTATCACTTCCAGTTTCACTGGAAACGACCCCAACTTTTGAACTTCAAATGGGACTCCCTATATTGTATTCCATAATCGGTTAGGGAATTAGGGATTATCATGACGAATTCAGCGATACCGGGTTTGATAGGGTTATTTCAAACGATTACAAAGATATTTGCGTTCGAAGTTTCCATAAGCTCAATGGGTGTGACTTCGCAATATCAAAACTTCTTTCTTTGTCACACTCATTGAGCTCATGGAAAGTTCGAACGCGAATATCTGCGTAATCGTTTGAAATAACCCTATCAAACCCGGTATTGATGAATTCGTTATGACAATCCCTAACCGATTATGGAACACAATACAGGGTGTCCCATTTAAAAATCAAAAGTTGGGGTCGTTTCCAGTAAAACCGGAAGTGATAGAACAAACATTGTTTCATCAGTGAATGAGCAATTTGGTATACTAGCTGCCCACCAATTTTCAAAACCCTATCTTGAATAATTCGAAAGTTACAGTCCTGGCCTTTTTTTGTGTACTTCTCTGTATGTTTAGTCCATAATAATTTTTCGTCGATATAGACCCAAAAATTTTGTCAATGTGACGCAAAAAGTAAAAACGCTGCATAGGTACTTCACCTTCTGACATTCACCTACCTTCCATGTTGAAGCCAGTGTCAGACCCCGTACCGGGTTCCATCATACAGCCGTCGTACCCCTGCTGATGGCTCCACCCACCTCCCACGTTCGCCATATCGTCCAAATAACAGCTCTCCCGTCCGCTGCTGTCCAACCGAATCTCGTCCGAAAAGAAGCTGTTGCTCGAATCCCTGATCAGCCCGTTCGATTGCATGAAGCTGTCGAAGTTATCCTCCAACGATCTTCGATTGCTTTCGGCCGAGCTTCGCCCATCGGTACGTCGCGACCCGATTGGCCCTAGCTCTGTGATGGGCGTTTGCTTGTAGGGCTCCACGTACATCGTAGGTTTGCCGGCAACGGATTTGGGGTTGTGCGATCTGGTGGAGACAGAAGCAGCATCGCTTCTCGCCACCACGTCGCTAAACTTCGCCCTACTCTCCCCCCAAACGCAGGGGGTCGAGGTCACAGGAGGCAAGGAGATGTTGAAGCTGGTCAAGCTCTTGCGCTGCTTCTCCAATCCGCCAGCTTCCTTGGCTAGTTTTTTGTCCATGGAGGATTTTTTGTGGTAGCTCTTATCCTTCCTGTCCTTGCCCGACCTATCACGCTTCTTATCGCGCATGTGCGAGTGGTGTTTCTGGACGGGAACGCCATCGTTGGGCTTGTGATGGAAGTCTTTGTCTTTGCCAAGTTTTTCGCTGGTTTTTTGAGATTTGGGTAGTGGCTTTTGGTGTTTGATACGATTGTGGTGATGGTTGTGGCTGAATGTGACTGGTTTCGTTTCGACAGAATAGTTCAGGTTCTCTTGGATGACAGGTTTGACGGTTTCGATTTTGGTCGGTCTGCAGTTGATCTTTGAGCAAACTGTCTGCGTGTTTCTTTGGTTATTCTCCTTTTCAGGATCCTCGAAGTTGCTACTACTGCTGTCAGTAGTCGTCGAGGAGCTTTCCTCCTCATAGACAGGTACTACAGTATTTTTGGCTTTTCTTGGCTGAGAGGAAGGTTTCTTCTCCTCAGCCTCCTTTTGCGCGATTTCTAGAATTTTTTTGTCTTTTTCTTCGCTCTTCAACTCCTTGTCCTTCTCCTTTGTCTTCTGCTTCACCTCACAACACTTCTCTCTTCGCTTCTCAGGTTTCTCCTGTACCTGCACCACTGAGCTTTCCTCACTCTGAGAAGGCTCCCCACTATTTCTTTTCCCTAGTTTCTTCTTAGCCTTTCCAGTAACTGGTACAAGTACAGTATATCGCTCCATCTCGAACTTCTTCCCCTCATCTTCCAACTCTTTCTGCGAAGCCTTATCTTCACAAACGACGACTTTCTCCCCTCCACTTTTCGCAGACTGTATCTCTTCCCGGATTTGCTGCCCCACCAGCCTCAAATCCAAAACGGGCTGCACCGCAGGGCTACTAGGAGCTACAAATGACCCCATGGCTTGTCGCCTAACGCGATCGGCATCGATCATAGCTACAAACACGATCACCACCAGTAGGCAGCACATCGAGCCTACGGTCAAGTAGCTCAGGTATATTTCCCAGAAAGGCCTGGCTATGACCTCCGAGCAAGCGTTCAAAAACGACGATGTTATTGTACTATACAGGGTGTAGTTCACTGGTATGTTGAGGCTTGTTGCGAGGATTAAGGTTCTGGTGATCTTTGTCAACGTCAAGTCTGGAGTGAAGGCGATATCGATCCTTTTTGTGCTGTTCGGAGGTAGCATGAAGGGTTCGCAGTCTATGACTTTGAAACCGTAACCCTCGCAAGGGTAATCGTTGATGTGGAAGCTTTGCACGTACAAGGGCACGTCACCGGTATTTCTCGCAGTGAAGGTACGTTTCACTGTGAGATATGGCGTCCCAGCTGTGTTCTGAGCTTTGAGTTTCTCACATTCTTTCAGATGCTTCTCGTTTAGATCGAAAGTGAGAAATTGCGCGGAGCCTGGTTTGCGATTGCCGAATTTGAAAGCCGGGGACGCTCCTTGCGCGTTGAGTCTCACGACTTCCAGGATAGTCAGGTTGTTTCTAAGGAGGAGTAGGGCGGAGTAAGGGCTGGTGTCTGTTGTGCGGAATCCTATGAGAACTGATTGTGATTGCCCGGGTTTCAACAGGAGCGGTAACGTGTCTGGGTCCACTGTGACTCCTAACATTTCTGAAAAAAAATCGAGCTGCGCATCTTTGCTCCGGTTGGGGAAGAAGAAACCGTGTGTGGTGCTATTTTCCCCTGAACTTTTCGTTAGTAGATTCGGTGGTAAGCCGTTCTGCAGAATTTGGAAATTAGGATAGTCCCGGTCGAACACTAGTTGCACGACGACATTGTAGCTAGCAGGATTGCGTAGAGTGACGTTTAGGTACGATATGTTTCCCACTTGCGTCAATGGAAACGTGAATATAGAGTAGTTTTCGGTGTTTTGCTCGACTATCAAGCGGGGCCAGCTCATTTTGACGCGAGTTTTGAAGATGTGACCCCTTACTTCGGACGTGTCTAACCGCAAAGTAATATTTTGCCACTTTTTGGTGCCGTTGGAGGTCAAATTCAGATATCTGTTATAGAAAACGTTCACTAGATGCAAGTCGAAGTCGGAGACGAATTTGGACAGCGAAAACGTCTTCAGCCATTGAGCTGAAACATAATTAGATATATTGCCGAAACGTTGACTCAATGAGACGAAATAAAACCAAGAACAATTACATATAAGGTCCATTCCCTACCTGAAGTGTCTGTCTGCAAGCCTGTATAACAGTCCGCCTGGCAATGCAGATCAGGATTGAGGAACATGTGACCGATAACCTTCGATGTTCTGGCCAGGATGTGTCCTGTGTGCCTGCTGGATATTCGCTTGTCGGGAGGTAGAGTGATGATGTCCTCTATGATCATGGGATCGTTGAACGTCGAGTGTATACGTACAGGGTGCGAACATACCTTCGCCTTGAAGGAAATTACATCAATAATGTGAAGAAGAATTTTAAAATGGACATGGTCTTCACGTATACGTTCATCAACTCTGTTGGCGCCTATTAATTCCTATAACTGTTTTTTACTTCTTCTGTCAACGCGTGTTTATCAACAAATCTAGTGAACGAGATATCCACAGGAGTGAGATTGCAAAACTCATCAGAAGTTATAGGCTGATATCAAAATGTAATTGTCATTTACAGAAATCGTACGTCTGGCCACCACAGAGAAACTGTCATGTTGCCTAATGCCATGTTTTCTTAATACTCCTATATGTAACGATTCGATAAACAATCTGTATATTACTGTTCTTACTTACAGGAAAGCAGTGATCGAAAACTAGCTTGTCAGAGCTGACGTCCAACCGTCCTGGTGCTATTTTGAAGTGAACGGGTACTTTGAGGTTCTCAAACTGAGTCTCAATGTATATTTCACCCCACACCTGGCCCTCTACGTGCGACGTAGTCACAGTGACTTTCAGCACAGCATACTGGTTCGATTTCAAGTGGTGCTAAAATATGGGTAGTTTAGAGTTACCCAATGAAAAGGATGGGAATATCACATAAGGATCAAGATTGATAGATGAAACCAAAGTTTTTCGCAGACTTACACATTTCGTGAGATTGGTAAATGTCGGTTGGAACAACACCAATCTGTGGTCTCCACTTCCACACCCTTGAACTTCTACTTGAGTCATCGGTATAGATGAATGAACGTGCTTCAAATGCAAAGACACGGGATTGTGGTTCACGATCATGAAGTAGATTTCTTTTTTGGAATCGAAGCCTATTAGCCCGATATCTAGAGAATAATCTTTGCTTTTGAAGGGCAAATGCTGAAATGGAACCGTTAGCATTATAAGAAAAATGTATGTAAATGTCATTGACGCAAAGGAAAAATAGAGGTACTAAAATAATTGACCTTGTGGAACTTCACGAGGAATGTTTCTCAATTCTGAATTGCAGTTATTCATCATGGAAATATATCAACTTGTAGTGGGCAATTTGAAAACAGAAACCAATTTATTTACGATAAAGGAAATATCTATAGCATTGACAATGTCTAATAATTGAAGCCATGAGTTCTTCTAGACAATTACTGTTACCTACAAAGCTTATTTTCAAGGTTGACACTATATCTAGAGTGTCCGAAATTGCAATTTTGGTTGTTATGAATTCATTCATAACGTTTATCGTTGTGATCCTCGAGAAAAAAATGGTCCAAAGTGTGAAATGTCCTCTCCAACTCCTGATGGAGGAAATTATTTTGTATTCCTCCAGTTGTATGGAAAACGGTCAATTTCATCGATATAAAATAAGGGTGACTTTTGGGTACAACAATGTTCTGGCCATCTGATAGTACGATTTGAACTCTTCAAACTGTTAAAAAGTTTGAGCCACTTTTATACCGTGTATAGGTTAGCTGACTGATGACTATATTTCAACTAAATATTCTTGGTCAGTGTGGTATAAACTGTCCACAGTGAAGTTACCAGCTTGGTTTGGTACCGAAATTTGTTGTGAACCAGACTGAAATCGTATTATGACCTAGATGGTGTTAACACTTTGGTCTACTTTTGTACAACCCTTACTTCAGTTGAGTGCAAGTGTCAGTTAATTTCATGATTTTGCAAACAATATTTCATCCAATTTCAGCTAATTTTGAATCTTGCTGAAAGGTATTTTTAATTATTCGAGTATTCAAGTGAAGTTCCACAACCTAACCTAAAAATAATAATCGAATCAAAACAAAGTTCATGGTCTGAATTTGGTCAGATCACCTGAGTGAGCATAAGATATTTCAGAAGGGGACTAATTTTGTTGATTTCGGGAACATAATCATTTCAACTATTATAGTTATGGAACACAGTGTAATAATTGAGAAATGCATACTTACCACTTGTAGTTTACCATTGTAACTCAACAGTGGTACCAATATATTTGAAATATTGGTGTGCAGTACTATGTTGGAGTTTAGCTGCAAATCAGACATCCGAATGTTGTTTTTGAGCTTTATGTTGAAAACGTTAACTTCCTGACCGGGTTTCAGCACTTTAGGAGCATTTGTTTCGATCTGTAAATACATTCTATGTATATAAAAGACAGTGTAACACAGAGAAACGAATTTTTTAGATAAAACTTTGTGAGCTAGTATACCCCAAAACTCTATTTCAATAGAATGAATGATAAAAAACACATCATACAATGGGAAACATTCAAATAAAATATGGCATACACTATGCAAACAAGATTTAATTTCAATAAATATATCATTGGTGGTGATTTTTTCAGTCTCAACTAACCTTAAAATACGAATTAGCCTCCTGTGGAAATGTCACGTTCTTAACCTCGACGGTATATTCGAACTCGTTCTTGACCTTGAAAACTCTGGAAGACAGGTCTACCATCTTGTCATTCATGAAATAGGTGGTGATGAGGGGGTCGAAAGTGAGACCACCTTTCAGCACAGTTAAGTGGTACGGTATTTCAGATCTGTTTTTCCCACTGCGATATTTCACTATGATCTTCCCCGAAAAGTCTTTGGTTTCGTATGCAGTCTTCCCTAAAATAAAATGAAATACTGGTACTGGGGCTACTCTTGACTTGACAAGAGCTCGTCATATGGTCGTTATAATGTAAGTTGTTATTAGGTCTTTATATTCATTGTTGTTTATCCATATTCATCATCACTTCACCCATAATGTTTCATGCTATAATAAATATTGTTATGTTTGAATGTAGTCTCGTACTTTCAGCTACCCCTGAACTATCAGTGCCTATTCGAATATTACCTCTCGCCTATTAAGGCAAGCATTACCCCTTATAAATCGATATGGTGGAGAAACCATCTATTTTATCGTGACATGGTGGAAACAACCATTTTATCCTTACAATATTGTGCCTAATTTCCGAAAATGGAGGTTTATCGAACCTGTCCACAGGTAAAAAGGTATAAAAGTTAAGCAAGCCAAGGTTGGTTTAGTTCATTGTACCAGTATATCACCTGACGAAGCTACTGTGTTATTAGCGAAACATGTCGTGTGTTTGAGAATTTTGTGAGGAAATCTTATCGTTTGTGAAGTCAATTCAAAAAATCAAAAGTTATAGAAAAGTAAACCCGCCACCGATACTTACAATCCACCGTGAGCGTCCCCACCTCCACACACCCCGCCCCCTCCTCCTCATCGCCTTCCCCGCCCTCGGGCGGCAGCCTCACGGTGTGGTAGCGCGCCCGCACCGCCCTCGAGCCCGACGACACGCTGTGCACGCGCAGCGGGCGGCTGTGCGGGTTGCGCAGACAGAGGCCGAGGTCGCGCTGCCCCTCCAACGATCCGCCCACGCCGAAGTCCACGTAGCCTTGCAGGTGGAGCACGCCCGGCGTGTCCGTCACTTGGACTTCCAGAGGGACGACCAGGGTCTCGTCGGGGTCGTTCAGTTTTATCCTTCGATCATAGAACAGACTAGATGAGATGTCGAGAAGTACAAATGCTTTTCAAAATTGAAACATTCAGTGAGTACATTGTAGTATCGATCAGGTCAGCGGAGTTCATAGACGTCAGTTCCTTTGAAATTTGCAAAACAAACGATTACCGTGCGATAATACCTAGGTAAGCAGTAGTAGTAGTAGTAGTAGTTTATTGAAAAATAGGAAAGCCTAATATACAAACATCTCGAGCATCCATAAAACATTTAACATCACACATATATATGTATAAAATTCACAATAGCAATTCATAGTTATACAAGACACATATTTAAAAATCATTAACAATAATACTAAAAACAAAAAAGAAAATTTAACATAAAGTCAACAGATAACTAAACAATCAAGCTAATAATACAAAAAACTTAATACAGGTTGAGGACAATATCAAGTAAAGAAACAATTATTGAATATAGGATAATATGTTATAAACATTTCCATACAATACCCACCCGTCCAACATTCATAGAGTTTTAACATACTTCGATAATGATGATTTGAAAGAAGATAAAGATACTGATGATTTTATATGCATAGGTAGTTTGTTGAATTCATTTAACCCTTTGAAAAATAAAGATCTCATGCTCATACTGGAATTCGTTCTGTGAATATGAAAGTCAGTCCTCATTCGTGTGCCATAGTTATGAATTTCATCATTTCTTGTTATGAATTCATTGAAATAGGAAGGAAGTAGGCCTTTCTTCAATTTATAAATAAAGGTCATAGTCATGTAAAATAAACGAGTATTAACTGAAAACCATTGCAAAGTATCTAGCATCAGTTTAATTGGAGTATATCTATTACATTTCAGTATTAGTCTCATTCCTCTATTTTGAAGCTTTTGCAGTTGAGAAATTCGATTTTGGTTAAATAAGTAAATTACTGTTGCACAATAGTCAAAGTCAGGTTTAATAATAGAATTGTAAATTGTTACTCTAGCAAACATGGACAGTGCTTTTGCAATTCTTGAAAAAAAGTACATTTTTTTAGAAATTTTTCTAATGACATATTCTCCATGACTATTGAATGTTAGATTATTATCTATCATAAATCCCAGGTACTTGAATTCTTCTACAATCTCCAAAGATGTATTTTCAATCACTATATCAATCGAATTCACAAGTATCGAAGCAGTATCGAAAGGCAACGACCATTCCCATTGCGGAATATTGCACACCTATATCGATTCCGAATATAAATAAGGCATAATTCATTATCAACGCAAGAAGTCATTAGTAATATTCAATTGAAACATGTTCGCCGAACAGTCATCGTTCCATCCTCCTTTCTCATCTCTCTTCCTTCAATTGCACATCTGTCAGACTATACAATTTCTTGAATACGTTATGAAGTTTTGCAATGGATTGAATGATTCAACACGAAACAATGATTAGGTATACTGTAAGTACCATAGCATGACTGTTTCTTATTATTCTCATTCTATGAATTATAGTCTTGTTTAATTGAAGATGTTCATTTCAATGAAATCAACCCGTCGTAATCGCTCTCCACCAGACAAATCAACATTTTTGGCAATGCAGCAGGTGTAACATTCCATAACTTTTACGAGATTTGATACTGACAGACTACCACCACCTTCTTTTCTACTCATTTTTCAAAATTTCAGTTTCAATATTCACCTACCATTACCCACAACAACCTATTGAATACTCAACTCTGATTTTGTCATTTGTTATTGAGTTAGACGAATCACGAAATTACCCCTACTGAGTGAAATGTGGCATATTTTATCTTCATCAAATAAATGTATGTACCGCAGCCGCTTTTGTATTGTACCGTCCAAGCACAGTTTTTCACAAAAACAGTATCCCAACTTGAAAAGGCGACAAGTTAAGAGGCGGCATATTAAAAGCAAGAAGCAATATTGTCGCCTCGTCGGCGACAAGTATATTGCTGCTTGCTTTTTCTCTACCGCCTCTTTAAATTCACCGCCGAGGGCTGCAAGTCCCATAACCCCCCTCCCTAAATGAATATAGCAAACCAATTTCTATGATTTTTTTCATTACCTGACATAGGCTGTGTAATTCTGGACTACTTGGGCTTTGAATCGAACCCTTATGACAGCCTTTGTGTGCTGAGCAGGAATCTCCCACAGATCATTGGGACCTTCTTGTTCTCCTGTAGGCAACTCCAGGTAAAATCCACCTCCACTACTGAATATCTCGACAATCTAAAAATTTTAGATGTGTCACTGTGTTTCAACCATTGTCTAGGTTTGAGAATAAAATCTAATATCCAAATGAATATGTATACATAGTGAAATAATAGGGATCCACTTCTTCCCTGAGCAAGAGAAAGAAAATTGAAATGTATAGGAGAAGTATACTTGTATGAACTCTGATCTTGATGAGCTTGGAAAGTAGTTGTTTTCTGTGTTTGGGTGTATGATAAATTGATATTTATCATACAGGGCGTGGAAAGGAATTCTGTTTTCTGTTGAATAAACCGTGAAAGAATTGATATTTTCATCACATGCAGAATGCGAATTCTCAATGTATTTCTTTATAAATATATCCATTTTTTTGTGTTCATAAATATATCTGAGAATGTTCCTTTTCAATATCAATTTGTTTGTCCCACTTCAACCTGTCATGATATTTCATCAGGTCAGTTTGTTTTAAGACTTCATTTTTTATATTAAGGCTGAGGTAAATTTTTTGTTTATTTTTTTGGTGAAAAATCATATACAGTTTCACTAGTATTTATCGATGAAAGGTTAGACTGGAGCCATTTTTCAAATATTTTCAACCCTTCATTTATCATGTACCGGATTTTTTGCACCGTAAAACTACCATTTGCCTGAATTATTATAACTTCATAGCATGATTGGAACAATGGAATTATTTTCAAATTTCTTGAGAAAGCGATGTACCTAATTCAAATTCCATTTGATTTGTTGGTTTTCTACTGATACAATGGCACTAGTAATTTCATCTTCATTTGCTACTGAGAGTGTGTATGATCTTCGCCAGAGTACAAGTGGTCTTCATTCATTTAGACTTTTAGAGTATTTGCGATAAAAAATAAGCGTACGCCACCTATCGGAGTTCTTTAAAGCTGGCAAAGTGGCATGTTTACTTTGTTTTCATTGGTTCTCATTTGTTTTTCGTTTTTGCTTATTGATCATACCATCAAAAAAACCGCTCAGAAATGTTCAAGTTGCTGCCGTCACGTGGGGCGACGTGTTATTTCCTATCGCGAATCATCATTATCAAAGAGGAAAGTTTTGAACAACTAAATATATTGAAATGACATAACCCTTTTAGATCATCCATGTTCATCAACACCGCGCAAAAAGCTATCTTTGTTGTTCACGTTTAAAAAGAAAAATTATTGAAATTCTCACCTGTAGGGGCTGCGAGTGTGGATTATAAATATGTATCAAGGGTGTGAATGTTGAATTTAATGGCAACTTCACACCTACAATGGGTCTTATTCTGTAATGGCTGAAGGTGCTGGCACCTTTAACCTAAAAATTGATTCGTTTCAAATATGACCGACTATGTTTTGAGAAACATATTACATTGTACTTTAAGTAACCCTCCGATGTGTGTATAAAAAGGCTGCTTTCTAAGAAGCCTTCTTCTCTACCCAAGAACACCACATTGAATGAGGTGTTGCCATTTGGGGGGATTTTCTGAAATATCAAAAATAAAGCACTTCTCAAGATATTATAGGAGAAAAATGTGTATAAGTTGTTGCAAACAGAGTCTATGAAGGTATATTACGAGGTATATTAGCTATTCGCGGCGCTCGGTTTTCATCGTTCCATGTCAAAGCCACGTCAAAACTGGGGGAAAACAAACTTAATCCTCACTCAATGGACTCAATCCCATTAGTGCCATTAGCTTATGTACTGTGTACTGATGAGAGTGATGTTTTTAAATTTCTTGACATTAATTATCAATATTCGATCGAAAACGCTAATAATGCCTGTTGTAGATGTTATTTTGGCAGATATTTTGCTCTATTTAGATGGAAAAAGCCGACCAGTAGATGAACGAGAAGCAGTTCTCCGTGCTAATCATGTGATATTGTGTGAGGCAGAAGACTTCAACAAAAGGCACATTTTTGCACTTTTTCCACGAACTTCGGCAATGAAATCTTCCCCACATGAAGTAAAATTGAAGTTGGGGTCCAGATGAACTCCTGTAGATCAATGGATTTGTATTTGTTCACACAAAGCAGGACAATCTGGGTATTGCAAACATGTTGTAGCTGTTCTTTAATATGTCAATTGATTTGCTCGTCATGATTAGTTTGAATTGTTTGAACTCTCTCCAATTCTTCTCCGTTCACTGTTCACTAAACTAATAAAAATGTAAAAATGTAAAAAAATTAGTTTGACTACAGCTACAGCAATCTGAATGCAATGTAATCTATGCACTTTATCCATAGACAACAGTTTGTTTTCCCCCAGTTTGAAGTTCGTATTATGTAACCTAGATGTCGCCCACTTCGTGAATCTCGCGAATAATAGCTAAACTCCAAATGAATCCAATAACTTTAAATTGCCAAATAAACCAATTTCAACAATTTTCTCACAGTATTTACAATGAATAAATTAACAAACACGTCAATGAAAAAATGCTCCAGTTATTGTATTATAATTGGAAATGTGTAAGAAAGTTACATGTACCCTTGCGTAAAGAGTTTATTCTTGTCTCCCCATCAGCTGTTCAATGGCCGACAATTTTACGTCAGATGACGTCACTGACAGTGCTCCATTGAAAATAAAGTATATTGTTTCATTACTATTTGGAAATATTTCGACTATAGAATTATGAGATCAAAATTATGGAGAAACCCAAATTACCTAGATATAATTTGTCTGATGTCAGAGTTACAGGGTGTTTTGTTTTAAAATTATTTGTGCCCGTACTTGAAAACTATTTGACTTATTATTGTCATATTTGGTGGAAAATGTAGATACTATACAGTTTTTCTGAAAAAGCTGGCAACAAATGGAAATAATTTTATCAATTTATAAAAACAAACATTCTTTATAAAAAGTTCTGCAAGGCCTAAAGCCGAAAATACAAATAACAGATATCTTTTTTTTTTCAGTCATAAACGAGGTATGTCAAAAAATATTAATTTTGCCCAAGAGTAAAGTACCTTTCTTTTCGACAATATCCAAAATTATTATGAAGAAAATTTTACTGGAATTGAAAACTACGTTCAATTATTTAATTACATTTATCTACCATGAAAATAAGGTTTTATTAATTTTAACAATTTCTTTAAGAACTTTTCATCAATTTTAAGCAAAAAAGCCATTCTTCAAAAAAAGTTTTGCAAGGCATGGAAAACCAAGAATGCAAATATCTGAATTTTGCAAAAGATCGATATATCACAATGGATTATTACTCTACAATGAATTGCCAACAAGACTTGAAAGAATATCAGTACCAAAAAATTCCAAAAAGAACTTAAACAGTTATTTACCAAGTACATCTATCGGCGAACGAAGTAACTTCCATATGTGTATTGTGTCGTTTTACTTTCAATATATTGGGAGTTGAGGTATTTCGAATTAATGACATATATTATTCGGAATGTAAATAAAAACAACACATAGGGACAACTCACTGCAATGAATGATTGGACCAAGGTGGATAGAATAATTATGGTGTAATCACAGACAGTGTTTTGTTTCTCCCAAAACCAATGGCATATTAGTTCTTAGTTGTCGGCAAGATGGCTACACTTTTTACAGATTTCTTTCATAACAGAAAACAGAAACGGCACTTTTACACACCGCTTGCACCAAAAATAATAATATCACAACATTCATAACATCACCTCAAATCAAATGAGATTGAATTTGAAAGTATGAAACTGTAATTTTGGGGAATTAATTATCATCAGTTTTACCGACCTTGAATTTTGGTTCAGATTTTGCCATCTAACGGGTAAAATGCGACCTATATTCCGCGATATTGAAAAGAATCCTTCTGTCAAGTAGGCCGTAGGTCAAGAACTTTGACACAATAGATGGGATTTGATAGGAGTTTCTACACCATCTTCGGTTCATCCTGGATTGGACATAAATAAAGAATAGACGCCCCTCTCCACTTTATTTCGCTGTTACGTCATTCAGTGCCGTTTATTCCCGACTATTTCCGACATATTGCCTAATATTTCATTTTCTATTGCCGTCTATTGCCTGATAATTCCGTCTTAATGCTGCATATTTCTGCATTTCTTCTTCAATGCCGAATATTGCCATTTAGTGCCGATCATTTTCGAATAATGCCTATAATGCCTATAATGCCAAGTATTGGCTATCTAGAAACAATTCGAAGAATTCATTCAGAAAGTTTGAAATTTCAACCTGAAAAAGTTAAAATGATCTCCTAAATCCAAAAATCCGGAAAAGTACAAAAAACAAAACTGAACTAATTGATCAAAATGTGTTCACTTTCATTTTATTTGAAATTGAAAACTATCCAAAGCACACTTGAGTTGATTTTTTTGGTAATATCTCTTTGAATATTCATTTTAACTATAGGGTATGATTCAACATATCAAAAGAGAATAAAATTTCACGTGGAGTTATGTGAAATTTTAAGCTCATTCCATTTGATATAGGAGTTATAGGCATTTAAAATAGCAAAAAACAAAACGGCAACATCAAATACCATGTTTGACATTTTGGAATCATATCAAGAATCCCTGATGACGACACTTCTTTGTCAACATATACACCATTTGATGCCATCTATCTGTCAAAATTTTGAGAGAAAAATTAAATGTCACAAAAACAAACATACACACCAAAAATCACAATTTTGCATTGGAATTAAAAATGCAATAATATACAGGGTGTTCTATTTAAAAAAAAACACAAAGTCAATGTCACTTCCAGTTCAACCAGAAGTAGAAGCATATTGATAATATTTTATAAAAATAGAATATTCTGCTACAGCTGCAAACAAAATGTCAAGTTGATGTCACTTCTAGTTCTCTATAAACCTCTAGAAAATCAGTTGGGTGAATCACTCTATGTAACATTCATAGATTCAATTCCACTTCTTAGATGCAATTTCAATATAAATAGAGGTCATTTGTCTTCAAGCTCTCATTAAAAAGGGTTTATTATGAAGACATGGCTCATTCCAAAAAGCCATTTGAAAAAATCTGAAATGTCCTTGGCAGGAAGGCATGGTAGTTTTTGCAGAAATATGAACAGATACCCTATTTGGATAACCAATTTGGGTCAGAGAGAGTTAGGTTGTTTGTTGACCAAATTAGCATATTTCATTTCACAATCAACATGGTGTGCCTCTTTATATCAACTATTTGCATTGTATTTACAAAAAATTGAAATGAGTCAAAACAATAAATTGACTAACTAAAAGAAAATATATTTGATCTTATATTAAAACAAGTATTAAATGTGTAAACCAAACTATTTAGGGAAAGGAATGATAAGGATTTATAAAATGAAGATTTGGAACACTAATGGTCAGTTCATAGAAATGATTTATATTCAATTTATATTTAATTTTAACTTATCTCAAGAGTTCAAGCATACCTTTCAATAAGATGCTTTCATAGAATCTCATTTAACTTATATTTAATTCAGTCCATTCCTTATGGGAAATAGAGCTGTTAAATTAAATATGAATTATATATAAATCAGATTTTATGAACAGACCATAACTCAGTACAAAATCAATACTCATAATATTCAACAAGTTGAAGAAAAAATAATGAAAAAGAGCTAGGATCAAACATTTCAATTACTATAATAATTGTTCAACACTGTTAGGCAATTTGGAAAATACATTTTCATAATTAAAATTCTAAGGTTGTTTGTTGGTGAGGTTGTCTATTTCCTCATTTTAAAGTTCTACAACAAATAATGTGTGACCTCACTCAATAAGAAAATAACCTTGGATCAACAAATAATATAACATGTCCTAATAATTATGGTAAACACCTTGACTCCACAACCAAAATTATCAGCAACATATCCACCTGAGGTTTTATATCCTGTATTATCAGTTCAATAAAGGCTTTGGACAACAATACAATCATATATGTTTGGGATATTGAAAATGAAAAGATTTGTTCAACTCACCCTGTCTTCAAAAAAAGAACTGTGGAAATGAACAGTGCTCCCAGATATGGATGTCATATCAATGCTTCTGTTCTTGTCTACATTGAACAGGGTTACCTTTTCCAAATGAGGCACCCCTAGAGGTCTGCAATAGGAGAAAGTTGAATGGATATTGTGTGTTTGATCATTGAATCCATACCTCTGCTTGAAATCAAGAAAAGTGGGTTCAAATTTAATAGGGAGCTTCAGAGATACATCATTCAAATGAGGTGTTCTCAATGATACTACCTCCTGAAACATAAATTTCATCAGTGACACAACTTGCTTTGGAAAAGCAATCACTACTACCTCGTGTATGCCAGCTAACTCATCGTCGAAATATCTCGAATTTTTGCTGATGAAGCCTAAAATAACATTTGAAAAAAAATTAGCAGGAGTCCAAGCTTAATAAATGTCATTGGAGGGCACAAGGATTATAAAATGGGTAAAAGCTTACCATGACTGCTGTCATGCAATGTTGGATGGGTTTTGATAATTAATTCCAATAGTGTGAGTGTAAAAATATACCACGATATCGAAAGGCTAAACATTTTGACATTTGTATAGGGGTTTATTTTAAGATTCAGATACAGCGCGACTCAACTTCTTGAAAATCGTTCTCGAATAGAGTCATAACATTCACCATCAGACATCAACTGTCAATATTTAAACTTGTCAATTTTCTCGTGATCGACATTTGACACCAACACTTTATTTCCACCGCAGATCCACCGTACTTTCAAATCCACCAAGAATGATGGAGATTTCCATCATTCCACCAAGCAAAAACATGAACCAACCACTTCCTGGCAGTGAAATTGAGTCATGATGCCTGTCTTATCTTACTTCCATCATTCTTTTGTATTTGCTCTACCTGGTTCTCTTCATTTTTTCTATGGCTTTCTCTGTTTACATCATGCCATAAAAAAAGACAACTATGGGAACAAAATCAATTCTAGCAAGTTCAGCAACACTAACGAACAGACCTACAATTCCATTGGTATAACTGGCTCGCACTGAGTTGCGCAGGTGCAGAGCTCAGTGCAACGATTTTCGCATGTGAGTAATTTCATAATTTGAAAGGAAAATTCGCTGTTCGCTGTTTCTGCGAAAAATTCATATTGTACAGGGTATCCCAATTTGGGCACTTTTGCGGGGTATCTCCCTTATCAGTAAAGATAGAGCATTGCGGTTTTCGCGACAGTGTGCTACTTTTTTATGAAATTAATAATGGCGCAAGCAGAATTGTGGTAGCTCTTCCGGTTGTCTAGATACAGGGTGGAATTGAAAAATATCACCCCCCGTGTCTCAGTTATCTTTGAACTTATCGAAGAAGTTGAAACTTGTTTTTATAGAGTTTTTCTCGTAGAATCCAGTGGCGTAGTTATTTTTTTGCTAGCACCTTTTGTTTTTTAGTTATGGAGCAAACATATGTTTTTTTAAATGGAAAATAATTGTATACAATTATATATTTTTGGAAAGCCCACTTCATGCTCAATGTATATATGAAATAATATACAGGGTGTTCCATTTAAAAAAACATATGTTTGCTCCATAACTAAAAAACAGAAGGTGCTAGCAAAAAAATAACTACGCCACTGGATTCTACGAGAAAAACTCTATAAAAACAAGTTTTAACTTCTTCGATAAGTTCAAAGATAACTGAGACACGGAGGGTGCCTGAAAAGTGATATTTTTCAATTCCACCCTGTATCTCGACAACCGGAAGAGCTATCACAATTCTGCTTGCGCCATTATTAATTTCATAAAAAAGTAGCACACTGTCGCGAAAACCGCAATGCTCTATCTTTACTGATAAGGGAGATACCCCGCAAAAGTGCCCAAATTGGGATACCCTGTACACTACATATTTCTACACTGTGAAAAATGGTAACAGAACTGGTAAGGTTGACTAATCACCCCAGGCAACTCTAGTATAACGTATTAGCGCCATTAGCAGAGGTGATTAGGGGTGAAAAAAGGGATGCTCCTCAAGTATGGTGAATATAAATTCACATATATGTGGTCTGTGGGCTAAGTAGTTCAATTTTATATCTGGTTCTGATAATTGACGAAAAGATAAATGATATAAGAAGACGACGACATGAGACATGATTGTTAAAACTAAAAAAAAAAAAGAAGAACTATAGGAATATATATTAACCTGCTATTAAGATCTCGAAAATAACATCAACCTCCTCTTTGATAAAATAACGTAGTAATCGTACTATCACTATTATTCAAAACATGGTAAGAAAGATATTGTTTACGTAACATTATACGATTACTTTCGGATTCACTTTATTTCTAGAACATAATTAGACAAATTCTTAGAAGCCCCAAATTTCCTAGGAATGCTCCTAAGCAATTTTCTATAGCTACACAGACAAGTCAAAATGATGAAGAAACAGACCAACTATATAAAATTGTTGAATTAGAACTCCGTGGTAATGATGCAGCAGTCTTAAGGAGCTTCTCAAAATTTGCTGTAACCACTGGTAATCATTTCGAAATTGACACAAAATCGTACGTAGGACTTCACTTCTTAAATTCTCAATCAAAGTGGAATCAGTGCTTTTGATAATTTCATTTAGATGGACACTGAGGAAACCAACTCATGAAAGATACACAGTTTTGAAGTCTGCACATATCTACAAGAAGCATAGAGTACAATATGAAGTTCGTACCTACTATTCTTTCATACAGTTTAAACATCTTACTGGGTCAACTGCTGATACTCTCTTGGAGTATATTGAAAGGAATTTACCAGAAGGAGTTGCACTTAAAGCAACAAAGGTAGGTAAGAATAAGTATAAGTTTCTTAAAGATAAATCATATTTAATTTTAAGGTGGAATTACAGGAATTACCTAGCTATTTATCAACCCCACCTGAAAAGTCCAAAGTGCTACAGAGTGAGGTAGATTAGTGTAATGTGTTATATTTTGTTGAACATAGAAGTAAGTATTATTATAATAAAAAGATCATCAATTCTTGATTATTCTGAAAAAACACATAATTAACTGCTATTTGATCATGCATAAAACATATTTGTTTTATATCTTGGCTCATCAGTTATCTCTTTTTATGGATTTCTATGTAGATATAGTCTGTTGAATCAAATATCTAATGGCAAAACTGTATCATTATTGTACATCAGTTATTATACATAATAATATACTTGTATAGGTACAATTATAATGAATCATAGTTGAATTCTCCTATGTATATATTTTGATCATTTGAACATCAAAAGCAAATGATAGGCCACACAAAATAAACTGCAGTAATTTTTTTGAGTTGGAGGTCAAATAGTGTTTTTTCGACGGGTATGGCTACCTATTTGTATACATTGAAGCTTTCCATGTGCCAAAAAAAATCAATAAAATTTCTAGATAAATGAAAAATGGGTGGGAATGCAAATGTATTGAAAGGAAATCATTTCACCACATTCATTAAGTATAAGTACACAAGAACAACCTGAAAAAGCAAAAAAGTCATTCACTGTTTTAAATCAAAGAGCGTGCCCAGTGTTTCCTTACCCGGCGCTTAGAACGGCAATGATAACAACAACAAGTAAACAGGCAGCTTCAAAATACATCACTAGGTGGCGCACGCTTATTTTCTTTTGGATAATTTCCATTTGAATATCAACACTGCTTTGGTTGGCTTTGATACCTTGATTTGATCAACTAACCTTGGGCTTTAATCATGAAAAAATATTGATCGATCCAAAAGCAGCCTGAAATTTTCTTACAATACAGAATTATTGAACTAGAGCCTAAAGTTTTCGGATCATTCCCAAACCTCGTCATATTATATTGGTACCAGAGGTACATTATGGATGCATGAGGAAATACATCCTTGAAAGCCTAAATCACTACACAAATAATCACAGTGGGCTGACGCCATGCGAAAAGGGAACCAGAATAAAACTCTTAAGACCCCACTCAGGCCTCACAAAAACTAATCATAAAAAAAAAAAAGAACGAATACCAACTTTATTATCAGTGCTGGGAATGGATCGAAAGATTTAGGCAATTCTATTAGTATATCCTATTCATTATTGAATTGATGAAAAGACAATTGAGTAATGAATAAAAAAACGATTTTTCATGGAAATATTGATACCATTTAATACCCTAGCTGTGTATCTCGAAAACGAAGCAAGTTAGGACACATGTTGATTTTTCTTGTTGCTATTTAGATACACCCTGTATACAGGGTGTACGGAAATTATGCGCAAAAAATCAAGGGGGTGATTCTACATGATAAAATAAGAAATTCATTTTATATGTACGTTTTTATGAATATGTCAAATGTCCTTCTACCGATTCTCTTGAAATTTGACAATAATATTTTTGTCATGACGAGCTGATATAGCCATAATTGGAAATATAAAATCTAGCGACGTCCCGGGGGGCAACCTTCCGAATATTATTGTCAATAAAATGTATCTGTATCTATATCTTCATAACCTATTGACCATCTGAAAATAAAACATTTTGGTCTCTCGAATTATTTCGATAATTTGCTTCATGGAAAAAAATAATTACCAATTCATTGCATAAATTTGTGCCAACAAATTCCTTCAAAAACTGGGGTGAAAAGAAAAAAAAAGATTAATTTTCTTCAAATATTTCTTGATACATGTTTGATACACTCTACATTCTGTATATTGAGAACTATGTATTCTCGGTCCAGGAAGGCGCAGTTTTCGATAATACAAAGTGTGTCAATCCGCATCATGTATTATAAAATATTTGAAGAAAATGAATCTTCATTTCTACTCTACGTCTATGGACACATTTAATTTCAACCCTGTTTTTGAAGCAATGTTTTGCACAAATTTATACAATCAACTGGTATTTATTTTTTTCCACGGAAACGAAGCAAAATAGCAAAACAATTCAAGAGACCAAAATGTTGTATTTTTTAGTTAATCATTAGGATATGAAGATACAGAATTGAAAAAAATCAGTGGCGCACATTTAATTGACAATAATATTCGGTAGGGTGCCCCCGGGACGCCACTGGATTTCACAATTCCAATTTTATGGCTAAATTAGCCCCTCATGACGAAGAATATAATTGCCAAATGTCTAAGGATTCGGTGGAAGGATATTTTAGTTGTTTCTAAAAAAATGATTTTTTCTAAAAACTTTAACGCACTGTATCTTGAAAACTATGCATTTCCGGACCCAAGTGTAAATGAAATCAATTTCATGTTTTCTCATGCAGAATTACCCCCTTGATTTTTTGTTAATAATTTCCGGACACCCTGTAGATATTATTATGTGCATGTGGCGCAGTACGATGACAATGATGTTTGAGAAGGTCAGGAAGGAAGGTTGGTAGAATATCGATATATTTTCCCACCAGTGGAAAATTTATGTGCTCTGGCGCTTCATTTTATTCCTAACCTAACCTAACCAGATGAGGGAAGGTTGGTGGTTGGTGGGAAATCGATATTTTCCCCACCAGTGGAAAATTTCCACGCTTGCTCTGGCGTCTCATTTCATTTCATTCTCCTACGTAGAACGGGTTGAAACTGGAAAATAACCTGACAGTCATCCAGTCATGGACATTGAAAATGAAAACATTTATCAAGATGAATTATCTTACTGAAAATTCGCGAGACATATGTATTTACCTACATTCGGCGAGCAATATGGTGAACATAACCCTTCAGGGGTAGCTGGAATCGACCCCAAAATTTTTTTTTCAACCTTATTATGGCTTGCAACTCATTGGAAAGCTGGTTGAAAGAGGAGTCCAGCGTATTGATCATATTGATCATAAATAAATAAATAAATAAATATTTCAGTTTGCAGAACGTTTCGGGGTCACATAAAATCAAAATATAATTTCGAAGTTTAATATATTTTCAACGGATTTTAATCAAAATTTCGACTTTTAGTGACAGTGATATGGGGCATTTCCACCAGTTTGCAATATCACCTCGTTTCGAATTCGAACTGTGAATACGGCAAAAAAACTAAGCACATTTTGAGCGATTGATAGGGTTTCATTTAAAAAAATCATGTTGAGGGTGGTTTCAGGTACCGCCTGGAGATAGGTAAATAGATCAAATCGTTGAATGATGTCGGGAATTTTTCTAAAAACTATTCACCTTTCCGCTAAAGAATTTATTCCAGTTACAGTCTCCACACTGTATACAATAATTATATTATACTTACCTAATCTGCGAATTTTAATCTGGATCCGATTGTTATAATAAGGCCATGCATTGTGGATAGGGAGGATAGGGAGAGTTATTTTTGAACTTTTGGAGTTCTTGAAAATACACAGGGTGTCATACGATCAGCCTGCCAAAGTTTACCGCAGTGGCTTCAAGAACCAAAACATATAGTGTTGAAAAGTCGCTCCTGAGGAAGCTACACATCATCTTGAATGGGGGACTCGGGACTCTGAAGATGTATTTTTTTATACCTATTTCAAAAACACTGTGATTGCTAGGGTCATGAAATGGGAAAAAAGTGGATATATATCACATATACAGTATGATGCAAATGTATGGAATAAATTCATTTCAAAACAAGACGTCTTTCGAAAAAAAACCAAAAACTAGAGTTTAGAACTTTTTTTTCGACGTATTTTTTTAACTAGACGACCCTTCGATGTTCACTTCTCAGTAGCAGACCTCTGCAAGATTCAATTAATCACATGATAATCCATTTTAATTTCAATCTTCTTATGCAACATTTTGACTGTTGAATAGACGATCGGTAGACCTTTCAATCAAGGTGTCACATGACCCCTATTTGTATTTGAAAAAATCGTCCATTACGTCTTTACTCCAACACCGGTGACGTAACATCTTTCATAAGTTTCATATGAATATATCATGAGATGAGGCTTCAGAAATTAAAACTCACGTGTTTTTGGAATTTTTTCAAATGTCGCCCATTTCTGAAATAATCAATTTATTCCATACATATTTGCATCATGTTGCTGTTGCTGTTGATGGATTTTGTTGTGCTATAGTTCCGAAAAATGAGTCAAAATAATACCGTCTCCGAGAAAAAACTGCCATTCGACTTCGCGGTTACGTATATTTCTAAACAACCACTACATTCTCAATTTTTTGAAATCAAATCACAGAGTTAGACTGACAGAAGTGACATCAGATATTTGATTACTTCACAAGAATGATAAAGATGCCTATACAACGCAGGTGTCCCTACTGAACTTAAAATTTCACGTCGATAATTTTCAGATTTCAAAATATTGATTCGGCCTTTTTTCTGTCACAGGAAAAAAAAGTGTATTATACTTATTTTGTAACGAAAACATCGTATTTTCTCTATACTTTTGTTTCTCCACGTCAACGGACAATATCTGTCAGTGTTAACAACAAATTCGCACCTAGCTAATTCAGATTTTATAAACGTCAATTATTGAAGTCAAAAATAATTCATAATCACATCCAGATATAAATACACCTATATAATGAGAAGTCTGGACTGAAAGCCACATAGGTATTGTTTTTCATTTCGGTTTGTTTGCTGCTTCGTGACCTGTTCTCCAATGCGAGAAAATCTCGAGAAAAATCAAACGTCATTTGTTTGTGGTCGCCAAGATGTCCCACCCACAAGCCAACAGGTCCCATCTGGCATACGTGATCAAACTCATGCGTCAGATTTTCTGGATGGAATGTCGGAACAGCAAACAAAAACTACGTCAAGTAAACCTAGAAATGTATACAAGTTGAGTAGGAAATGTTAGGAAGGAAGGAACACATGAAAATAATTTTAAAAACTTTTGCCGTGCGTTTTTATTGATATATCATATTAGGCATTTTTTTTTACGGGAAAAGTAACCTCATAAAAATATTGTTCTTCATGGTTTTGAATCCCCATATAGGTATGAATTTTCATTTTTGTTTCTATATGAAGGGTTTCGAAGAAACAAGCACATCTAATAAATAGCATTTTATCCTGTTTTTTCAAAACATAATTTTCTACCTATATACCGGAGCCATCGACCGTTGCAATTAATTGGAATTCATTGTTTGGAGGCAAAAAAAAATATAGCCAATTGACATTCGAAAGCATGAGGAATAATTATACTAGTTCGTTTTCCTGCAAAAAAATGCCAAATATATGATTTCATTGAAAATCGACACTGGTAGGCGAGCCGTTTAAAGTGGGACACGCTGTATAACGAGAAATTTATGATATCTATGTAAACCAATCAAAATCAGGCGCACAATGACGTCATTCGT